AAAAGATGAACAATGGGTCCAGGTGTATAGATGACCTTCTGTTATATCCACGATAATATAATGTAGTGTTTGCGAGCTTTGATGCCATATATCATTCGCATGTGTTACATTTTTTTCTTTCTTTGGAGGAGAGGGCAGGTTGATGAAATTAAAAAATATCTTTAAAATATCTTTGCGTGGATGTACATAATGAATGTAGTTGTATACATTAACTGTTTTTGTTTGTTTGTTTTGTCTTCTTTTTATGCGCCCTATAGATACATATGTAGACATGTAACTAATAAATCATGAATTAATAAATACATAGGGAAAAATCCAGTCATGTACGAGTATAGTCCACCAAGATATACATGTATTTTGCAAGCAACTTTGCCTTTTTAAAATCGGTCTCAGTTAAAGTTATATGAGACTTAATCAAGTATGTTGTTGATGATGATGATGAGAATGAAAAAGAAGAAGTAGAAGAAGAACCAGGAACACCCCCAGCGGTAGCAACAATACCAATGCGGTGTATTGATATTTGCCCCAAGGACATTTGTCAAAATTAATCGCGGGACATTTGCCCCAAGTAGTAATGTAATGGTGGATATATGTCATTTGTCTCCCCCACCCCAGGTTTGGACATTTGCTAAATGTGTATCAAAAACTTGAGCTTTTGTTTAAATTATAATGAATTTATTTCAATAATAGATATTTATTGTTGCATTCTATTGAAACAAAAGCTTAAGATTGCATATGACACACTGTTAGTAAATTTCCACTGATGAGGTGACGGGTGTCCACTTTTAGACGGGGTGGGACAAGTGACACGGGTGGTGAGGCAAATGTTCCGATTCTAACTATACGCTTACTACAAAATTTTTGGCGAAACAGTCAAATTAGTGTACTCATCCAATTATCAAAGTTAACGATGGTGATGTTTAGGTAAACACTATACTACATATAGGGATAACATTAAGGTATGTACAGAGTTTCACGAACTTGTAAAACAACCGATCATGGGAAACAAAACAAACTGTACCACGAACATACAGGCTAATAAACAAGTTGATATGGGTTCAAATTCAAGTTTCCCACATATACATAAAAGGGAGTTAAAACTTTACCAATCAATTACATTATCTTTGTTGTACATCATTGCGTGATGATATTTTAAGGACTCTATCGTATTTCAAAAATAGAGAAAAAATACACACAAAAATCCCATATAAGCAAAACACAAAGAACAATCGTGCGAATTTTGAAAATACGATTTTTACAAAGAAAGTATATATGTAATCGATGCAATCTTTACTTAGCTTTGCGAATCTTGAAAATACGATTTTTACAAAGAAAGTACAGATGTATGACTGTAATCAATGCAATCTTTACTTAATGGCGATACAGATATGATCGATAAATAATTTATTCATATATGACGTATACAAAATGCACATGGTCACAAAATACACACATTCAAATAAAAATTAAATATTATGTATTACTGTCTACATTTTAACTACAACATTTTCCTTTAATAATTGTCATTATTTTGTTCCGTAGTTTTGCATATAAAATATGTATTAAATTCGTCATCTAGTGAATAATTAAGCCGTTATCATGACATAATGTGCTTTGAAGCTTTATTTGATTGAAATAAAATGTCTGTATATCTTCTGTCTGTCTGTCTGTCAATCTAAGAAGAAGGAGCATGTATCAATGAGTGATCGACCATCAATGCTGAATTAAAATAAATCAAGGCTTTACGTGTTCAAATACTTATATATTTATGCATTGCTCCGTTTGCAAAGAAATGCGACAATGCCTTCACATGCAGAACTGGAATTACAGGTTGTTTGTGTGCGCAAGTTGAAGCCATGAGCTCTATATGACAAATAAGCGTGATAAGATAAAAGCATCCGTCTGGACTGTAATTTTATGGGTTCGTCGAAGACTTTGGTAAAAAGGTGTCCACAAATGTAGGATTCCGATTGGACACGCCTTCTGCGTTTATTATATACACTTGAAAACAACACTTTCGTTGTGCATGTTAAAAACTAGGATACTTTATTCTGATATGTTTCACACAAGAATTTTTTTACACCATTTAGTAAAATGTTCTGTTGTTAAGCCTAGAACTACGGAACTATCATCAATATGGCCTTATTTTTTCAAGTTACAAAAGCAAGTTGCGTATATAGATTTGAAACGAAGCACGTTCAGCGTTAACTATTGATAACAGCTGGTCAACGTGTCATTTTTTTAGAACAATCTCACTGATTGTTTTACAATACTGGTCACAAATCATTCTTGTCCGCAAAGCTGCCAACCTTTTTTCTTTTACTAACTAAATGTATATTTCTTCCTTTGATATACCGTAGTTAACTGTCCAACCAAATGGTAGTAATCATTGTCAAGAAATGCCCGCAGGTTTTCTTTGACGGGCTATTTACACGGCGACGGGACATTACAGCTACGGTCATCGAAAACTAATTTATTAAGCTTCACAAGAAATTGCCATCAACACTTTGATGTCGTCAAAGGATGTCGCAAAATGTGTCAATCAGCCGATCTCGTGCACGAGCAATTTACACTAAAATAAGGGCTACATCCGTCCTCTCGCGTGCCCATCTGAAGTAATCAGAACAATCCCTCTTTACATGTGACTTTTTTATTCATTTATCTTTTACAAGTCTTTGTCGTAACTCCCCCGGTATTTTGTATTTGATTTTTATTTCTGATAATTTCTAAACAATTGCATTATTGGAATTGCTTTTAAATGACAAAGAAGCGCGAATTCGATCTTTAATTTCGCGCTACAGGACATTTCTATCCTCCCGGGGACTGGAATTTTACATTATTTCGCCTGAAATCTAATATCGAAATAAAATGACTGTCCCAGTTTTATGAATTTGCCCACGGATGAAACATGGGTATAAAACTAATTTCTCCACGTGCTATAGCAATCCCCGAGGATGAAAAATAAAGATTTTGTTAAGATTTCATTTATATTTTGATCAATTTAAATAACGGAATGGTATTTCTTTCCCCCTGCGAGCCATGTCTAAAATTCCTCGAACAAAGTACAATAGTAAAGTGTCGTTTTTTAATGTGTCAATCGTTGAATCGAATTAACTATAACCCATACATCCATAAGATGCGCTGCTAGAATGTTTAATTAAGTAACCTTTAAAATTAAATGGTCAGATCCACTGGTCATTGTTTATTCTAATCCGTATAATTTGATCATCTTTAAAATGCTACACTTTATTTGATATAAATATATTTTTCATTATTTTTTCTTGTTCTTGTTCTTCTTTTTCTTATTATTATTATTATTTATTCATTCTTTTTAGAATCTGCTTCTATTTTTTTCATTATACTTGTAAAACCCTCGTTAGTTCGAATCGTGGGCGCGATATAATTGTTATATTGACTAAGAAATTGTCTGAAAGTTACCTTCATGGTCATATGGATAAAATATATGGTTTGTGTATGGTTTGAATTTTTTGGTACCAATAAAATGTAGGATAAACGTAATGGTGTTATTTTTCTAGAACTATAGATTTTATCTCTGCAATTATGTGAAACGGTGAGAAAACAATTTGCGGTTTAAGAATTTTATACATTTTTTCTTTGATTTACTCTTGTCCAGTTCAACGGCATTCCAAACTGCCCGCTGCTTGCGCATTATGTCCAGTAAGTGACCCGGCCAATGCGCAGCCGGGCAGCTCGCTAAATCCCATATATCTCATTTAAAACATATGCTTTTTGTTTTTTAAAACTGTTTTAATGTTTGTCGATGGTATTCACGGCGACGCATTCATACATTATTTATTTACATTGACAGCAGGGGCAATTAAGCACGGTGTGAGACTGCACGCGTCCGTGCATTCTTGAGTACTTCCTCACGAGGTCAGCGCGCGAAAAGGTCAACGAAACAGTTCAGCTTCCCCAACGCGACTTGTTCAATTTAAATGATGGCATTTCACTAATTTTGACCCTTCTCGATAAATTACAGAAAACCAATTTCAAACCACTGATCGCACGTGAAATAGTTAAAATTCAAATCAAACCATTTGCCCAATTTCCAAAACACACATTATAAGTTGACATTGATTTTGAAAGGATGTTGGTATATCATAATAAGTAGCAACCTGTTTCTGGTTAAGAAAACTTCTAGATTTCATTGTATATAATATATTGATTTAGAGTTAGATTTTCCCATTCTTTGAATAAACATACATACATGTATGTGTGTGTGAGTGCGTGTCTGTGCGTGCGTGCATGCCGCGCGTCTTTAGAATGATTATCCACTAAACAAGTGGTGTATTTATGATAATTATACAAAACCTCTTAAAAAACTGACTCGAAATTGAGTCTAACGAGTTGCAATGAAAAACATTTGCGGGAGGGGGCGGGAGGAGTTGGGGATCAGTTTCCTTATGTCAACGCTCTATGTTGGAGAAAGTCATATTTAGGCCATATCATTTTGAAACTTTGGAAATTAAAGTGCAACCGACAAAATGTCTAAAAAATGCGCTTCAAAATTAAGACATAATTCAAGATGATGACGCTATTAGATATCCGGGCATTTTCAAGTGCTTTTAGGGTTGCACGCGAGTCTCAAACTAAGTGCAAAGCAAACAATCTTTTTAAGACAAATATTATCTGTATTTTACATAAAGGTTTATTAACTCTGTTGAGTGTTGAAAAAGCATTTTTTGTTCGGTGTGTGGGACGAGCTTTAATATCATATATCGTGCTTTCAAATTAGATGACGCTTCTTTCTTAAGTGTTTTCCGAAATAAGTAAATATTAAACGAGCAATTTTTGAGTGATTTATTTGTATGACAAATATTGATTTATGCAGCCATAATTTTGTCTCAAGTATAAGAAAGCGTCTTTTATGGGACCAATTTGATGTGGGCAGTCCATTCTAATATTATAATTTTCCCGCTCCTTTGTAGTAATATGACAAGATAGTATGACAGTATGTAAGTTGACATGTATTTGCGTCCCCTTAATAGTGGGTTAGGATAGCATTTGAATTATAACAAAGTTACGTCCCCTTAATTTAAGAGCGCCATGGAAAATGACAACAACAGTGGTATCAAACTTTTTACGTTATTACTTTATCAATATATACTATCGTGAATTTTAGCCCTGAATTTTGTTTTTATATATACATCAAAGAAATAAAATGCCATTCATGACAGGACACATGACTAGCTGATCTCTTTTTTTTTCCACTGTGCAAACTATCCAGTCTTTCGCTTTTAAAATGTTCAACAGTACAAGAGATTTCTAATCTCGCGACCCTACTCTGGATAAAGTCAAGTAAAGTAAAGTGTTAAGGGACGAAAGTGTTGTTAATAACAAGTTCTGTTTGCGTCTTACTATACCTTCTTAACAGCATTTATCACTGTTTATGATAGTCCTATAATATGACGTCGCTTTGAGATATTTTTGCTTCTGGGCAAAGCAACGTCATATCGAAATTGCTCAAAAACCCATAGCATGTTCCGCCAGAAAATCGGGCGGAACGAAAAACAATGAAGACAGCGTGTATTTACATAAGTTTTGACCTATTTATGAACAAAACTAAAAAATAAATACCTTTTGTCAAAATAATTAAACTGTCACTTCCGAAAAATCATGATTAAATCCTCTCATGTATTTCAATTCTTTTTACAGCCGATAAACAAATGGCGGCCATAAAGTGCGCGAAATCTGATTGGCTAATTCAAATGCAAGCGTTTAACTGAGTCAGAACAATCTAACGGAATATTTTTTAACAAAATAATAGCCCATGCACCGTCAGTGTGTCCGAATATATTTTTCCGTTCAAAAAATTTGAATCAATCTGTAAAGCACCTTGCTTAACCAGTATGGCTGATAGACAAAAATAGATTGATGTTTATATTTTATTTTAAATTGATAAGTACATTGTTTGAGAGTTTTTGTGTATAATTGAGCATGAAATTGAAAGAAAAGAAGATAAGCTTTTGAATAAAGCTTGAAAGGCAAGACAATATACATTTTTTGAATTTTTTATGATGCTATGCGTTTTTGAGCAATAACTATTAGACGTCAGGCTTGACCGACATAAACTATAACAAGCCTGTAACATCTAATATATTGGACTATGTTTATGAAAGAGGTTCTAGTATTGCTAAGTGTGTAATAAATGTTTTCACTAGATTTTATTGCAAACCTGAAAAATCCTCAGGTGGTGAGCGGATTTTTTAACTCCGGACCTCACGATCACAAGGCGGAAACTCAACCAAGTCGGAAAAGGGTTTTAACCCATCAGCAAGGCTGTTGGAAATGGCCTACACCTGTAATCACTACAATTCCATAGTTTGGCATTTTATTCAACAACTGTTTTAAATATTTTTTCACTTGTGCACCAGTCAATTGAAGTAGCATTGGGCATTATTAATTTATTTCAGTCTGTTATACTACCTGTTCATAATGCAGACAAATGGTTAGATGAATGTCTACAGTCTGTAGTGAACCAGACATACTCAGGTAGTCTAGAACTGTCTGTGTACCAGGACTCTTGTACAGTAAGTTTATTTTATGTCATAAAGATTTTTTACAAGCTACTAGTATATTGTACACTCTAAATAATTACATAGTGAACAAGCATTTATGTAAGGTCATATTACCTGGTTACCTGGTCAATGTTTTTTGAATTTCTAATATTTTACCATTGTTTTCTTTGATTAAAATTTCATATAATTAAAAAACTTGCAGCAGCAATGCATAATGATGATCTATTTAAACACCCAAGGCTGCAACAGCAATTTTCTGATACCCGACGCTATGGTTTTAGCTTCTAAATGATTAAATATGGGAATTTTAATTGTACTTTGTAGGTTTAATGATATAGCCTTTATAGGAATTCTTTTAGTTAAAATATATTTATATCCTGAATATAAACAAATCAACATTATATAATAATAATACTAGTTGGAGAGGTAGCTCCGACACATAGATAACCCCGACACTTGATAGATATAATTGTCATAGCTTTGTTTTTCAACAACCATTTTGAAGTGTTATATTAAGTCTTTGAACTGAACTTTGTTTAGGTGGTTCAATATTTAAAATATACAGGAAGGTAATTATGATATTGCAAAAAATATGATTTAGTGCCAGAGTTATCTCTCCAACCAGTATAGGTAATAATATATTCAAATAAAACAATTAGAACAAAAGGTTAAGTCATATAGAACAATTTTCTCCTTAAATAAACTTTTAACTATGTACTTGTTAATGATATGGAAACATGTTTTCTCTTCATTTTATGAATGTAATACAAGTAGTTTTTATTGCTTTAGTGAAACATAGCAAATATATAGAGTATTACTTTTTGTTTTTAGGATAACTCTGAGGAGATCATAAAGAAATGGAGAACAAAATTAGAAGAACAAGATGTAAAGATTGTAATTGGAGGACATAGTGATAAAAATCCTAGAGGAGGTTTATCTAAAATCTTAACTTTTTTATTTCAAAATTTAGCCCTTCAATAGTATGCATTTTAATGCTCACTTATACAGATTACTTTCTTAGGTAAGAGAACAGTTCTTAATTTCATTTTAAGAGAACTCTCAGCTCTTTATCAAATAATTTTCGTCTTTGAAATTGTGTGTATCATATTGATAGATGTATCACTTTTCAACCCTTAACCTGTGAAATGTTTGTAATAGATTTGCCCAGCTTTGAATTCAGAACAGTCCATTTAAACGTTAAGGGATTTCAACATCAAAATACAAAACTTGAGCTACCAACAGTATAGAGCTTGTTCAGACTGCCCAAAAATGCAGGCGCTCGCCAAGCTCTTTACATGTGGCAAAGGCTAATCACTTGCCTAAATTCCAGCTGATTAAGGTCAACTTATATTATTTAACATTATAAATTAATATAACTTAATCAATGATAGCCATTTTATGTATCCTCAATAATGTTTTATATTATAGTTGGTTATGCAAAGAACAGGGCTATTGATCAGAGTTCAGGGCAGTATTTGTGCTTTTTGGATGCTGTAAGTGATATACAATATATATTATCGTATTTCTTTACATTCTGAAATTTATAAATATCTGAAATTTTGAACAATTGTGACTCTTTCAAGGTAGATACTTGTAGTGGCAATGATAACATTCTTGTTTTTAGATAGAATGTTTATTTATTTTTCCTTTTACTACCAGGATGATGTCATGGATAAAGACAGAATATTAGAACAGTATACAGCAGCCAAGGCTTACCCTGACAGTGTAGGTTGTTTAATCAGATTAAGATCCTATCTTCATTACATTAAACAATATGATAAGCATGGCATAGAAAGCATTTATAAAGATTGATTTTTATAAAGAAAAAGAGGATATCTATGAAAGCAAAATGAAAGGGAAAAATTGTACTGATTGTTCATAAAACAGCTTTTGAACAAGATAATAATTGTCAAAAAGTTGATCTAAATATTGATCCAGATTTCAAATTTGTTTTGTATTTTGACCTGGCTGTTACAGGCATTTTGACAATACTATTACATTCCTGAATCTTATCCCAGAATGACTTGGTTTCATTATCATTTTGAATATTTTGTCAATGTGTATGAACCTTATTTTACCAATATACCATCCATACAGCAATGAAAACAAAATCTGGATCCTTTGATCCTGATCCTAATTTATTTCTCACTGGATACAGGGCTTGGATATTTAATTGGAGAAATGTATACATTGTTACTCATATATTTTTCACATTTCTGGTATCATTTGTATAGTTTCTCACCTTAATGCTTAGAAAATATCTTTATTTTACTAGCCTACTGACAAAAATAATAAAATTATAACTTTCATTTTTGTGCGCCAAATGTCTGAACTCAGCATTTTGTATTTTTTTACAACTATATGCTAGAATTTTCACCAAAAGTTACTAAAATTGCAAGTATGCCCGCAAAATTGAGCCTTCTCAGTAAAGAATGGTGGCACACAAAGAGTGGTAACCTAATTATAGATGTTCTAATGTGACATGCCATGAAGATTTTGTTTAAATTGTAGATTATTGGATGTAAGTTTCACAGAGATCCTGAGGGATCCACAGAGAGGTTCACAAAATGGGCAAATATGATATCTCAAGAGCAGTTACTGACACAGGTATGTTCAATATCTTAAATTAAGTGGCGGCATAGCCGATTGGTTAAAGCGTCAGACTAGTAATCTTATGATTGCTAGCCGCATTGGTTCAAACCCCATCAGGGGCAAGTCGTTGTTTCCTTGAACAAGTAACTTTACACTCATTACTCAGTACTGGTTGGTTCCAGGAATGGATTCAAAAGTATGTCTATATCTCTGAAAAATATACACTGGTACTTGTATTTAGATCTGCCTTTCATGTAAGGTTTAAAAGGTTCATCAGTTGATTAAATGAATATAATATTCATATAAATAGAACATTGTCATTGAAAATTGGATCTAAAATTGTAGTATGAAAAATATATTACTTATCTTTCTACAATTATTAGAATTAAAGAAAGAAAACTTTATGCTGTGTATTTGTCAGTATCCATGAAACATTTACTGTATGGGAAAAAAAGAAAGAAAAAAAGGGAAAAAGTGCAATAATGACAATAACAGTAAGATATTAATGTACATATTACATTCAGGTGTATACATCACATGGACCCACTGTCATAATGCCAACATGGTTCTGTAGCAGAAAGCTGTATGATAATGTGGGCAGTTTCTCTAAGGCAGGAAAAGTAAGTGTTATTTGTTCTTAAAACTATAATAGTTAGTTTTATATGATATATGCTGTAGACTAAGTTGAAAGCTTTTTTCCTGCCCTTGTAAATACATGTGAATATTTATACATATATATATGAAATTACTTCACAAGTTTGATATCTGAGCCTACTAAGTAGAAGACAGTGGCACAGAAAATGTGTGATAAACACTGTATAATGTCTTAAAATCATGACTATTCTTTTGTCTTGTTCAAATGTGAGATATTTTGCAGATTTAATAAACATTTTGAAAGGAACTTGATATTTGGACAATTGTAAGATTAATACCAGAAATTGAAATGAAGTTCGATAGACGCCATGGTTTGTTTTTAAATTTGATTCAAGGTGTTATATAACTTCACATCATTTCTTCCATGAAATTCATGACATTAACTTTAAATTCTCTTAAATTATTATTTTCCAAGACAATGCTGTAAATATTTTAAATGATTTTTCTGTTTAAAGGGTGTACCAGAAGATTTGATATTTTTCTACAAGCACCTGGAACTTGGAGGGGGTTTATACAGGGTGGAGAAAGATTTATTGATGTACAGGTACCACACAGAGGCAACAACATTCTCTGTGAAAGAGTAAGTTAATGCACTTTGTTTGAATTGGTTACATAGTATAAAAAATGGTCTAGATGAATTTCAGAAGTAATTATCTGAAATCTTAATTTTTCATACAATCTTCTATAGAGTGTTAAGTAAATGATAGAGTTAAGTCCACAAGAGTTCAGGAATACTTAAAAGTTTTAAAACTGAAATGATGGGTATAATCAACAATGAACAGGATAAAATTGGATAATTGAATTGTTAATGATGAGTTTGTTTCTTTTTCTTGTACATTTGTATATTTTGATGTTGTTGGTCTTTAAGGGACTCCACTGAGATTTTTAACATGGCAGGACTGGAAATAATTTTTGGAGATTGTTGCTACAATTTGATGTAGGTCTACAAGTGAAAAGTTTTACTTTTAGAGCATTTTCTCACTCCATTTTTCCAGAATATTTATTCTAATTGTCATAAATGACAAAAAGTTGGAAAGCGTTGCAATGGTTTTCATCCAAATCAGTCTAAGAAAAGCACAAAAATTTGATTTTCAATTTATTCGCAAGTATTATGTATTAGTTACTATATTTCTTAATTATCGTTGCATGTCTTTCTGTTTTACGTGCCCGCCTCGTATATGCAAGAAGTTCAAATTTTATGGTTTCAGGTTTTTAGACCTCAGTGGAGTCCCTTTAAAGTTTCTAGCTGTTTTAAACCAATATTAGTTTATTTCTAGAAAAAATTACCACATATATCTTTTGTTAGAATTTTTTTTTGCAATAAATTTGACTTTTTACTTGACTTTTTATATTTTTAGAGAAACAATATGGAAGGAGCGTGTACAATTCTTAGAGAAACAAGTGTTAACAAAATGGCCAACATTTACAATATGGAATGCTGGGAAACAGGGGAGGAAACTCTATAGATCTCTTTCAGCACCTAATCAAAAAAAGGTAAAGTGGATTTTGTAATTCTGTTTTAAAAATAAATTGTACTAGTCTAGTCACACTTCATCTTAAATATATCCATTTATTATCCCTCGTTTATAAAATTGGAAGGTAGATATTGAAACGATGTTTGCCATCTATCTTGCTCCATATTTTAAATTTAGTTGTCCAATCTTATTAAAACTTGGCAGGAATATCTATATTCATATAAAGGGAAATGATGTTCAACAGTTGTCATGAAAACCCATCTGTGGGTTTTTAATTTTAACATAAAGACACCAAATTCATTTCTTTTTATTTTCTGAGGTACTTAATAGTTAAAAACTTTATTTAAGTGATTTATATGGATATCAAATCAACAAATTTACTTGTGGATTTAAATTTATTTACATTAGAAGTGTTTTATGTAAAAAGAATTTTGTTGGCAAATAATATATATGAGATGTGCAGGTGTTTACTTTTAATAAAGTCTATTCAGCATTCCAGTTTGACGATGAGCTGCTCGCTCCTTCCTAATCTGTAATTTTTAAGCTTTATTAATTCAATTCAGCCTTCCATGGAGTTAGACCTTACTCTATATTATAGTGATTAGTCAATAAAATTATGCAACGGATCTAATGAAAATTCCTATTCCCCAAATATATTTGTTTGGTAATCAGGGTTTTCATTATTAACAAATTGATGATTAATATGATCAGTTAAAATGCTGTTAAAATCTGTTGTATTTTCAGCCTGTGTATTAAAATATTACTCTTTGACATTTGGCAAAATTATTATTTTCTTTAGCCAATCTTTGCCTCAGATAAAAATGAAAACCCTGCGGTAATATAGACCAAAATCGAAACATGCTTCCTTTTGGCATCTTTGGTAAAAAGAGCTGATGTCACAAGTTGAAGCATATAATCAGATGGAGCTTTTGCCTTTAGAATAATCAAAGATTGGTTTTATCATAGAATACACAAAGTTTACTGAATATCATTTTTTTAAAGCAGCTTGTGTCTATATTTATGCTTATTCTTTTGAAAATTTAAAATTGTTTTAGATAGCAAAACTTCTGTCAAGTGAATAAGTTAAGTTAATTTGGGTAACATAAGGTTTAAAATCACAGTAATATGCATTACATAAAATATGTTTAGATATATGAACAAAAGCCTTTAACAGGGTAAGTTACATGATGATAAAAATGTAATTTTAGCCATATTTTGCACTTAGTATATATAGAATTACATAGATGTGTGAATATTATTTATTCATTTATAATACTTTTGATGTATTAATGTTCTATTTTTTTATATTTTTTGGCTACGTTGATTCACCTGGATGTGAGCAGCTTTAAGCTTTTTCATAGTATGATATTTTTGTACTTGTATAATTTAATAATAAATATACAGTACATTAATATTATCTGAATTTAGAACAGTCTTTTGGAAGTTTAAGAAAATTTGTATCATATTACAAAAATTGAGTTATCAACAGTTTAGAGCCAGGTCAGATTGCATACAAGAACAGGCTGGCCTGGCTGTATACTTGTTGCAAATGGTGGTCAATTTTGGTTCAAGTAGGGTAAACCTTAAAGGTAACATAGAGTAAAATATTTATTGTAGACCTATTTAAAAAGTTACAAAAAAAAGTAGGTCTGTCAAGTTTAAAAAAAATCATTTTGGGAAAGGAACCTTTCATATGTTGAAGGTTAAGAGTTGAAATGAGCTCTAAATTCTGTCAACAAAGCATCGATGAAAAAAGTACAGACGACTCCGGTTATAGCGAACTCGATGGGACATTAAAATATCGTTCGTTATATCCGAAGTTCGCTAAAAGCGAAGTAGCAACAACTTGCTGACTTGTTTGGATGGGGAAATTTGCCGTGAAAAAGCCATACTTTTCACTATTTACCGGTGTAACCGGTATTTTACTGCAGCGGTTATTAAATGGTTATTTAATGCGGGGCATTTTATTAAACAATATATTATGTACATTGTACATGTATTTATTCATGTTGACCTTGTCTATAAAGTATTCTTTTGCTATTTGTTTATTATCGTTTGGTTAATATTGCAAACAAAAACAATCGATTATTTGGTAATTATCGGGTATTAACAGCAATCAACTGAGGGTGCGAAATACAAGTTTTCCGTAACAAGTAGGAAATTATGTTGTGAGAACATGTTATCAAAATCTTTATTCCCTGAAGCCATAACTAATATGTGCAATCATTCGATTGTATAATTATCGGATAGCGATATTAATGTACTGATCCTAATCGAGTGCATCCCGATATTTCAATTATAACAATTTGTTATAACCGAGGAAATTTACATGTTTTCCGTCATTTGGGGCTTGAAAAATGGTTCGTTATAGCCGAAAATTCGTTATATGCGAGTACATATTAAGCGATGTGATTTAATATAAAATAAAGAAGGAATAGGCCGGGGATGTCAGATTTAGTTCGCTATTAACGATAATTCGTTATAAGCGAGTTCGTTATAAGTGGAGTTGACTGTATCATAATCAGCGTATTATGCTTATTCTTGGAGATGATATTGTTGACTTCAAAGGGAGATTGTTGTTATGTAGTAGTAATCAAATTGGAAGAGATAATAATTTGCTATCTTTTGTGTTAGATTATACTTAATGGTCTGAAGGTATTATTTCTTTTTATTGACACCCAGCCAGTAATTTTCATCTTAAGTGACTGAAGTTCATCAAAATGTAATTGCTATAATAAGCTGTAATGACATTTTATGAATCATTTGTACGAGTGTGCTGAGTGTGCATCAAAATAATACTAGTCCAGACTGGTCATCTGAATTGATCACTTTTCCCACATTTTGATCAACTTCACCATTCAGTGATAGAGGAGTATCATGTCTTAATTTATCATCGGAATCAATCTACTGTACCATGTGATTAGGGCTATGATTGTCTGTCATAAATTACGTGTAAAATTCTCACTTATTGCGGAAATCAATTGTACATTTTACACAAACCTTATACAATAGATCAAAGACATTCTGTGAGGATGTTTAGATATTTTTAGAGAAAAGAAAATCTTCAAAGACCTCGTGAAAAAAAAGTTTGGGAAAAAAGTATCGAAGAGAAAAAAAGTATCGAAGAGAAAAAAAATCACCATAATTCTTCATCAGTAAATTTTCTACCTGATTTGCTTCTTTCTTAAGGGAACTGGACAGTTTGGATTATAAATAAAGCAGGTTTTTCAAAGACTCGGACACTAGATTTTCCGGCTCGGCTCATGTTTTTACACGATTGAAAAGGAAACTGTCCGGTGATTTTAGAGTAGAACCATCTTCTTCTATGATTTACAATATAATCGTTGACCCGCGATGCTAAACGTATTATAACCTTAATTGCTAATTAGCATTTTGAAATTGATCTAAGGCGGGGATGAGAGTAGATCAACACTGGCTTAAATTTCAATCAGTCTCGGTGACAGGATTTTTTTAAAACATGGTCTTTAATTTTTCTTTTGATCTCTAAGTCTTAGAAAAAACAGTTTTTATAATTTTTGGCTTGATAAACATTTGGTTAAATTTCAATTAGTTATTGTGACAGAAAATTTTCCTGGACGTTGATTTTCAAACTTTGATGTCTTTGGTTCCATGGAAATGGTTTGTTTTCAAACCTGTTTGCCCATATTGATAGCTGTATAATTTTCATATTTTTTTTTCAATCGGAGAATTATTTAAAATGAGAATTCAGGCAGTGGTTAAATACCACACCTGTCGGAACACTCCAGATTTATAACTTCCTGAAATAGTGTAATATCAGTTATGAATTTTTAACCCCCTACATACATGTGACAAATGAAATGGGCCAAATCTGGATTTTCAGCTGGATTTTGAGGCTCAAAACTGGATTTTTTTATCGACTCGAATTTCAGTGCGTGTTTGGCACATTTGGTTCAAAGAATCTATATTACCCTCAAAATCATTAAATGATTATACTTTTTATGATTTTTTTGTTGATCAATATTAATTTATTTCACCAAAAAATAAATAAATAGATAAATAAATAAGTGTTAGTCATACTGGCTATTTCTAAAACAGTCAACAACTTTCACATTTCATTATTTTTCAGTTTTGAAGAATTATAATGTCTTTTCAGTCATTCAAAAATTAAACACAAGCTATTTGAAAACGTGCAACAACTATTCATAAACATGAGACTATGACAGTTAAATAACTTAACATAAGTAAAAGACTCAAAATAAATGCAAGAATCGTTCTGTTATTAAATCCACATTTTTGCCTGATGATTGCGTCATTCCTAAACAAAACAAAAAATTACCCACTCACTAAAAATAGGTTAATTAGACATCTCAAACAGGTTTTGAATGATCCAGATGATTCTGCTCCGCTTTTATCTTTATCAGTGCTGCACTAATCAAAGAAAATCAAAGGTTGAGCCGAAATCATACATGTAAATTTACAGGGTAGTTTTGATGACGTAGCGTGTAATACATACTGCCAAATTACAAAAGAGGTCAATTGACTGACACACGACACGTGATAAGTTAAACATGTGAGAATAACTTTGGGTATTGGAACTGTTTATTATGTCACCTTGCTGTCAATTAGCGACTCAACATTTAATCCGCTATAATTTAGGATATGGACAGATAACAATCAATGCCCGGAGGCACGGTTTACATTTTAGATACAGGTGCTGTGTTTGATTTTTTTTTTATGTTGATTTTTTTGTTAAATATCGGGAATTCAAGCTGTAATATCGGGAATCGGGATCAGTGTTGAAATATCGGGATTTTTTAAAATCCCGCCGGGATGTCACATGTATGCCCCTATTTTTAACCCTTTGAGTACTAGTGATCATATTAAAAGATCAAATATTCCATTAAAGGGGCAGGTCAGCCTATACTTCCCTTAAAGGCCCATTATATTCCAGAAATGCCTTTATTTTTATTTCTATTTTTATTTTGGGTGTTATATTTTCCAAAAAGTAACTCATCAGCCTATTACATGAACCATCTTTTGTTCCTGTTTCTTCTTGTCAATTATTACAGTAATAGAATTTCACTATTTAGTATGGAAGACAAATTACTACTTTGTTTACATTTTGCTATTTTTATGACAAATAATTTGCATTCAGTGCTATTTTCTTCATATGTTAAGCATTTGTCGTGTTCTAAAACTATTATTTAAATGCAATTAAACAAATGTTTTCTCTTTCTAACAAAAGAAACAACAAACTTATAGTGTTTAGTCTGGTATTTATGAGGTAATATTTTGAATATTACTCCCCCCCCCCCCCAAGTGGTAGAGGTAAGCTTAGTATTTTGATAGAGAATTTTAAGGAATTATTAATATATAATCAGTTCAATGAAAACTAATGCTTTTCTTTAGCTTTCGACATTTAGTTTTCTTTTTTAAGGAATAATTAAGAAATACATGTTCATTCTTTAAGTAATAGAAAGAGCACCGAAACATGAGGCTATCTGATTTGTACGAGGGGGCGTAGCCCCCGAGTATAAATCAGATTGCCGAGTGTTTTGGTGTTCTTTCTCTTTTGTATCATAGTCAAACATGACAGCACGATCCCTGTTGCCATAATATGAAACCCCAGAAAAAAATAACCAATGTACGAGCATTTGAATATGATAGTTCTGCCCCTTTCCCTTTCTCTGCCGTCACAATAAGTAAACCCCAGCAAAAATGAACCAATCAACGGGCATTGTCTGGAGTGCGGGTAACTGATACCTGCACTCCAGTTACCGCACTGTGCATGTATATGTATACGATTTAACTCGGACACTTTTTCAACAGAAAGGTTCCCAAACTATGATACAAAGCCTGTTTGTTAAATATTTTATTTGTTTAATCTTTTTTTCTTGCAATATTGCATACATTTTCAGAATGTTTAATTTTTGTTGTGTCCAATTTTAATTGTTTATTTAACTTATTCAGTCATTTTGGAAAAAAGCATTGTGCAATAAATCAGTAATATTGGATATGTAAAAAGGAATAATACACTAGTCAAAATTGGTTCTTTTGAAGTAAGACTTAGTATACTTAGATAAATTGTTTATCCATAGCTGATACCATGTAAAGATGATGATAATTTTTCTTACAATATTAAAGGAGCCCCACTGAGATACAATTGCCTAGAAGCATGAAATTTGAATTTTTTACAAAGACCAGCTGGGCCACTTAAAACAGAAGGATATGCAAATTAAAGTTATTCAGAAATATACTCGGAAATGGATTGAAAATCATATTTGTGTGTTCTTCTTAGCCTGATTTGAGTGAAAAGAGTTGCAATGCCTTTCAATTTTTGGCCATTTTTCACAATAAGAATTATTATTTTGGAAAAATGGAATGAGAGCTAAAATAATCTGCAATTTTGCACACAAGTTATTGGTCAAGACCTACTGATACATTAAATGAAACGTTTATCTTGAAAAATTATTTCCAGTCTTATCATGTGAAAAAACCTCAGAGCCCTTTAAGAGACAAATTTATTTCCGCCTCTTTTTCTTTAGATTAGTTTTTCCTCTCTTATTGTTTACTCTCACAGTATAATATAATCTGCTCAAATTTAAATCGTCAAAAAGTAAAATATTGAGAAGTTGAATATTAAAAAATTTTCAAGAGCATATCTGAATCTAACCTTTAACCTGTTGATTATGTATCATCACCTTAGTGCAGTAACATGATAAGTCCTTCTAAATTTAATAGGAGTTAATCAGTTATTGCACTAAGGTGAGACCATATGGGACATGAATTTGAATTTGGAACAGTCCATTAAAAATTTAGGGGATTTCATTAACAAAACAGTATTGAGCATGGTCAAACACTATGGATGTTCAAACTGGCCTTACTCTATATAGGTTTTGCTTATTAACACTAGTCAATAGATTATAGGTTACCAAACATAATTTAAGAATTACGTGCTTTTTCCATATCTTCAAGAAAATTTGCATTGTTTAAACAGATTATTTTATAAATTTGATTTTACCTTTAACAACAGTTTTCTATTATACTTTATATATCAATACAGCTGCATGGAGCTCTCATTCTTAAATGGCTACCCGAGGTTTTGACATGTTTCATAATAAAGATTATAAAACTTTCTCAATCAAATATAAAACTCTCAATTAAAATTTTACAATACTAGAAGTCAGATGTCGCACTTGCCTGTGAAAACTTCAGGAAATTCAAATTAGCTCCCTTATAATGGTAATGTTTCAATTAGAGCGTTTACACCTGGTTAGGCAATGATCAGTGTGTGTTTATAGTGTTTTACAAGTGTCCGTACATCTACTTAGCATGCGGGTGTCATTTTCACACTTCATTTATTACTTCACGTCAGTTTTCGGGAGTAGAATTGTTTTCGATCGTTTCGATCGACATTCTGTGTGACAGTCTCACCGTCGTCATATCGACTTCTATTATGCCATGCTATCATAGTTACTAAACTGACCCCTTATGACAGGTTATTCTATCCACGGGAAGTCCCGTTGAAGAGTGAAATAGAAAACTGCCCTTTCTACAGGTGTTACGGGCCAGTCTCTAGGTTTTGTTTATTGTTGTGGTGAAAACATTGCCATTTAATGACTTAATTACAAACTCTGCAGGGCATGTCATAGCCCTACCTGTAAATTTTCCTCTCGAAAAATGGAGGCTGGGCTATTGTTATGATGTTTTTTAATTTACGGTCAAGATAGATTAAAACTGACTGTAATTTTTTACGGCCACTTAAGGTAACAGTACAGTACAATGGTGAAGTCAGTGGCAAAAATCTTGAGCTGACAAGGTCGGTTAAATTGTCAATTATCAGTCTAAATGAATTTAGGAAATTGCGTTAAGTGCCGAAAATGACAGTTATTGTCAGCAAAAATTTGATTGGGTTCAATTTTGCTCTTGGCTATGATTTCCTAACATTTCCCTCCATAAATTGATAAATTATTACAATGTTGTAAGATTGTGGGTGTCATTTTAATTTATTTTTCTCATGAACATTGTGTGCTTAATTTCGTTATAATTTTCACATAAATTACGATTCTCACGTAAATGAAATATGAGGGACTTAATGGCACAGTAATAAACTAAAGTAGGTTAATACATATAAATATTTCCATTCCCACCCATGTTAATTCAGAATGAAGAATTAAGATATTTGCCATAATAAAAATGTTTAAAATTAAAATTACTTAAAATCTTCATATTTGATTGTAGCTATTTCTGTAAAAGTTTGTACATGTATGTGGATTATTTCTATATTGCACTTATACCTAAAGGAATTAATATTGTATACATCATTATATAATGTCATGAAAACTTAAAAGCATTATAGAAAATACATGTACATCTATTCATATTTTTCCATCATACTTTTCAGTAAACAGGTAGTAATCAAAGAGTTTTTAGCTCACCTGTCACAAAGTGACAGGGTAAGCTTTTGTGATTGCTTTTCGTCCATCTGTCGTCCGTCCGTAAACTTTTAATTTAAATGACATCTCGTCATAAACCACTAAGCCAATTTCATCCAAACTTCACAGGAATGTTCCTTTGCTGGTCACTTTTAAAAATTGTTCAAAGTATTTAATTCCATGCAGAACTCTGGTTGCCATGGCAACCGAAAGAAAAAACTTTAAATATCTTGTTTTAAAGAACCCAAAGAGCTAGAGCTTAGATATTTGGCATGAAACATCTTCTAGTGAGTGTCTACCAAGTTTCTTCAAATAAAAGCCCTGGGGTCAAAATTGGCCCCGCCCCAGGGGGTCATTGATTTTCCCTATATGCATATAGTAAAAACTTAAAAAATTCTCTTTTAAAGAACCCAAAGAGCTAGAGCTAAGATATTTAGCATGAAACATCTACTAGTGAGTGTCTACCAAGTTTGTTCAAATAAAAGCCCTGGGGTCAAAATTGGCCCTGCCCCAGTGGGTCATTGAATTTCCCTATATGCATATAGTAAAAACTTAAAAAACCTTCTTTTAAAGAACTCAAAGAGCTAGAGCTAAGATATTTAGCATGAAACATCTTCTAGTGAGTGTCTACCAAGTTTGTTCAAATAAAAGCTCTGGGGTCAAAATTGGCCCCGCCTCAGGGGGTCATTGATTTTCCCTATATGCATATAGTAAAAACTTAAAAATCTTCTTTTAAAGAACCCAAAGAGCTAGAGCTAAGATATTTTGCATGAAACATCTTCTAGTGAGTGTCTACAAAGTTTGTTCAAATAAATGCCCTGGGGTCAAAATTGGCCCCGCCCCCGGGGTCATTGATTTTCCTTATATGTGTATAGCAAAAACTTAAAAAACTTCATTGAAAAAACCCAAATAGCTAGAGTTTAGATATTAAGCATGAAACATCTTCTAGTAAGTGTCTACAAAGTTTGTTCAAATAAAAGCCCTGGGGTCAAAACTGGCCCCGCCCCAGGGGTGTCATTGTTTTTAACTATATGTGTATAGTTAAAAGTTAAAAAATCTTCTTTAAAAAAACCCAATGAGCTAGAGCTTAGATGTTTAGCATGAAACATCTTCTTATGGGTGTCTACCGCAAAGTTTGTTCAAATAAAAGCCCTTGGTTAAAAATCCTGGGGGGGGGGGGGGGGGGTGGCAAGAAGATTCATTGTTTTTCATTATATGTGTTTAGTAAAAAACTTAACATCATGAAACATCTTCTAATGGGTGTCTTCCAAGTTTGTTCAAATAAAAGCCCTGGGGTTTAAACAGGCCCCGCTCCGGGGGCCTATATACAGGTGAGCGACCTCAGGGCCATCATGGCCCTCTTGTTTCAATGTCACGGAGTTCAAGTTCATAATAGGGGTGTCTGTGGCCAAGTGGTTGAGACAGTTGACTTCAAACTTTTTGCCCCTCACTGCTGTGGGTTCGAATCCCGACAAGGACTTTGGATTCTTTCGTGTGAGAAAGCTATTTGTTAGACTGCATGCAAATATATAATTAAAATTTACTTTGACTATAATAAAGATGTACAATGTTATTTCATTTGATAGGTTGTAGCATTCTGTGATGTTGACGAGAAGAAAATCAGTAAAGGTGTGTACATCTATGAGGAATCTAAGGTAAATGTTGAAGTTTGGTAACATTTAATAAGAATTTTTAGTAAATCTACATCTAAATAAAATTTAGTGTAACTGATGGTAAATCTATGAGGAATCTATTAGGATGAATGTTTTTAAGATTTGTAACATTAAAGGAGAAGTTTTAGTAAATCTACATCTAAATAAAATCTAGTGTAACTGATAGTTAGTTAACCTATGAGGAATTGAAGGTAACTGATAAGATTTGGTTCAATCCATGAGGAATCAAATGTTACTGATAAAATTTTGTTACACCTGTATTTCATGGTAAGTAATAATTTTTATTAAATCTATGAGGAATCAAAAGGTTACTATGAAGAAAAAATAATCTTAAATCTATGAGGAATTAAAGGTAACTGATCAAGTTTTGTAAAATCTATTAGGAATCTAAAGTAACATCTATGAGGGATCTATCAAAGGTAAATGATAAGTTTTATTTCATTTACTACTTAAGCAAAACCTAGTGTAGTTGATGTTTTGTTAAAACTATGAGGAATCTAATGTTGCTGAGAAGGTTTTGCTACAATAGTGGGAAAACTTGGATAATGGAAATAATAATAAAAAAAATTGTTTTCACAGTCAAAAAAATAATTTTAGTTATATTCCATAGCGAATCATGTGAAGTTAATGAATACTATAAAATAATTTACATTTTTATGCCCCCACAATGTGGGAGCATATAGCGTTGCACTTGTCCGTCCGTCCGTCAGTCCGTCCGTCCGTCCGTCCGACCGTACGTCCCGAAATCTTGTGAACGCAACTCCTCTTAAACCGGATGGCAGATTTTGCTTAAACTTACAGGGATGAACAACCTTAATGTGTAGATGGTAGTAAAGGAAGGAATTTTTGCTGCGACCAAATTTAACAGAATTATGGCCCTTTGTTGATTTTTTCACGAGATACTATGTAGAAATTTTGTGAACGCAACTCCTCTTAAACCGGATGGCAGATTTTGCCTAAACTTACAGGGATGAACAACCTTCAGGTGTAGATGGTAGTAAAGGAAGGAATTTTTGCTGCGATCAAATTTAACAGAATTATGGCCCTTTGTTGATTTTTTCACTAGATACTATGTAGAAATTTTGTGAACGCAACTCCTCTTAAACCGGATGGCAGATTTTGCTTAAACTTACAGGGATGAACAACCTTCAGGTGTAGATGGTAGTAAAGGAAGGAATTTTTGCTGCGACCAAATTTTACAGAATTATGGCCCTTTGTTTGATTTTTTCACTATATACTATGTAGAAATTTTGTGAATGCAACTCCTCTTAAACCGGATGGCAGATTTTGCTTTAACTTCCAGGGATGAACAACCTTAATGTGTAGATGGTAGTAAAGAAAGGAATTTTTGCTGCAACCAAATTTACAGACAGATTATGGCCCTTTTTTGATTTTTTTATTATATACTATGTTGAAATTTTGTGAACGCAACTACACTTAAACCGGATGGCAGATTTTGCTTAAACTTCCAGGGATTAACAACCTTAATGTGTAGATGGTAGTAAGGGAAGGAATTTTTGCTGCGACCAAATTTAACAGAATTATGGCCCTTTGTTGATTTTTTAGTTTTCAACTTGTGGCACATGTAGTCCAAAAAATATTTGACCTAGAGTCATAAGATTGACAGAACAGTGGCGTGTGGGGGCATCCGTGTCCTATGGACACATTTCTAGTTGTAATGGACTTGACCAGCTTAGAATTTCAAACAGTCCATTCAAAGTTTAAGTGATATATCAAAAAACAAATATTGGTCTACCAACAGTATAGATCTTGGTCAGACTTCATAGTTGCAAAGGTTAATTACTTTCATTTTCTTCAGGTTAAAGGATAACCACTGAGGTCTTTTGACCGAAAATATTTGGGGTGTTTTTTCTTCAAAAAATTTTGTATAACCTGATGTAGGGTTAGACCAATAACTGGTGTTCCTTTAAGGATTAATTTATTCCTCTTTCATTTCTATTTTAGGAGAAACCCAAACCAAGAATTCCAGTCGTACATTTCAAAGATGCTGTAACACCCTTTATCATCTGTGTTAAACTGGTTAGTATACATGTACCAGTATATCATATACAAATTAGTCACTGTCTGGCCAGTCTATATAGCTTAGCTGTAGAAATTAGCAGTAACAAACCTTTTGTTTTTTTCTTCTATACCTTTACTTTACTTGCCAGTAACTGCAATTAATTCATTAACTGGCATTTTGTAAAGATTTTGGTTATTTTAGAGGTGTTAATTATTTTTGCCTTAAAATGTGGCAAATAACTACACAAGTCATAAAGAAATGTGATCATAGTTCACAACTATATATAGAAAAAAAGTCAATTACTATATAGTATATTCAGAAGGTGCAGGCATAGTTCACAACTATACATAGGAATGTGGCCATACTGTTCACAACTATACATAGAGTATATGTGGCCATATGTCACAACTATACCCATGAAAATAGGGCTGTAGTTCAAAACTATACATGTGAAAATGTGGCCATAGTTCTTCACTATTATATTATGTATTTCAATATTAAAAGGAATCTTGCCATCTTTTTTTCAAAATGCATATTTGACTTTGTCTTTGTCATGTTATGTACATGTACTTAAAAAATTATGCAATTAATTAAACCATGTACCTTCAAGTTCTTAAAAAACAGGGGGAAAAAGAGAAGAAAACGCTGTTCCAACAAATTTTATTTTTACTTTAACGCTCCTATAATTGTCAACAATGCAGGAAATTTACACTCAAGATGAACAAGCAATTATTATACAACAATATTTATAAATATTTTATTAAAAACATTCAGAATACGGTCAAATTTTGATGAAAAAACCCTAAATCTTGTGTGTTAATTTTATATTGGCAGATCAACACAGGTTTATTTTTGCTCAATATTGTAAAGTAGAAAATGTCAGAGAAAAGTTATACATTTGTTTACAGTCTGACCAAATTATCTGAAAAAACAATATTTGTTTCACTGGATCATCGTTTCCTAGTATACCATTATAACATTTGACTCTTATTTTATTTATTCCATTCATTATAGGGGTAAAATTGTTAACGGGATATCAGGATGTATGTAAAGGGAGGTTACTAAGTCATTTTTGGGACTACTTTAATACAAGTTATCTTTTACTTTCAACACTCATAATTGATTATAGACTTATATAATCATTAGGGTATGACTGAGTTTGAGGTATGACTTATGTTAACACTTTATACTCATGAAATAAGCATTATGGTATTTATGCCTTTAAGATTTTTCTTCCAATTGATTTGACTGTATGCATTTAAAGGTCTATTATGCCTCAGAAATGCTCTCAAAAACTGTTTAATTTTGGTATCTTGTAAAAAAAATACTCATTTGCCACACAGATGAACTAATTTTTGCTTCTTTGCCCTGTTGACAATTGGTATATTTGAAGTGAATCATTTATCATATGAAAGTCAAAATACTCCTTTGCTTAGATTTTGCTACTGGGTTAAAGACACTGTACTGCATATTCAGTGCTACTTTCATCAGTTGTTTATCATCTAATATGCTAAAAATCCATTTGTTAAAACAAAATTAAACACATGCTTGACATTTCTAAATGATTAAAAAAAAACAGTTTTTCGAGGCATAATGTGCCTTTAAGAGAAAGCACAAATATCACAGCTTTGTGAAGGAATGATGCTATATGAGGTATGGAATACACACATTTTTCTAATATACATTTAACAAGTTAAAGCTTTAGTTTTCTTGCATTGAAACACATGGGATGTAAAGGAAATTCAATTTCAGTGAAGCAAATGGTAGTGAAATTTAAAATGGTGGATTTAGTGGATTCTAGTATTTAGATACACTTTTGCTGGAGGTAATTTTACTTTCAGATAGTTACTATTATTCTCCTTTTTGTCTCCATGAAAGAACAATTTGTTTTGAGTTTAGTGTTTATTATACTCATTATTTTATATTATTTCTTTTGTTTAAAGTAACTCAGACATGATTAAGTTATTTTGGTAACTTTCAAGCTGTTGGAAAAACAAATCCAGGGGTGCTTTCTTGTGCATTGTTTTAGACATAAGATAGAGCTAAAATCCCTCCGTATTCTAGTATATTAACATTCACACTTGGAAGCAAATTGGCCCTTGCTAGCTATATTTAGAATTGCCACAACATAATAATTATCACTGCGTATTTCATCTAAAAAGTAGATAGGATTTTAGGAGGGGTGGAAGTGGTAATTCCTCAACTTTTCCAGGAAGTCCTGGGGTCAAATGACTTCTCAGAGTAGCTCTAACCAGGTGTTTCAGATTTCTGGGTCGTGTTGCTGTGTATATCAGGTAGTCTTTCATATCTTCAGGTATATTCTGGGTTGCGTATATAATCAGTGGACTATATTTCGCAGCAGCCGACACTACAAATTCGAACATGGGTTGATTGTCCTGTAAGCATTGAACATACGGCACTATCGAGTAAGGATCCCGCAAGCGTTTCATCTCCATGTCTAATCCACTAGAGCAGAAGTTAATTATAGCTCCGTTTCTTATCATAAGTCTTACAATACCGAATCCTTCTTTCTTTCCTATGCATTTGAAATATTCAGTTAAAGGAGCAAGATAGGGATCGAAATAGGAATATGATGGGGAATATGCGTTAATGTCTGCCCCGCAGTCGAGGAGAAGTTGTATGATTTCTCTGTGCTCTATCAACTCTGGTAGTAGAACGGCGAGCTCATAAGGAGTTTGGCGTCCCTCATTTCTCGTTTTCATTTGGATCCTGCTGCCATGTGGAGAACAGCGCGACCAATATCAGCCCTTGCCTTTACATGATGGCAGTATGAAAGAGCGACTAATATCCCCTTTGACGTGCGAGTTTAGCCTTTTCGCGAGAAGAAATATTGGATGAATGACAATGTTCCCGCTACTTATTGCAAACTGAAGAACAGACTTCTGTTCAAATAATGGCGGACATATTGCATTTACATCTGCGCCATATTTAATCAGCTTTCTCACGGCTTCAATATGATGGTCCTTACATGCCTTCATCAGGGGAGACAACCCACATCTGTTGAACACATTTGGATCAGCGCCAAATTCAAGTAGCAGTTCTAAACATTCTGGATTTTCAAGAGGTGCTAAGCATACTTCATACCCCATAAAATATTTATTGTTTGGTCTAGCACCTTTTTCAAGCAAGAGTCTTGCACATTTTGGATGGCCGTTTTGAACTGCCAAGTTAATGGGTTCCATTGTTGTATAGCCAAGTTTGTTTGTCTCCTCTGTTTGGTGTATCTCTACTCCAGCTTCACAGTAGTTAATGATTGCCCCATTTTCTATCAGGGTCTCCATGGATCTGGAAAAAGTCATCAACACATAAATGTTAGAGCAATTTATAGGTACCGATTATATAGGAATTCAGTTAAATAATATAATACCGGTATATATTATATAAATGTCACAATTATCCAATGAAAAGTGATGTTACGAACATGCATTATTATAAAAGATTTACCTTTTAAAATACTAATAATATTACCCATGATTTAAGCCTTTGAACTCTAATAGCTATAAATGCATTGCTTATTCCTAGCCAGCGCCACATGTATAGGTCGAGGCCAGCATGTTTATTCTGACCAGATAATATCAAGTTGGTTGCTTGATTTCAGTATTTAGAAATTGAAATTCCTTTTGCCCTTAGCCTGCCAAAAATAATATCACCAAATAGAAAACTTCTTTTTTTTTGGGTTTTCCCAATCTTTTCAATGCGGACAAGACCATTCATCTTTAATACGCGCGAGGAATTTCAAACAAAATATCGTACTAACTGCAATAGTTGTGAACCAGTGCAGATCATGTTCAGACCCCCCTGCGTTAGGGGACTAGAATTGCTGGTGTCACTGGTTGCATGGGTAAAAAGTTGCCGATTACCAGGCAAGAGTATTTCACACATAACATATTCAATTTAGATTGATTTAACATAGTTTAAGAACCAATTTACAAGATTTTATCAGTTTCAAGAGTTAATATCAGCTGTTCGGCTGACAACTATGAGCATATATATTTGATACTTTACCTGGTTTGCCTATCTACCGGCAAGATGTAAGGGTGTAATCCAATATCCATCCAGTCTGAACAATTTACATTGGCCCCGAAATTCAGGAGAACCTCTATACACTTTGGATAGTCTGTGTAAGCTGCATAATGTAAGGGGTATAACCCACTTTTTATTGGTTTGTTCACATTGCCTCCACATTTAAGGATGATTTTCAAATCTTTCTCGGAAGCATGTAGATTTATAGCCTTTCTTAGCAGTGCCTGGATATCTTCTTGTGTCCATGCTTCACCTTCATCCTCCTTTTCCTTTACATCATTTGTGTGATTCTCTGTACCATTCTGTTCAACATTTTCAGCATTGTCACTTTCTTGCTCAGCAACTTGTAAATTTGCAGTATTTTCATTATTTTGTTCTTCATCTATACTTTCAGCTCCTTCAGCATTGTTTCCTACTTCTATATTTTCATCTCTTCTTTCATCTGCCTCATTATTTAGTTGCCTAGCCTCTCCTGTCGGCCCTCCATCATTGGTAGAAGCAGATTCATTTACTGTGTAGTTATTAGCTTGCTCTACACTTACACTTTCTTCATTGTTATTAAGATTGATTTGAACTTGCACAGTCTCATAAGAATCCATATTATTTTCAACTTCATCATCACTATGTTTAACAGCAGGCATCTCTTCTATACCACTATTACATTCTAATACATTTGCATATCCTTCTTCTGAATTTATGTTTTCTGTGTCAACTACTGTGTCACATTGTATGTCTGCTGTCTGGTTCAAAGCAACTTTTGTATTTTCTGTACTATATTCTGTACAAGGTTCAACAAGTGTCATCGAAAATTTTGTTTGATCATTAACAGATTCTGCATTAACACCACAGGAACTTTCACATGTAATATTAATTTCTGCTGCAACATCAGTTATACCTATACTTTTTTCAGAATTATCACATGCACCATCTTTATGCCCCCACAGAGTGGGAGCATATAGCGTTGCACTTGTCCGTCCGAGTGTCAGTCCGTCAGTCCGTCAGTCCGTCCGTACGTCCCGAAATCTTGTGAACGCAACTCCTCTTAAACCGGATGGCAGATTTTGCTTAAACTTACAGGGATGAACAACCTTAATGTGTAGATGGTAGTAAAGGAAGGAATTTTCGCTGTGACCAAATTTAACAGAATTATGGCCCTTTGTTGATTTTTTCACTAGATACTATGAAGAAATTTTGTGAACGCAACTCCTCTTAAACCGCATGGCAGATTTTGCTCAAACTTACAGGGATGAACAACCTTAATGTGTAGATGGTAGTAAAGGAAGGAATTTTTGCTACGACCAAATTTAACAGAATTATGGCCCTTTGTTGATTTTTTCACTATATACTATGTAGAAATTTTGTGAATGCAACTCCTCTTAAACCGCATGGCCGATTTTGCTTAAACTTACAGGGATGAACAACCTTAAGGTGAAGATGGTAGTAAAGGAAGGAATTTTTGCTGCGACCAAACTTTACAGAATTATGGCCCTTTGTTGATTTTTTCACTATATACTATATAGAAATTTTGTGAATGCAACTCCTCTTAAACCGGATGGCCGATTTTGCTTAAACTTACAGGGATGAACAACCTTAAGGTGAAGATGGTAGTAAAGGAAGGAATTTTCGCTGCGACCAAACTTTACAGAATTATGGCCCTTTGTTGATTTTTATGCCCCCACAGAGTGGGAGCATATAGCGTTGCACTTGTCCGTCCGAGTGTCCGAGTGTCCGTACGTCTGTCCGTCCGTCCGTCCGTCCGTCTGTCCGTACGTCCCGAAATCTTGTGAACGCAACTCCTCTTAAACCGGATGGCAGATTTTGCTTAAACTTACAGGGATGAACAACCTTAATGTGTAGATGGTAGTAAAGGAAGGAATTTTAGCTGCGACCAAATTTAACAGAAGTATGGCCCTTTGTTGATTTTTTCACTATATACTATATAGAAATTTTGTGAACGCAACTCCTCTTAAACCGGATGGCAGATTTTGCTTAAACTTCCAGGGATGAACAACCTTTATGTGTAGATGGTACTAAAGGGAGGAATTTTTGCTGCGACCAAATTTAACAGAATTATGGCCCTTTGTTGATTTTTTCACTATATACTATGTAGAAATTTTGTGAACGCAACTCCTCTTAAACCGGATGGCAGATTTTGCTTAAACTTCCAGGGATGAACAACCTTAATGTGTAGATGGTAGTAAAGGGAGGAATTTTTTGCTGCGACCAAATTTAACAGAATTATGTCCCTTTGTTGATTTTTTCACTATATACTATGTAGAAATTTTGTGAACGCAACTCCTCTTAAACCGGATGGCAGATTTTGCTTAAACTTCCAGGGATGAACAACCTTAATGTGTAGATGGTAGTAAAGGGAGGAATTTTTGCTGCGACCAAATTTAACAGAATTATGGCCCTTTGTTGATTTTTTCACTATATACTATGTAGAAATTTTGTGAACGCAACTCCTCTTAAACCGGATGGCAGATTTTGCTTAAACTTCCAGGGATGAACAACCTTAATGTGTAGATGGTAGTAAAGGGAGGAATTTTTGCTGCAACCAAATTTAACAGAATTATGTCCCTTTGTTGATTTTTTCACTATATACTATGTAGAAATTTTGTGAACGCAACTCCTCTTAAACCGGATGGCAGATTTTGCTTAAACTTCCAGGGATGAACAACCTTAATGTGTAGATGGTAGTAAAGGGAGGAATTTTTGCTGCGACCAAATTTAACAGAATTATGGCCCTTTGTTGATTTTTTCACTATATACTATGTAGAAATTTTGTGAACGCAACTCCTCTTAAACCGGATGGCAGATTTTGCTTAAACTTCCAGGGATGAACAACCTTAATGTGTAGATGGTAGTAAAGGAAGGAATTTTTGCTGCGACCAAATTTAACAGAATAATGGCCTTTTGTTGATTTTTTCACTATATACTATGCAGAAATTTTGTGAACGCAACTCCTCTTAAACCGGATGGCAGATTTTGCTTAAACTTCCAGGGATGAACAACCTTCATGTGTAGATGGTAGTAAAGGAAGGAATTTTTGCTGCGACCAAATTTAACAGAATTATGGCCCTTTGTTGATTTTTAGTTTTCAACTTGTGGCACATGTAGTCCAAAAAAATACTTGACCTAGAGTCATAAGATTGACAGAAAAGTGGCGTGTGGGGGCATCCGTGTCCTATGGACACATTTCTAGTTTCACTATATACTATATAGAAATTTTGTGAATGCAACTCCTCTTAAACCGCATGGCCGATTTTGCTTAAACTTCCAGGGATTAACAACCTTAATGTGTAGATGGTAGTAAAGGTAGGAATTTTTGCTGCGACCAAATTTAACAGAATTATGGCCCTTTGTTGATTTTTAGTTTTTAACTTGTGGCACATGTAGTCCAAAAAATATTTGACCTAGAGTCATAAGATTGACAGAACAGTGGTGTGTGGGGGCATCCGTGTCCTATGGACACATTTCTAGTTTTCTTCTCCACTGATTTCATAGTTTATCTCAGAATTGCTAGTTATTAAGTTACTGTCTGCCTCAAGTGGTTTTACATCACAATTATCAGGAGTAGAATCAACAGGTGGTTCTCTGTGCTGACTAGTTATGCTGTCCTGTCTTTTAAATACATTTTCTTCTACAGAGGCATACTTTCCTTGAGCCAACATAGAGTTATGTTGTGTTACAGTCACATTACTGCTTTGTGCAGTACTGGACAACCTTTCCTTTATGTCTTTTGTAGACCAGTGATGGTTTGTCAGAAGCAGAGGTTTGACTGTAACACTTCCGTAGTTCCGGTAAACTATTGGTTTTTCTGCTTTTGGGTCATGGTTAACTCGACTTTTGTTTGGGTTTTGTTCATGTCCAGTCTCATTTGTTTGATTGTCATCTTCTAAAATAGTCTCAGTCTGAAATGAAATTAAGTATATATGATCAAATTATGGATTGAATAAATATACGATGTACAAGTTTATGATAGAAACTGTATAAAGAGAATAAGTACCACACAATTTGTTGTCAAAATAACTTGGCCTGGTAGACCACTTTAAAACTCATGATTTGTCAGTATTGAAATATATTTCATTCGTGGACACCAGCTATTCTATTTTCACTCTTGGCTACGCCACTCATGATGAAAATATTGCATCTGGTGTTCACTCAGTGAAATATATTTCAATCTTACATGCAAAACAAACAAATATCCTCTATGTCATCACTAGCATGCTAAGAATTAAAGGCAATTGTAAATTGAAGAATATCATTAATTTAACATTCCTGAAGGTGACATTTGATCCTAAAATTGTTAATGTGCACCCTGTTTTTTTTATCTTATCATCCTAATATTATTTTGATAAAGTCATATTAATGAATGTTAATTCAAGTTGTTAATATGTTTTCAAACATTGAAATAAAAGCATACCTGATTATTCGCCTCTGCCATATTGTGTATGTACAGACTACCCTACTTCCGTATGATTTGTACTGTTTGTCAAGATGTAGAAAACGAATATCATTTACTTGATTAAACTTCACACTGATAATACAGTAGTAAACAACCAGAATGTTCCATGTCTTGTAAGGCCAGAAGTTTTACTCAGTTCTTTGTTGTAAGGTCTGTATAAATAACACAGTTTACCTATGTTCTGCCAAGAATATGTAGAGAAACAAAATACCTGTAATATAGGTGTATATATATGCATGTAATGCTTTGGTTGTAGACTGGCTGCAGTGTCTGGTATATAGTGGTCTGATAATTCTAGTAGACTATTTCTATGTTTATCAAGATTATATCTGCCAGTCAAGGTCATGTCACTGATATACTAATTGCTGATAGAAAGAGATAAAGAAATCGAGCGTTAAAATGATGCGGCTTAATAAGCTGAAAATTATCTAAATAAAAATCGACAAATTGATAATTATTAATAATTTTATTATCCAAGTTATATCATTTTATATTAAATTTACATAAATAAATATATTTATCAATTATTTATTTATGATAGATTTTTATGTTGATAAAGACATGAAGCTAATTTATACAAAATGTTATAATCATGCAGATACATGTACAAAAGCAGCTTCATACAAATATTGATAAGCAAATAAAATATAGCTCTATACAATATCTTCACAGGAATAAAATATAGTTTTTGATTAGAAACTTGAATTGAAATATTGAGAATATTTATAAAATAAAATGCGAATTTTCATTTTCCTTATTTTCACTGTAATAATTTATTTTTCACTGCAGTGAAACATATTTTCCATATCTTCATTGGTGCCTTGCCAGACTTCCTTCTTAATTCAGCCAATACACAAAATTAAAGGGGAAGTCTTAAGAATTGTAAGGTCAAAAAAGGGAAAAAGTATAATTATATTTATAGCTCTGTTAAAGCTGTTTTGGGGAACATCCATGTTTCTTTTTTCTTAAAACCACACATCTTAAATGTGAATGTTTCTTTTTTCTTAAAACAACACATCTTAAATGTGAATTGTTTTTAAATTTAAATAGCTTTATCAATCTTTTTTTTTTTTAAAGACATACTGATTATAGGATTCAGGTGAGCATTTGAACAGTTTTGTGTGTGTTACCAAACTACCAAAAAACAAAAAAACAAAAAAAAAATACAAAAACATGTAGTATGTTTTTTCTTATATCAAGTTTGTTTTATTATTATTAATTATGAGAATTTTTGTATCACATGTGCAGGTCCATATTATATGTGTAATATATTGTTTATTGCTGTATTTATATTCATGAAAGATTCTGTATTTATTTGACAAAGATTTTATTATTCCCGCGTTAACGTCACGTTCTGTTTAGCGTATAGTTAAACGGACGTTGCGTCATTTGTTATGTTATAAACGTCAATTTTTTCTGAAGAAGACTAAACGTCGAAAGCTTAAGAAAAGCGTGAACTTTGTTTTTATTGAACTGATTATATATTATTACAAAACTACCGTATTCCTATTCTTCTTAATAAATTACTACCAAATTTTCACAGAAATTTTGTATTTAAGTGCCCTGGTGCATATTTTTGCATTAGTTTTTTTTTTAAATTCATGTGATATATATAGAAATATTCTTCCATTGATATTAAACTGGTTTTATATTACTAAAATTTCACTGAATTATTGTAACCCAGCACCATGGCAATGGGTTTCTTCAGGGTTTTGTGATTTTATCATTCAAGTAATTGAGGAATACTGATGTTTCTGAAGGAATTAATTAGTAAGTAATGCCGGATAACTTAGTTTTGTGACAATTCTTGTTGTTTGTTTATTATTAATATCATGCATTCTCTATTTCAGGACTTGACACATGGTGATTTTGAGAGAAATCTTGAATCTCTACAGCTAACAGAGGGACAGGATTACTTCCACTTTAACTGAAAATGAATGTGCAATGTATGATGAGGAAAGTAGATGAAAGACTTGCTATTACTTTGCCTTGGGTGTTTATTGACTGGTGCCACAAGATGAACTATGGAATAACGTCTTCAATATAGAGCTTTTACACTGTATAAGGGTGACAGTAACAACAAGCACTATTTGCTTTATATAATGATATAGATAAGATCTTACTCGAGTTTCGTGTTGACTTAAAGTCCCTTAACCTGCTGGGACCGTACGGGAATTATCCTGTGCCACCAGTTTAGAGCCAGGCTAGCCTGCACATTCTGTGCAGCCTGACAAAGTGCTGTACTGTTGGTAGCTCAGCTTTTGTACTTTCATCTTTGATATTTAAATCCATCTGGAATGTTCCAAAGTCACAGCACCCGCCAGGCAAAAACTCAGCAGGTTAAAGAATCTAAGGAAACTAAAAAAAGGGAGCCAAATTAATACAACATCAAAACAATGTGTTCTTTAGATTTATATCATTATTATTTTTACTATTATGAAGAACATAATAAATATAAAATAATCTATTCTAATTTGTTTTTTTCCCACCTAAATAGATTTATATTAAAGGAAAATAAAAAATTCACATCCATACATCAATCTCAAGGTATGCTTTTATTAACATGCCCTGTCCACCTTTATAATTATTAAGATACATCTCTCAAGATGAGAACTGCATTTTGACATTGAAATAGGGCCGTGTTTCATAAAAGACCTTGACATTCAAGATCGTTATTGTAAATTCCAGAAACAGAAATTTTAACACCATTGTAAACTAATACTATCCAGTTTATTATAAACTTAATTTATTTTGCTCCTTGAAAACAAGATACTTTCAACTTAAAACCTTGGTGGTTAAGTTAATTTTGTGAAAGAAAGAAAAATTCATCATAATTATTCATATTATGAAAACATGTGTATGTGAAATATTATACATGTATTTTACAAACATCTGTTTTGTGGGATTTGTAACTGTATGCAGCTATCACAAACATTAAAGATATCTTTGCAAACTAGACAAACCCTAGTTGCTCCCATCCTTGGAAACCCATGCATACTGATTTGTGATGAATGTAGTTCAGCGAAATGCTCCATGCATTATATAAGTTTATGCAGAATCTCAAACATTCCTTGGGCTAGCTTCCTCACATTTAGTCATTCAACAGGTTTTTCTGGAGCTTGGGTTTCAAGTCACACAGACACTGTTTGGGTTAAATGGTGACTTTCCAGCTTTCATGGTGCACTATTTCAGGGAGAAAGTGGCAACTTAGTAGAACCTGGATCTTAACCGGATATTGCGGGATTCTAACGAACAACACTTAAAGTAAGGCCTTCTTGAAGACAGTGGGCAACTTTGCCTACTAAACCCTGTTTCTCACAACAACAGTCCTAGATAAAAGATTAACACAAAGTCTTATGTAAAAAGTAAACTTTTATTACACAGTTCAGTTAGTAGCACATTTTAATTTACTGTATTAGCACTTTACTAACATTGCATTTACTTCATACCTGTGGAGAATATACACAAAAACCTAACAATAACGCAGATTCTAATTTTCATAACATTTACAGATCTTCCATCATATGAGACAATATTCCTTATTTCCATTTTTAGTAGCTGTTGTTCTGACTAACAGTTAAATTTAGTATTCAATCAATTAAACTGAAAGATACATGTATTTATTTTTTTCTATGAGTTTTAATTCACATTACTTCAACTGGTGGCGGACAACCTTGGGTGTCACTCATTGCAATATTTCAAAAAGAAAAACTAAAGTCCATTGCAGGACTGGAACCCAAAGCAACTTTATCAGTCAGCAATTTTAACTGTAATTTTAATGAAGGCTTAGAAATCATTAAAGATTAAAATTTTTATACTATAAGACATTCAAAGTTCAGGCATACCTATACATAAACAATTTAAAAGCATCATCAAAGCACACATTAAAAATAAATGCATTAACATGAAGCACTTAATTTTTGTAGAAAAAAAATTATATACTAGTAAACATTATGTGTAGTGCCTCCCTATATGTTCTACTTTGCAAACTTAAATATAGCCTCCATTGTGACATGCAGATCAACTCCCAGAGGTTAAACAAAACACGAGAGCTTTTTAAAAAGTGTTTGACTTTCTAGGTACAAACTATCAACCAATTCACTTATAACTTTTGTTGTTAAACAGTATTCAATTCACAACATTTGAGCCGCGTCATGACAAAACCAACATAGTGCGTTTGCGACCAGCATGGATCCAGACCAGCCTGTGCATCCGGGCAGTCTGATCAGGATCTATGCTGTTTGCTTACAAACCCTTTTACAAGTAGAGAAACTTATAGTGAACAGCATGGATCCTGATCAGACTGTGCGGATGCACAGGCTGGTCTGGATCCATGCTGGTCCCAAACCCATTATGTTCATTTTGTCATGACGCGGCTCATTTAACTAATCCATAACTCTAATAAATTGCAAAAATTTGATTCACATCCATTATTTGTAAATATTTTCACATGTTATCAAATTCAAAATTCATACAAAATATAATTTTGCTACTAGTATAGAACCATCAAATTTTTTGTATAATGATATTGAAATCCCTTAAGTTTGAATGGACTAAACCAATTTCAAAGCATACACAAAATCATTAAGTTATGGGTTAAATAAATATTAACATGCCACATGCGATGATACCAAATCTCTGAAACAGAAACTGAAAAAAAAAATTGATTCAAAAAGAATAAGTCATAAACATATCACAATGCCAAAACTCTATAAAAACTGACCTTCACCAATTCATAATTAACAAATGTCTTTCTCCAACTTATTTACATACATCTCTCTTATGCAATATTACCAATGAAATATTTGCAAATTCAACTCCTATAAATTCTTCATACATTTGTCTACTTTTATTTTAACAAAGTTGTATGTCACTTTAAATTCACAGTAACTTTCCTAAGTTCTACCTGGTAGATGAAAAATACCATGTGCAGGTGTGTGCCAGAAACAATGTGAAGCTGCACAGACTTGACACTTCAGGTTCCTGGAAAAGCAACAGTCTTTAAGACAGCTAGACAGCTACCTCTAATAATACTGGTGAGATTTGAACCCATACATGCAAGTGGTTTGAAATCGGTACAATTCACACAGCCAAAAAGACATTATTTGTTATAAAGACAACATGAAAACCTAAAACTTATCTTTAGCTACAGAAGGTTTTTGATTTGTTTGTTTTTTATTTATTTATAATACATAACAATTATTACAACTGATAGTTTTATAAAAGGTCAATTTTGGTCTATGGTAATATTCTAATGTATCTATGCAAGAGAAAAAGAGTTGTGTTACAAATATTTCATTGGCTCAAACACATGTAAACCAGGCAACAAGAATTTATTCTTGTGTTTGTCTGGTTATATGGCTTCTACTTTATTGTCTTTGCAAGATATATAATTTTTATTAAGGACATAAATTTTATCTCGCATGTGTTTTTTTTCTACTCAATACAGAAGAATTTGTAAAGTTTTCTTTGCAAAAGATTACCCATACTTTTCGTGTCTTAAATTTAAGAGGAAAGGCTTTTAAAAATGATCTATTTATGTAATAAATAACTAAAGGAACTAAGCAAAATTTAAAGAAAACAATATTCATTGAAAAATATTTCTTTAATAGCACATTTCCCCAACCATTACATAACTGGCAATTTATTTTTTTTTTAAATAGGATTTATAGCTAAGTCAAGTTGAATTTTAATCTGTTACAGAGCCTTTACAAAGTTTTGTTAACATTATATACTAATATATACATGTATATATATATGTTTTGGTTGGGTTTTACATGGCTCCAAACAGTAAAGGTAATATGGCGACTTTCCAGCTTTATTGGTGAAGGAAGACCTCAGGTGCACGTGCCCATTATTTTTGGCACAAACGGGTACCCGAGTAGAAACACCAACGTTCGGTAAGCCAGCTGGATAGCTTTCTCATATGAAAGAATCCGACAACTCTTGCGCAGCTCAAACCTACAGTGGTGAGAGGCATGTTAACATCATATAACTTACTGGCAAAAAAAATTGTTCAACACAATTCACAGCATTCAATAAAGAATATCTTACAAAGACAATAAAAGTAAAAAAGTGCCATCAAGACTTATCATCAACATCTATATACAATATGCTTCTTATAAAGAAAAAATTCACAAACCTTCAAGACTTCGAGTCTTTTCTCATAAATATCTCTTACACAGTAATTCTCATCAACATGTTATTTACTGTAGCCTTAACAAAATCTGTACATCTATTTACAAGGCAACACATCTATTTCAGGGTGTTACAGTTCCTCCTCCAGGAGTTATGTCCAAAAATTTATCAGCAACCTAAATTTGTAACTTAAGTTACCTATACAAATGCAGTAAATTGGCTCTTGGCACAAAATACTTCCAAAATTTCTCTAGGAATTTGGAACCCTCAAGTACAAGTATACAACCATTTCTGTTCCAGATTGTTGATAAACTTTGATCATTAACTGATATTATATACTTATATACTCTATATACACTTCAAAACTGCCACTTTTGAACACTTTCTTTCTTTAAAATTTACACAAATTTTTCAATGTTTTGTCCAAAATAAATCTATAAGTGCAGTTAACCATACTATGCAAGAACTCGCTATTTTTGGAAATGAAAATTAATACCTACTTATTTATGTTTCTAAGGTCTTTAAATGCCATCATAACAAGACTTTATAAATCATTATGCCATTTTTGCCACCTTGCGACTTGGCATTTTTTTTGCATTATTGTCTAGTGAAATTTTCAAGATAGCTTCTGAGGAACAAACTTGAGTCACTTGCAAACAGAATGTAATCCCCAGGCCAATATGAACATCTTTTAGCCATTATCCCATAATTGGGATCAGAAAGCATAAAACTTATATTAATAAAAGAGTGGTATAAATTAAAGAGTGGTATCAATAAAAGAGTGGCAGTTTAGAAGAGTATATCAGTATTCTATATCACTATTCACATCATTCAGCCTGAACCAGTCTACAAGGGGTTATCTTGTGTTAGTCTGGTTTAAGGCAGCCATTGAACAGTCATATACTGAAAACTTTAACTACTTGTAAAACACTCTGCTGACAGGAGAACTTGGATCAGTAACTGACCTCTTTAAAGGACAGAATAACTGATTTATAAAAATTCGATGAAAAATATCATAATTTTTAATAATAAGATTATCCTTATTCAATATCATGAGCATTTAACAAAATGCACCTGCCGAATAAAGAAAAATTAACAGCATCTCACCATACCCCTAAAGAATTTAAATTACGCATGAATTAAGATCAAGCTTCGTCCCTTAACATATGTATTTTATTCTCATTATCAGTGCCTTAATGAAAATTAAAATGTAAAATTCCAGTATATCAATGTTCAGTGACTTCATCTCTTAGTTGCTAAATATCCTACTTCCTTTATGTATAAGAAGTATACTAAATAAACTTTTCTTGAAACAACTTTGCCATTACAAAATGTCATTTCAACAATCCCAACCTTGTATCCACACACAAATTGTAAAGTGTATTCTTCACAAATACAAGAAATATCAGCAAGAAAATCAAAAATAAAATCAATAATAAATTGTCTTGAACAACTATGCATCAGAAAACATAAAAGAATAAACCTATAGCAAATATAAGGACCTGCATAGGACCTTCATGTATCTGACAAAATACACCTATTTAACCACTATCATAGAGTAAATTAAAATTTCACTCTAATGGTTGTCCGAACTTAGCCGCAATTCTCGACTTGCGTTTATTTATAGAACTGTTTGCAGACTCATCACTCAATGTACTTGAGCTAAGTTTCTGCTGACGTTGCAATATTTTTTTCTGCGGTGAGCTGTCCGGACTCTCTGTGAAGCTTGAATCAGATCTCAACGAGCTTGTTTCGATTGGGTGATCCTGACGAAACACTGCCTCGTAGCACATGCAGTCTGCAGCAACGCAGCTTTCGAAATTATGTTCGAAAATTCTGTTTGAATTTTTCTCCGTTTTAGATTTTAAAGCTTGGTTGAGTACATACTGCTCTGTCTGCTTGATCTCCATCTCCAAAGCATCATCAAGTTTCTTCATTTCCTCTCTTTTATTGCGTTCTTTTTCAGAGGTTTCCAGATTTTTTGTAACCATGTCGGCTTTAGATATATTTTCTCTGCTCAAATCTGGGGTAATTGTTTCATTGGAGAATGACTCACTTGAATCAATACTTGCATGAGGAGTAGGCATGTCCGCAAGAACTGAAGAAACAGACTGAGTTACAGTTTTAGAATCAGTGTCAGTATTTTGTTTTGGTTTATGGTGGGCAAGTTCTGCAAGAACTTTTCGTACCTCGTCACTGCTGTTGCTAGGCAACTCTTGCAAACTATCTTTAGTCTGAAACTGCTTAGAATACCAATAAGAACCTGGCTGCAGAGGGCGCGGACAAAGAGCAATCGGAGATTTGTCAACTGAATTTTTAGTCTCTGACTGGTTTGCTGTATTTTCTTTCAAAGTGTCCTTTGCCCGAGTTTTAGCATCTTGCTCCTCATTTTGCTCTCTTAGGTATGAAAGAGTTGCAGATAAACTATTAATGGCTGCTTTATAATCCTGTTGATAATTTTTTGTTTTCTCATTATTGTTCTTATCTTGTTTCTGACTGGTGTCAGCGCTGCAAGCTTCAGTATGTGTAGAAATTTCAGAACTGCTTAATAAATGAGAACCAGTCTCATCTCTCTCTGTAACTGACTGAGCCTCATTTTCAAGCAAAGCCTCACTTTCAATTTGTGCCATCTTCTCAACCAGTCCAGCATTTTTGATGCTTTCACTTACTTCCTGTAGTTGACTTGGACTAGCTCTCCACCATCCTTGCTTTATCAAATTCAAAATATCTTCTGGCTGATTTCCTTTGGGTTCATTTCCACTTGTAGCATTATCCTCATTGCTTGTCTTTGAGTTTAATTCATCAACTGGGGTTGGAGGTGGTGTAGGGAGGAACTGAGCTGCGAGCTGGAGAAGCTGGGATGTTGGCGTCTGACAAAGGGGTGTCTGCTGCTTGGAACGCTCATCATCAGTGATAGATGAAAATATTTTATCTCTTGTATCTGTAATTGTTAATAAAATAAAGATATAAAATGCAGATATATGAATTAACATTATGACTTTGACCTTGTTAACACAAGATCATCATGAAATAAGAAATTTCACATATACTTAGGAGAAATATGTTATTCTTTGGATTCTGGTCACAAGGACACTGGTATAATGATGTCATATCAATTTCAGTGGAACCATCGACCTTCAGTTAGCTAATCTTAGCTTCCTAACAGAATTCAAACTTCAAATGCAAAAGCAATAACAGGCCAAGTGAGTGGAAAGAAGTATTACGTTCAGCTAAAGAACTTCATAAAATCAACTATTTATAAATGTGAAAAAAATATGAACAAGAAAAAAGTAAATTATTTTTTGGAAAATCTAAAATAATGTTAATGTAATATAATCAAAACAGAGGTAATTTAGCTAAAACTGCATTTACAGAAAAAAAGACCTACCTGGAGTTTGACTCTCAAATTTGATCAGATCTATAACTTGTCCAAACTGATCAGGTCTGAGGGTAGGTGATGGTACATTAGAGGGGACAGAGCCACTCATTAGATCAGCTGGGAGGAATTTTCTCTGTTCAACAGGTGTGTCTTCATCAGTGAGGGCGGAGCCAGAATCATTAGAAGGCGTGTCTGAATCTGGTCTGGTATAAGATTCATCTATAATAGGTAGTGACCCTATGAAAAATGTAAAATAAATTATTAAAATATCCTAAAATGTTTTTTTCTTTAATACAAATATACTGGAAAGGGTCAATGTAACAAACATTCTTGCATTATATTTACAGTAGGATTATTATCTGTAGAACTTAAATATGCATATTATTTGGAAATGTTATATTGAAAATAATATGCTGGTACTAACCTAGAGGATATAACACTTTTTTCTGCACTAAGTCTAAAATCTCTATATTTTCATTGGTCATTGTATATTCTGTGACAGTTTCTGACCAATCAGATATCTGAGTTTGAGCTTAGAAGATTTCTTCTTGGATCCAAATTATAAAAACGTCCAAAACCATTCTATATATTACATTGTATATTAATTTGAAGTAATTCATTTTTTACCTTGTAAATCCCCTGATAAGTGGACCATCCTTCTGTTTCCTTTCCCCTTTATACTGATCACATGTGGTATGTCCATCAGCAGGGCAACAGTTGTTGGAAAACCATACAGGGCTGGTTTAATCTCCACACAATATTGCTCGTAGAATAATCTCTCAAACTGTGCCAGTGACATCTTGCCATGTTTCTGTAGTAACACACGGATATCTCGTGCCAGCACCTGAAGGCGGGTGAGACTGATAACTCCAGATTCATCGTCACCGGAAATCTAAGAAATAGATAATATGTTCATAGACAAATAAGTATAAATACTAAGGGACTTTCATTATTTTAAATGTTCAAAATTAATCAAAGTAGTATTATTTAGTTAATATAGAAATAAAGGCAGAATGAAAACTGTGTAATAGGATTTATTATGATTTTATAATATGATAATAGGAAAACTGATTTAGCCAAATAAAATTGGGATTCATTGACCCCATTTTCTGAGTTGTCCATCCTTAACAAAGCTGGTACTTTTTATATACTCTGGCCAGATATTGCAAGAAAGTGAAAGTTTTAAAATGATGGCATAGGCTAGCACTGCTTAATAGAGATAGCATAGGCTCTTTATCAACAACACTGGAGTTAAACAAAAATATATGTAAAGGAAATATAATACCTGAACATAATCCAGTAACTCCTCTTTTATTTTTTGTACATCAGGATCTATTCCAAATGTAGTTTTGTACCTGCTGCACAGTTCCATCAAAGGGAGACTACCCCCACTTTGGTCCATCAAGAGTTGTAGAACCTGTCTAGCTAAAGGGGGAGCACTACTGCGGTCTGACAGCACAACATACTGTTTGCCATCATAGACTTCAACCTGTAATAGACAAAATATTGTATATAATTTCAGCAATTTTCAGATTTACAGATGTGTGTTACCTTAATAATGACTGCTCGTTCGATTGCTTGGTTTTCAAACCAATTCTAATGCATATTTGGTCATATCCACCTAATTGGCTTTCAATTTCTCTGCAAGTGACACAACGTCTTATTTTACATGACTTCTTAAGCAGCTGTGAAAGACAAATGACTCAAGAGCCTATAGATCAAGATTTCTCTATGAAGCTGCATGCTGTGTGGTAAAAGGAGTTTAGTGACTCATACAAAAGCAGTAATTTTTTTCTCCTTTTTTGACGATAGTGTAAGCAGATAAGGGCCAAAAAATTCCAGATCCAGAATCCAGTCTGCTTATTACTGATTCAAATACTGTAAACACTGGCACTATTCCCAACTTAACAAACAAAACAATCATAAAATTGTCTACTTTTTACATCATATCAATTTAACAACAAAGAACTGTTTAAATATAAAAACTTTTTTTGGTCAACATTTCAATACCAAATGAAATACATGAAATTATACAGAAGTGATATACCTTGAGAACATGTTTTAACTTTGCCATCAATTGTTCCATACTATACACATGAAGATCTTCCATTGGTATGGTGTACCCATAATGCTGTGTGAAAGCTACCATGATATTATCCAGCGGGTAACACTGAACTTTCTTCTGTTTAAGTAGGCTAACTATATGATCCCCTATAACTTTACGTAACTCTGGTTCTGTAAGACGTATGATCTTCTCCTCCCCTTCATCTAGAAGCTGTCAATCAAATAAATTGGAGGATGAAAATATTTTAGAAATTTTTACAGTAAAAAAGCAAATTTCAATACTATGTTTTCCCTCATTCTAGCAAAGAAAGCTTTATCAAATGGCTCTTTGTTAATTCCTAATAAAGGGTAGAAAATATGATGAGTACAAATTATTTTGAATTACTTTATCAAATCAGTGAATCTACGATATGACAATATCTATTTGAAAATTTTACGTATTATTCAAAACTTTTCATATATCAATAAGATATGCAAGGTATTGGATTAAAAATCTGGTATGCTAATAAATGAAAGATAATATTAATTTATGGGTTAAAATCATCTCTTTTTTACTAACCTCCACAATTTTTGGAAGTGCTTCAAATAGATCCTGGAGTTTAGTAAAGCCGTAGTCACTGACCCGACACTGATGTCCGAAATGATGATGGTAAGCTGGTACAAATTTGTTAAACAGCATATGACACTGGTGACTGTGAGAAAGTAGGTCAACCACTTCCAGTGCAAACTGCTTCATTCTCTCCATTTCCTCAGGTGTCTGATCTGTTTAATACAATAGGAGAAATATAAAAGGCCTCAGAAATGCTTTTTATTTTTATTTCTCGAAAGTTTTTTATTTGGTGTCCTGTGATAGTTTCCAATAAGTTACTCAGTGGCCAATAACCTGAACCCCTCTTTTGCTTCTGATGCTTTTTGGCTGCTTATAGTACTTATTAGTATGCTTATAGTGATTTACTATTTTGTATGAAAATCAAAATACTACTTTAACATTTTGCTACTTTTATAACAAATAATATAATATTCTGTGCTACTTTCTTCAGGTGATTATACGCAACATGCCCTAAAACCATTATTCAATCACTATAAAATTCATGTTTTCCCTTTCTAAAGTAAAAAGAATTCATTTGTTTCTGAGGCATAATCTGCCTTTAATATTTGTGTAAAAGTGCTAACTAATAGTAAGTTACAAAATGATTTACCTTTTCTTGGCAGAGCAATGATTGTATCATGTCCCTCTGTCAAAATCTGAAAATTACAATATTTGTGTAAAATCAAAATGCAACATAAAATACAAGTATAATAAAATTGCTTAAAATTACAATCCAAATAAATCTCTGTTATTCAGACAAATTATATTAATCAAATTAGAAAATTTTCATTTAGAAACTCCTTTTCGCAAGATTAAATTATAGAAGAACTTTTCTATGTAATATGAAAATATATTTCCAAAATGTGATGTGGGGAAGTCATTAGTGAATATGTAAGAGCTGTTCTTCACCAGTGCATGAGAATCATCATTTTCAATCCTTTTTATGGTTGTTATAACTCACTTTCAAATAAAGTTCTGATGCAATGAAAACATATTGTGAAAACTTAAGTGTGAAATAGAAAATATAATTAATTTTTACATTTCAGTAATACATCTACTGAAAGCCAATTATAATGAATCATTGGAATCAGTCATATGTGTGGTACAAACTAGTAAAGAGTTGGTTGAATAATACAAAGAACTTACCTCCACAGTTCCTACTGGTATATCAGATAGCATGTCATCTAGTTGACACACACCATACTCTACTATATCCCAATTCTTGTTGAACAGTTTACCTGTAATATAATCCATACAATTATTTCAAGAAATGACATTTCATAACTCCTACATGCATGAAAAGCAACATTAAATACATCCAAAATATAGAGATTCTATTTGCTGTGATTTGGTACAATAACAGTTGGATTCACATTATTAATATCTGTTGCTTTTTTTTAAAAAAAAAATTTTTTTTGGGGGGGGGGGGGGGGCGCGGGGAGGGGGTTTAACTAGTAAATTCAAATTCTCTATAGCTCATATGGTAACTTTCCAGCTTTACTGGTGGAGGAAGATATTACATGACTCTGTAATAAATATTCTACAGACAAGCCAAAGTCAAAGAGTAGAATCACCAACACTCCTTAAATTAGCAAAATCATGCTTTACATGTAGTAGTGCCAATACCCTTGTGAACTTTAAACACTCTACAGAGAAGAATAATTGACATAAGTCAGCAACCATAATAATAACTCTGCCATAGAGACTCCTCCCAATAAATTACAAAGAATACATACTAAAGTAATACTGGCTGAGTCTAAAAAACATCTTAAAATCATCTGACAATTGGACAATTTTAAATTCATTTTTCTTTTATTTTAACTGACTTTATCATTAATACTAGGCATTAAGTAATCGAAGACATACAGAACTCCTCAGTAAGTGAAGACAGGTACAGCATTCTGCCAGGTGTGTTCTTCAACAGACGGATCAAGTCAGCTGTAAACCTCTTCACCTGGGCTCGATGGGTCAGAGTCAACACTTTCCTATCACCAGTACCCAACACCTGCAAATATTTATCTATATGTTATCAACATACCTGCATATCAAGATTTTATCTTATTGTTGTAGACAAGGTAATACAATATCATGGCTCTAGCTACATGGGAAATAACTCAAAAAAATTTAGCTCAGACATACGGCTTTTTATTCGAAACAAACAAGCTAAAAACGGTCACTTTAGGTATCAAAACTCTCAATGATATCGTTCTACACATGTGTTACAATACAAGAAATATATATGCAAATGTATACCTGAAGAACATGAGGAATAGATTCAAACACGTCCAGCAGTCTGTTGTAGCCATAGTCTGCCACTCGGCACTGTCGCCCAAAATGCTGGTGGTAGCAGGGTATAAATTTACTAAAAGCCAGTCTACAGTTGGGTGTGCTCTTCAGTAAATCAATAATTTCCTTACTAAATACAGCCAATTGTTGACCTCCTCGACTCAAATCTACAAAATCAAAACATTCAATCATTACTCTTATTAAGCAGCAGTATAAAATCTGGGTGGACTAGCAATTGAAATGTAGGCTGGCCTGGTTTGCCCGACTTTATACTAATGGCATAGGTAAGTCATTAGTGCTGCACAATTGTACTAAACTTTACTGATGGAGGAGGCCCTCAGGTGCCCTACATGCAATTATTTCAGGCACCAGCTCGCATCTGAGTAGAACCACAGACCTTCTGTAACATAGCTGGATAGCTTCCTGACATGTATTGTAGGAATCCAAATCCCTGGAAGATTCCAAATCCATGCTGGATTTGAACCCAAAGCAGCAAGTGGGGAGTGTTCTGAAGTCAAAGATCTTAACCACTTTCCCCTAAAGGCCCCTTATAAAACTGAAATATCTGGATCTATTACATAGAGTTATTGAAAGGTTAACTTCAAGTCCTTACTCTGAATGAACCAATCAAAATAGTTTCAAGATTGATTAATTTGTTTTAAATTGGTTTCCAATATCACTTCTTAGTGTTCTGAAATTTTTTTTTATAGTTGTAATAAGATTTGTTTAAATTACCAGGTGAGTTTGGAGGTTTGTTTTCTGCCCAGTGAACTTTCTTTACACCAGTAGGGGAGACAACAATCTGAACCCCGGGCACACAGCTGATAAGATGCTCCAGTGGTACACCTCCCTCATATACATAAACTAATGGTGCCACCTCAACACTAAAGCAGGACGTGAAACTGAAATATTTATATTTTGAAACATAATATAGAAGTCTACATAGTGAAATATTCATTTTGAAACATATAATAAAGAAGTCAATATAAAATAATAATTTTTTTTGTTAATAGCTTGACTATTTTCAGTGCTTGACAGTAAGAAAAAGGGGCATAACTATAAAATGGTAACTCTGAGTTATGGGACCTGAGTACACAATGCTAGATTATCAAAAAGAACAAGTGTGTGAAATTTTAATCCACTTCCTTCAGCATTTTTGACAATATCAACTTGAATGCAAAAACTTTATCAAAGTATGACAGCTGCGCTAACACCATCAATAACACCTGACTAACACCTAGCTCTCATTCTTCAAACAGTCAGGCAACAAAACCTATCAGAACGTGTAGTTTTTAAATTATTAAATTTACTGTTTTCACTTCAGCATGAAACTAATTTATCAAGATTCTTTCTTGAACATAATCAAATAAGTATTCACAATTTACAAGGACATTGGCTATGGACTCACACAACAGAAAATATACTGATTAAAGACTCACCTCAATAATGGAAGATCCCCATCATGTGTCATGAGAAGAGAGTGAACTTGAGGAGCGAACGTTTTCAGTTGTAGTTTGACATTAGGCAGTATTGATGTGTTCACAGCCTCCGTATACATTGTGCTACCTTCTGGACAGTGATAGGGACAAACTATTTGTTCAATTATCTCCTGCACCTGAAAATATATATTACCACTCTACTACCAACAGATAATATAATAATAACATAATATTTGGGATATTTGTTTTTACATTTTGAATATAGTACTGCCATAATACATTGTACACATTGTACTACCTTCAGGACAGTTGTAATAACCAACCATTTATTCTTTTTTTTATGTCTATACAATAATGGTTGAAACGGTACTAGGTTTACCAGATTGATTTGGTTCTGGTGCAAATTTATAGAAATGCATTTTGAAATAAAGAAACCAAAGTATTACATCAAACCTTAATTTATCTATGGAAAGGAATAAATATAAGTGTTACAATATTGTATATCAATACTCAAATTTTGTTTGGTATCAAAATTAAATGTCCAGATTTCATCACATACTTCTCCATCTTCCGTGTCATTTGGTTGCTCGGTTTTACGTAGTTCCGGTGCCAGGTGTATCATACGTCCGGCTCCACCTTGTTCACGAATCTCAATAGTGTCCTTCATCTTGTACAACTCGGCAACGCTTACTGAACGATTAAATCTATAACAGCAGAAACATTTATTTATATTATTAATTTATTTAAGTACATGTACTTAAATATACTGGACATATTAAAAAATTAACATGCAGTTTATGATGAGAAAAATTAGTTCACTAAAACTCAGCAGTTATTTTAAACAGTTATTACAATACAGGTGGAGTTCTGTAACTGAGTATTTTTTGTAAAAATGATGTGTTTGTATATTGTGTTGGTGCCCTGTAACACTAATCAAACAACAAACAGATCTATAATTTAAACATTTATGATAGTTTTACATGTGTAAACATCTTGTAAAAATATGTTCTTTAAACAGTATGTGTACAACTTTTATTGTAGGTTATTTTTACCTTTTATTGAAGAGTTCTATAAACTTGAAGAGTGGGAGAACATTGTCTTTGGCCTCAGACAATAATGCAATAGCCTCTGACCTGAAACATGGAAAATTTTTTTTGATGAATTGGTGTGCGAAACATTATGATTTACTCTTCTGTACATAATATTATACATATTAACATATTATAGACAAAAGATTTTGAGGAAGTCTAAAAAACAAATGAGAAGTGTTTTATATTTCAATATTAATACATAAAAAATAATTATTATTCGATGAGCCAAAATATTTCAAGAAAATCAAACTTGAGAAAAATGTACTAAAATTTTAAGAAAAGTAAAAAGATTCAAGAATCAATTACTAATTTGCATGTTATGTGCGATTAATGACTGATTTTGAAGTATTAATTACCATAATTCTACTGCATTTTTAATGCAGTAAGGGGTATTTTTGCATATTTCAACCTCTTTTTGGTAATTTAAGTGTTCTAACGCAGGCAGGGGTATTTTTGCATATTTCAATCTCTTTTTGGTAATTTATGTGGATTGTAAGAGCCGTTTGTAAAGTGTAAATTACTTTTTTTGTGCAGAAAGGAAATTTTCAAAATTTTTATGAAAATAAGCATGAATCTGCAGACATGATTCTTTAATACATGGAGCTTTAAAGGTACACTTCTTGTTCAATTATTGACAAGTGTAAAAAGTGAAGAACAAAATCTGTTAAAAACACAACAACAAACACTAACCTTACAGTAGATACGGTTTTATTTTCATCACCAGATTTCAGAGTGACATGAATCCTCTTGTAACCTATCTTTTTCCTGTGGAACTGTGAGATAGCAAATCTAGCTTCCTCTATACTACCAACCTTGATCAGACCTAATGAAGTATTGTCTGGCTGTAGAGATACATCTATATACAATATCTGAAATACAACAATATATCTTAACTCTAAACATTTTAAATAAAGATAATTGAGCGGCGTCATGACAAAACCAACATAGTGCGTTTGTGACCAGCATGGATCCAGACCAGCCTGCGCATTCGCGCAGTCTGATCAGGATCCATGCTGTTCGCTATCAGTTTCTCTACTTGTAATAGAGTTGGTAAGCGAACAGCATGGATCCTGATCAGACTGCGCGGATACGCAGGCTGGTCTGGATCCATGCTGGTCGTAAACACACCATGTTGGTTTTGTCATGACACGGCTCATATGTCAAATGCAGTTTCACAGTGTTTACCTCACAATAATAGACTTTCTCCAGAATTAATAATATTTAGGTTTTTCATAGCGAATCCGGGAATACAAACAAACTTTTACAGTTACAGCTTTGAAAAACCCACATTTGCCAAGTTCCATATAACATCTATTTATATGCTTCTGTTAGACGTTCCATTTGTATTGAAGAAGACTGTGTAGTTAAAATCTGTTTATAATATTAATATGGAGTTGTTTCTATTACTAAACATAAGATAAAAATGTGAAAATAGTATTGATCAACAGACCTGCCTCATTTTCTGGAAAAAAGAATGACAGAAGACCAAGCATAGTACAACCCTGGATAGAACCACAAATATTCATTTAGCTTTGAATTTGAAAGCTCCAACATCTCTAACAACATTTGAACCCACAGTGGTCTTAGCAAGTGAATTTAGTTTTTAATCTCTCTGCAGTAAAGAACTCTCTAAAGTGACTTGACTTACCTTAATGTGGGGATGAAAGGTTGTGGACAAGATGTGCTTCCACTCTCTGGGACTGATATTGTAGTCAAGGTTACTGATAAGTAGGTCAACTGCTCCAGGATACTCTTCACTGTTGAAGTCACAGGGGGAGGAGCTTGCTGAACTCTCACTGGGAGAGGCTGATCTGATTGGTCGAAATCTATTGTTGGTAGTAGGCCCATTCATGTTGCCATAGGGATATGTAGGAGAGGGATTCTGGGGATTTTGGTACTGGTAATAACTGCCATCTGTAATGAAAGCAGACAAATATAACTAACAAAGGACTTTATGGTCTTAAATAACTTGGAATAAAATCATATGTGTCAGCATCAAAAGAAATATTGAAGTTTGCTTTATAAACTTCTAGTCTAAAAACAACTTTTAAATCCCTGCAATCCAATGATTGATCAGAGCTTTACATTTTATCTTCACTTATTGGTTTGGACATTTTAGGAGTTTTAATGACATCAGATGTGTCATACACAGGAATTTGCAAATCTAAGCTACATCCAATTAAAAGCTTTCTCAAGAACTAATTTTTTTTGTACTTACTATAATCGTTGTAGAGTTGAGGTGGTTGGTAACAATCAATATACTGTCTGTTGTCCTGGTAACCTTGTGGTTGCCAATGGTTACTGTAACCATAGTAACTGGTCTCCTGGTACTTGGTATATTGAGAGTAGAACTGTGTAGACTCACTGCCAATGGGAACCTGACCTTCCTGGTATATCTGCTGCTGTAACATTAGTAACTGTGAAAAGAACAAACTCTCCTTTGTCCTAATCACATTAATCCTTCACCTGATGAAACCAAATGTGATAAATCTTTGCCATCAACACAGAACTGGACCAGCCTACACATCTGTGCAGTCTGACCAGGCTCTATACTGTTGGTAGGGCCAATCCTTTACACAATTTCAGCAGATGAAGAGTTATATATATTAGACATAGATATAGATATATTAGTTACAATTCTCTGTACTAAAGAACAGTAACAAACACTGCTTTGTCCTAATCACATGAAGTAATAGAAAGAGCATCAAAACACAAGGCTATCTGATTTGTATGGGGGGGGGGCATACAAATGTGAAAATATGAACCCCAGAAAAAGTAACAAATGCACAAGCATCTGAACATGTTTTTTCTATCGTTATCCCTTTCCCTGTCATAACAATAAGTAAATCTCTGCAAAAAATATCCAATCAACGAAGATGCTAACTGGAGTGCAGGTAACTAATATCTGCATTCAATTTAACGCAATGTGCTTTTGAAATGTTTGAATAATTGGCTACATTGAAGTAACTCCACTGCAGTGCAAAAGCAATAATCAGTTTAGGCACTTTAAACAGAAAGATATGCATAAAATATTTAACAAATTTACTCAGAAATAAATTGTAAATTGCATTTTCTGCTATTCTAGGCCCCATTTAGAATAATTATTTTAGAAAAATTGAATCAGACGATGAATTTTGCACAAGTTCAAGACCACATCAAATGGAACATAAAGTCATGAAAAATTATTTGAAGTCCCTTCATGTGAGAAAAACCTCAGTGGAGTCCCTTTAAAGTTTTTGTATGACAATGATAAAGACGACAAATATCTATCAAACAAATAGCTCAACTTTTACCTCAAAACAAGACAAGCTAAAAATCTTTAAAATTAGCAATGAAAATACCAAATTAAGACTAAAGAGGTCAAGTTCATTTTAAAAATAAGAGAAAAAAACAATACACTACCTGTCTACTTGACTTGTTTTCTTGACTAAACTTTTTGACCAGCCCCTGAAGTCCAACTCCACTTGTGTTGTCTTCAGTGATAGTTTCCAGCTGGCCAGACAACAAGGCATCAAGGGGGCTAACTTCTCCTGAACTTGGGTAAGAGTTGTCTTCATTTGCTACAATGGGTTGAGGAAATGGTAGACGAGATTTGGGCGGGGAGTTTTTTCTGTGAGACTGGGAGTATGGTCTGGTTCTATTAGGGCTAACATTATTACGGTTGTCAAGTTGACCTGTTAAAAAAATAAATAAGCATAACTTGAGATACAATGGTTAATGTGAATATTTGACGAAAACTGTTGAGAAATGTAGGACTTGCCTAAACAAAATATTGTAACACTGCCAGCCTAATAATAGCAATATTTATGCTTGAATATTACAAATTTTCTGTGTAAATAAACAGAAAAATCTTTTAAAAGGCACTTAGGATACAACTTGATGAATTTAGTCTCTGTCAAAAAAAGAGACTTTTATCATTCTTGGCATCTCTGAGCCTCTAAAGCATTAACAAAAATACACTTTTCAAAATATTAAAACACCAATTTGTGAATTATCTAATACCCCAATGATGTAAAATACATTTTTCAAAATACTGAAAATCCAATCTGTAAATAGCTAATACCAAAATTAATGTATCTACTAATTTGTGTAGTATGCACTACACAGGCAATTTACTAGAAATGTACACTGTTGGCTAATTAATTTTAATGTTTTGATCTTAAAACCCTTGAATTGACAATGGCTAGTTCCTAGTAAACTGCAAGGCAAGTCCATTACAGATATCTAGGGACATACATCAATGTTATAAGTTCAGGAAAGAAAAGATAACAATATTTACCTCTATTACTGTAATTATTATTATTATTTTCTGTGTACTGTCCCTGCCCAGAGAAATCCACATTTATCTTATTCCCATAGAAATCCTGACCATCCATTCTTCGTTTAGCCCTGTAAAAATGTGAATTCCTATAAGTTTTCTTCCCCTTAAAAGAGCCACCCTGCTTCTGGCCCTTTCTATTCCGCCGTTCATACTGACCGTATTCGTGACCATTTCTTGGTAAAAAGTTAACATTAATTCTATCATGCATATTTTAGGTGAACTGTTTTCAACTACTTATTTTCCCTACAGCTAAATATGTAATTATCAGCTTTCAGGACAAAAGCACATGGTCATCTGTGTAGAATGTTCCAGTCTACTGATTTGTGCACAATAATTACACAAGATTTTGGTGGTCAGTTTATTTAACATGTTAAACTGTTACACAATACACTTTTTTTTCCAATTCAGAGTACTGCTATAAATTAAGGCCAAGGAAAATAAAAAGCATAGTTTTTCGTTCACTTTATTCTAAAAGTTACCATTTCTTTAAAAATATCACATGAACAATGGATAAAGTAGACTATATAATTTATTTATAGAATTTATACCATGATTGGCCTAATGTACAAGTAGTTTATTTAATAAATTTACTATGTGTACTCTTTTTTTTTGTTGAAGGGTGCATCATAACCAAATCTTTAAAAGTCTATAAAATGCCTATTCAAGAGAAGTATAAAACCTGCTCAATGTCTTCTTTGTAAAAAGTAAAGATTTTTAATAAAACAAAATTAACTGAAGCATTGACTTAGGTCAGAATATACAGCTGACATTTAGTAATAATGCACCCAGCAGTTGTAACCACAGTATTCTAATCTTCGGGACTTGGACTGAAGGATTTTCCCCGCCTCTGATCAAGTAAAATCCCCTTAAATGACCCCAAACTGCCAGGACAAAAACATGGCTTTAAGGAAAGATTGAAAGTTAAAACACCCATTTACCCAGCTATCCCAAATACTGCCCAGGGGTGGTGGTGCCAGGGTCACAACTGACTGGAGCATTAAAGAATTAGATATGTCAAATGTAGTGAACTGGAAACGAGGTTCAAAGTTGGAAATAGAAGTGGACCAAGTTGACTTATGAATAAGGTAACAGGGTAAAAATCCAAGAGCTGTCAATAGGACAGACAGCCATTCTCAGTTGATTGCTTGATAGTAAAGCAAGAGCCTCGATAATTTAGGAATTAACAAAGAGGAAAATTCCATCCCCCAAAAAAATGACATAATTATGTGTCTTGGACACTGAGCCATTAATTCTTAAGTTACAAGGGACAAATTTCACAGAAAATCCATGCTATCCTTCGAAAATGACCAATAATTGTAATTTCAAAAACCAATTGATCTTTATGTGAATACCATCAGCAGTTTTTTTCTTTAAATTTTAGTTTCATGCAAAACTTTTCATAAAGGGCTATAATTCTGTCAAAATCAATGCCTGATTTATTGGCCTTGGACAGTGACCTCCAATTCACATGTAAAGAACAAGTGGCACTGCTGGTACATGTAAGTTAAACAGAAAGCTATAAAAGGATCAAAATGGAACATTAAGTCAGTGTTATCATTAAAAAAATTTGAGATAGTTTGTTTTAAATTTAAGATGGTCATTCTTTTGATTTATCACATCCATAAAGATTTTTTTTCTAAGTTTTAAGGCAGGCCAAAATACATTTGAGACAGCCATTTTAACCTATAGCCACCTCCAAATGAAGACATATTCTGAGTGAGTCAGTTTCCCAGATTTCAATAAATTTCTGCAATAAAAGTGTAATACCTAAAGAATAGCTTAGTATCCCTTTAACTTTACCTATAACCAAAATATTACTTTTTAACATAGTTACAACATGGATAGGCATAGAAAGGGACAGTAATTAACAAAAGCAACAAGAGATGTTTGTGAATTGTTTATCCACCTAATGAAAACCTATAAGCCATATTTTATTGACTTCTTTTTTATAAACATTTTAAAGACATTTTGGGTGTTTTCATATAGACATATAGGTAAAATTCAAATTGTGCAGTAGAATTTCTTTAAAACTGGCATGTTGTAAGAAAATAACAGAAATGTTAGTGAAAAAATTGGGCGATTGCCATTCTTGTTTTAGAGTTATCTGCCCCTGAAATGGACGGTTTTGCTCAATCTAAGGGCAGATAGTTTACAACAAGCAATTATCATAGTATTGCAAGCAATCCATAAGTCCCCTACCGGTTAGAACCCCAGAATCATTTGATGGGCCATTAGCCATGCAATATATACCATTGAATGAATGAATGACATGAATGAACTTAAATCTTTTGAGTTCTAAGTTTGTCTATATCATAGTAAAGTGTTACTTTCCCTGCTAAGTAAGGAAACTTTGTTCAACAGATAATCAAAAGGTCCAAAAAGTCTTGCTAGAGTATTGAATCTTCTCACATATGTTGAGTGATAATAAGAAACATACATATGAAGTTTGAAGAAGTTACATTAAGAAATAAAGGAGTTATTTAAAAAAAACAACATTTTTTTCATGAAAATTATAAGTTCACGGGAGGTAATTCTGATAATTTTTGTGCTAGAGTTAAAAACCTTGTCATATATGATGTGGTTGATGACCAGAAACTATTATTTAAAGTTTGAAGTAAATACCTTAAGAAATAAAGAAGTTTTAGTGTAAAGGCGTAAAAACTAGAATAAAAAATCTTGAAATTCAGTCTATTTTGTTGCCATAGCAACCAGAATTTTCAACATAGGAAGAAAAGAAAAAATGTGCATAATCTCCAGACTGCCATATTTCAAGTATCATAAAAATATTTTCAGTACTTTTTACATTATCACTGGATGCAGTTAATGTGTTAAATTTGCTATATTTTCAGTCTATTTATTGCTTTGGCAACCAGAATTTTCAACATAGAAAGAAAAGAAAAAGACCTGCATCTCCAAACTGCCATCTATCCATGTATCATGTTTCATAAAAATATTTTCAGTACTTTTTAAGTTATTGCGGGATCCAGTTTTGTGGACAGACAGACAGACGTTCTCACAGGACAGTAATTATGTGGCTACTCTATTGTTCTCTCTATTGTTCTTTTTAGCCACAGAAAAGAAAATAGCCACATAAAAGCATTATGGAATGAATGACATCAAAAAGAAAGAACAGTTACCTATTGTCCCTCTAGCCACATAATTACTCTCCTGTGAGTGCGGATGGACGGACATATGAACAGAGGGTAAACCTAAAGTCCCCTCCGGTACAGGGACTAATAAAGGTAAACAATACCTTACTTTTCTAATTTTCATTGTGCAATAATTGACAAATAAAGAGCATATTGTTTAATTTCTAAACATGATTGTGGCATTTTTTCTTTTTTTTTTAAAACAGAATTTTAAGTCCCCTTATTCAAACAAAAAATTATTAACAGATATATCTTATAGAATTGCATGTTATTATGCATTGTGATCAACAATTAGAAGAAAAGAGGGCCATGATGGCCCTAAATCGCTCACCTGAGTCAGAATACTTGTTAATTTGGGTTTTTAATCACCAAAGGTACATTCCTGTGAAGTTTGAATGAAATTGGCTTAGCAGTTTATGAGATGTCATTTAAAGTAACAGTTTACGGACAGACGACGGACGGACAGAAGCCAGACGAAAAGCAATCACAAAAGCTCATCATGTCACTTTGTGACAGGTGAGCTAAAAAAACATAATGCCAGCTCGCCGTTTACGTTAGGATTTTACTGAGAAACAACCTAAAACTCCGAATCCATCCAAAAATTTAATCGAAGCTTGGCTTCCAGCTTTCTACAAAATTTATCTGCCAGGGCTGGAATCCAAAATTATTTAGCCAAGTCTCTTCAGCTAACAGAACTGTCATTTTTACATTTAAACACATCCCTGGAAAAAAATTACGAAGCAAGTTGCTACTAGCTTTTTTAAAAGCTAACCTTGTCCACAAGTAAAAACAAGATTTCGTAGAGGTTTGTATAAGTTTTCTGCCCTTAAAATGACACAAAAAAAAAGTATACAAGTCTGATTCAAGGGTAGATAACTCAAAACTAAGATCGGTGACACCCAACTTTTGTATTCACTTAAAATAGTTTTATCACAACATTATTACATAATCTTGTACATACAACTGTTTACATACTCACTATGAATTTGATATTCTCTGCTTATTGCAATGTACATGTGACAAAAAGCAAATTTTAATCAAAGGCCTTCTCAATTAATTAATTCATCAAGATTTTTTGGTTAAAGACACCGTGACCATCTTATCTCAAAGTACATCAGCATTACAAACATGTAATTTCAGGAATTTTAGTGTCTTTAACCAAAAAAATCTTGTTTCTAACAAATGTGTTTAAATTTATATAAACTAAAGTTACCAGATGACCATACTGATTTTGAGATCAGCAGGTCAAAGTTCCAGGTCACCATTATTTTAATGATTGGCAGACCAGTTAATTGAAACCCATGTTCCTTAAGTCCTAAGATTAAGTTTGGAGTGTCATTATGAATAGTAAATGACCCTGGTAAGTTTTACCAAGGTCAAGATCACTGGCCTTGATCATTTAAAGCTTGCTTAACCTATAACTACAGAATGTTTTGGTAATGACTAATCTTCATACCTTATTTAATGACTGCAGGACAAAATCATCCCTAGTTATTGGTAGTGCAAGCTTTTACTGGTCAAGAACACGGTTACTAATCTTTCAAAGAATGACCTTCAAATCAACCTTTCAAAGAATGACCTTCAAATCAATAGTGGTCATCTACTAGTCATGATCAAAATGCACATCAAATCTGAAGTCAGTAGGCTAAAGCATTATTTAGTTATTGGTCAGTTATTGGTCAGTATGATCTTTAACCGCAAAATCAATAGGGTTAATCTACATGTACTATTCATTACAAATCTCCACACTTAATCTCAAGACTGTAGGCTAAAATTCAAGTTTGAGATTCAAATTCAAGTTAAAGCTTTTAACATAATCCCTAGGTACCTGTCTGACACTCTTTTAACTTTCTAGGCCATGGTGCTGTTAATCATTTTCCAAATGACCTCAAAATCTGTATGGGTCATCTTCTTATGATGAAAAACCTTCTCATAAAAATATTCTTGCCCTTAGCCAAAGACTTAGTGTAAATTAGCTGGACAAGCTTTTAGTGATCTAGGCCAGTGACCTTTGGACCTACAAACTTCAAAATCAATAAGGCTCATCTTCTTGTCATGACAAACCTCCACACAAAATATTTGGACAGAAAGTGTTCTCTAGTCAGACAAGGTGCCACCTACTGACAGACTGACTGACACAGTACAAAGCAACATATTCCATCTTCTTCAAAGAGGAGTATTATATAAAATATCACACTTTTTGCATAAAATAGATTTATAAAATCATAAATTTAGAACAATTTTATTACATAATTATGTATAAATAAAGTCTATTAGCCGAACAAAGTTATTTCAAAAACAATATTAAAGACAACATACCGTTTTGCCAAGGTGTTTGTTTTGAATCGTAATAAGGCATATTCGTCAGTCACACACACTACTCTACCACCTGTGTTAGAGGACAGTTTTTGAAGCTTAGATTTCACACATTTATGATCTAAATCTTCAGGGAATCCAGTAACAGTCAATTCAACATCCCCATCTATACCCTGCAAAAGAAAAAGAAAATTCCATTTTAGTCAAACAAATTCAGCCTAAAGAGCAAAATGGATTAGTTAGCCAGTGCCATACTTAATATCGTAAATGAAGTTGTCTGTCGTTCAATCTGGACAAAACTATTCCTCTTAAGAGCTAACAGTGCAGACCATGATTAATCGGCAAAAATGTGTCGGCTGATCTTGGTCTGCACTGGTCGCATGTGTAAATTCAGCAGGATTAAGCAGTTTTCAATCTTCATCTTATTATTAGTTCTGGAATAGATCCTAAAAAGCCAGCAAATGAACATAAAACTGAGACTAAAAATAGTGCCAACACTTTTACAGACAAACCTATTTAGTAAAGGTGTTTAATAACCAGAGAGCGAGGTACTATCCCAAGCAATTGTTATGAACATTTTGTCCTGGTTTCTTAATGTTTAAAAACAATTTATCTCTAATAGTTCCTTACATATACCTTTAAAAATGATGAAAATCTCAAGATGATCAGCTAAAATCTGACCACACTCTGTATTTGTGAGAAAAGCTAATCAATATAGGTACCGGCAGATTAAGATTTAATTCAGGGGTGGTCATTTTAACTGCGCCATAAGTAAGTGATCTTAAGTTTTGTGACAGACGGACAGACAGATGGACAGTGCACAACTAGACTTGGTACTGATCATTCCTGTAAAGTTTGGATAAAATTGCACCAGTAGTTTATGAGGAGTAGTCCGGACAAGCTTTTGTGTATCTGGCAACACACAGAAAAAAACACCTTTTTATCAAAGGGCCATAACTCGGCCAAAAATCATTCAACCGGAAAACCCGTGCAATATGCACAAGGACTTGAGCTACAGATCAATCCTGTAAAGTTTCATTGAAATTGCATTAGTGGTATAAGAGAAGTAGTTCGGACAAACTTTAAAAATAAATATTATTAAAGGGCCATAACTCTGACAAAAATCATTGAACCGGAAAATGCTGACAATATGCACAACTAGACTTGGTACTGGTCATTCCTGTAAAGTTTGGATGAAATTGCACCAGTAGTTTATGAGGAGTAGTCCGGACAAGCTTTTGTGTATCTGGCAACACACAGAAAAAAACACCTTTTTATCAAAGGGCCATAACTCAGCCAAAAATCATTCAACCAGAAAACCCGTGCAATATGCGCAAGGACTTGAGCTACAGATCAATCCTGTAAAGTTTCATTGAAAATGCATTAGTAGTATAAGAGAAGTAGTCTGGACAAACTTTAAAAATAAAAATTATTAAAGGGCCATAACTCTTACAAAAATCATTGAACCGGAAAATGCTGACAATATACACAACTAGACTTGGTACTGATCATTCCTGTAAAGTTTGGATGAAATTGCACCAGTAGTTTATGACGAGTAGTCTGGACAAGTTTTGTGACGGACGGACGTTCTCACAGGACAGTAATTATGTGGCTACTCTATTGTTCTCTCTTTTGTTCTTTTTAGCCACACTAAAGAAAATAGCCACATAAAAGCATTACGGAATGAATGACATCAAAGAGAAAGAACAGTTACCTACTGTCCCTCTAGCCACATAATTACTGTCCTGTGAGTGCAGACAGACAGACAGAAGACGGAGAAGTGATCCCTATATGTCGCCACTACTCCGTAGAGGCGACACAAAAAGCAAATTATCCATATTAGAATGTAGATTTTATGCATGCACTGGTTTACTTAATGTGACCAGTTACACGAAATTTGACATGAACAAGAACTGTCCATCTTGACTATTTTTAGTGCTTGACAGAAAAACAAGAGCCTGGATAATGTAGAATTTTCCAAGTTAAAAAAGGGTCATAGTTCTGTCAATAACAATGCTAGAGTTATGGTCATAATGGACCGTGACCTTCGATAATGCTCCCAAATAAGTTTGTATAGTTTCAAAACAAATTCCCTTCAATAGTTCTGGAAAAGTACAACTTGCTTGCAAAAACTTAACCAGTCTGTGACCCCAATGCCAAGATGAGTACAATAGATCTCCTTGTTCTTTGAATAGTCAAGGTGAAAGTTACCTTTGAAGGAGATCTACAAGGGATATCTTTAATCAGGTCTTCGTATAAGTAATTTTCAGTCGCAGAGTGTATTAACGAGTCATGGACATGGTGACTGTGTATAAGGATTATGTCAAATTTCTTCCTGTATCGGAGATCATACAAGTCAGTGGAAAAATTTACATCACCTGCAAATAAAGATCATTATTATTTTTAAAAGATTTTTAGTTAAACTGACAGTGCGATGGTTATATGGCAGCTTTCCACTTTTACTAAAAACTTGTTGGTGAATACATCATTGTAACTCTAAGCCTTTCCTGTTTTATAACTAGTTGTGCACAAGTATTTACACTTCATAATTCTTGGGCGTGCCCCATTTCACTGCTTAGCATGCCCTTGAAAAGGAAAAGGCAAACAATTCAATAGTTTAGGCATGATCAGTCTGGAGATAACTTCTGCTATTTCAAGTAAGGCCTTTTAGGTAAACTGCAATATAACATTAGCTAAATTGAATTGATGTTAGTCCTTACATTAACTCTATGACAAAAATTTTAAATGCTGATCATTTGTATTTTTGTTAAATTTTCCAACTTTTTCCCCAAAAAAATTTCCGAAAAATATTTTCCTTGTTAAAGATAATTGTACATATATTGTATAAAGAAAGACATGAATCAACATTATTACAGTACAGTTTATGCACTTTAAATGTTAAGGTAATAATGTTTGTTTTCTTTATTCTGTCACAAAGCATTAGATGCATGCTTACACATAATGGCAGCAATGTCAAACAACAGAGAACACAAAAATTTTACAAAAACAATAAGACCAAATTTAACAATTATCTGAACCAATGAAAACGTTCTGCCATAAAAACATTATGTAACTGAAATAATATCTTACTTGAAATCAGGACTATTCTCGCAGGAGGCAAATGTGTATCTGCAAACCGTCGGATGTTTTGTCGTAATTTGTCGTCTGCAGCATTCTTGCTAACTGCATCTATGTGTACAACATTTACCTAGAAAGAAAACTGATCTGTCAATTCAAACAAACTCTTCTGACATTATATGCACTGCAGATTAACCTGTTTCATAAAAGGACAAAATAATGATAAAGAATAAATTAAGACACTTTACTATACAGTAGAACTTTAGTAAGTCCAAGCTGAAGGACTTGAGTAAAAACTTCCAAAAGATCGTGACAACTCATGAATTTAGTGAGTTACAAAAGGCCTAATAATAGGAAATATTTCATTTATTTTGTTGAGTTTTAAGTCACACCAACGTGGGATTAGAAATAACAGCAGTAAAATAGGCAAGTTATTTCATGTCAAAGTTATGATAATCTGGGTTGAAAATGAATAAATTCTATCATTTCATAGTGCTTAATATTTGAAAGATAATATTTGAACACAAGATAAAGTTGGAACATGACCTTTACCTGAGCTTGATTTAGCTCCTGTATAATATATTTTCTCTCCTTGGATGTATCACAGACACACATAAACTCCACCTCACGATGGCCATTGAAGAGTTTCTCTCGGACAGCTTTCACCACAAGAAGGGCAGATTTCCATTTAGGTACGCAGCAGTTTTCTATGTCCCAGAATACACCAATAGGTAAACAGACTGAAGTTTCATCAGATTTTGCCATAGCTTAAAGCTGCAAAATAACAACATTATTATTTATAGCTCCTACATATTTATTGTAACTATCTTATTAAATATTCATTGAAAATTCTCCAACTGCAGACCAAAAAAATTAATTCACAAATGGATCAATTCAATTAAAGTCCATGCTTTAGTTATGTGTAATTGGTAGATGGCCTACACTTAAAACCCTGAAAACAAGTGTGAAGAATTAAGTAAACACCTTCACCATTAATGCGAAAGAACTTGCATGACTTGTAGGCTTTCAACCCATAAACACTCCATATGAAAAGTTAATTTCAGTAAACATCAATGTTAAAGATATATATTTCTATGTCAGTGACCATATACATGTATATTATGACCATCCAAATATCAATGACTGTAGTAGCTAATGAGAAATAAAAGTTGCATGCAAATACATATAAAAATATGCTGATAAGAGTACCAAAACCAATATCAACACCAGGAAATGAAACTAAAAACCTTAATAATTCAAAAGAAAAGATAGTCTTATACTTACATGCTATAGTTTATTTAATCATTATAATATGTAGTTCACTTTCGGTCCAAATAACTTTCTCATCCTTTTGTCCATCTCTTGCAAATAGCCCCCCTCCCTCTCAAAGTTCTGAAAATAAAATATATGTTGTTATTTACAGATAAAAGCATAAAATTTGCTCCATTTATAATTATCCTAAGTTAGGTACTTGCAGCACAAAAATGTCATCATAAGAAAATCTGAACTTGAGTCAGATTGAAAATATTACATTTTTGTGCTGCAAGTAGTTTGTTTACATGTAGCACTGATTGTCCGTAACACTGTTATGTCTATCATTATTAGCTTATTTGATTTGAACTGAAGCAGTGATATCGAAAATAAATTTTTACATGCCATCTTGATCAGAAACAGGAATGTGTTTCTTAAACACAATACCCCTGCCCAAAAGACATAGTATATAACTTGACAGAGTCATGACATTTTGTTAGTGTGAAAAATTTAAGTTGGCATGTTATTGCTATGCGATGAAGTTGAAAAATATTCAAAATTTATCAAATATATATAAGTGAAAGGCCTTGAACCCAGTGACCCCAAACTTAAAGGTTCACTTAAAAGTATATTCTTCTAGATATAAGAAAAAGTGTAAAAATTCTATTGATGGCACAAGTGACCTTGACCTTGTGACTCCCAACACTGGATCATCCAAGGTATGTTCCTTCTAAATATGAAAAGTATCAGTCTATGAATAAAGGCTGTATAAGCAAATGTTTAGAAATCCTACAATGCATGACAAAGTTACAGTGCAGAGCTCTCAATTGCCTGCTCTTCATCGGAGGTTATTTTGGTTCATTGTTTTTTTATTTTTGGAGCACGCCAGGAATCTGTACAAGACTTTACCCACCAGGTAACCTGCACTTTTATGTATTAAGCTTGTCGGGATCAGTTTTTCTGGTTTCCTGTCTCATCATGATTCCCATTCAATTAAAACATTTGGAATAACTTTCCCATTTACCATCAATCAAAATACGAAATTGCGCAAAAGTTCTTTTCCAAATTGGGATGTTCAAGATAATTTAATGAATTTGTCATAAAGTTAAAAGTACATAAATAGAAATAGATGCCTAGTCAATATCAACAGAACTTTCTGTAGATTTCCGTTTCCCAAGATGGAAATTTTAATCTTGAAATTTGAATTTAAGTGAATCTATGACTGACGGATGGATTTTATTCAGATATTGTGAGCCAGAAGTGTGCAGTTCTAAGTGTTGTTGACTGTTATAATGGTGAATGACCAAGTTAGGTTAGCTATAAAGCTGCCTAAAATATTAAAAAAGACTACATCACACTTGTTTTATAAATTGAGTGTTACAGGTAAATTTCTGATGGATATTTATAAAAGATCTCTCCTCTAGGGCCATGAGAGTTATTTCTCGTTCATGAAAATTAAAGTATAACATTGAAAGGAATTATGGCAAAATGTAAACTTATTTTGACTTTCACCTGTTCACTCACTAGGCCTATATATACCCTTGGATGGGCATGTCACAAATATTGTCAAAATAGTGAAATACATTATAAATTCTATCAAAGCTCCATTTGAGGCTTAACCTTATTCATATTATATTATAGCCATGATCTGCAAAAGAAAATTACAAAATTAAAAATAAATAAAATCCAAACTTTATTGCCAAATAATGAAATATTATAATCTAGCTGTTTATATCCAAGAAAAACAAGAGAAAGAAAAATAAAATTTGGGACATAGTACTTAGCCCAACAAATTGTGCGCTTTAGGGCTTTTTATTATAAAGACGATGGTCGCCCTTTAAAGACAGACATCTATGAAATATCAGATTATAAAATCGGTCTGTCTTGCAGTAGAAATATTGAGACTAGGGGACATAGTAGTTTTTGTTGTTGACAAGTTTATTAAAGATTGAAAATAACATGGTGGTGTAACTTATAAACTTACTTGTGAAATTCAAATCTGTATTTTTACATTACTAGTTACATGTAGTTCACGGCCAAAGGCAAATACATGTAGCTACACATTGAACAGTTAATTATACATCCAATCAACTGATCAACAGCTGACCTTACTATAATTTTGTTTCTTTTTCATTCTTACATATGACAATAGAAATTTGATACATTAAAACAATCATTTAAATCAAATGAAGCAAAATACCTGGCGTTTTCAGTCTACATTTTCACAAAATAGTCCCAAATGTCATAATTTTCGAAAAACAACTTGGAAAGTTTTATTGTTTACAAAATGGCCAATTAAAGGTATAAAAGTCTCTACCATACTACCCATGATGAACGTACTATATCCGTACAATAAATAATCTTGGCTTCAATAAAGAGACTGAGCCATGCTTCTATTAAAGTGTATTAAACACATTGTTGGTATTGGCTACGTATGTCAAAAAAAATGTATTCTTTGATGTTTTCATGCTGGATGTTTTACCAATTGGGGGAACTCTTCTCTCAGATGGAAAGTTTCATATGGTGGATATAGTAACATATCCAGCCTCCCTAGAGCTCTATACCTCCATAATATTAAAGTAAATTATAAGTATTTAAAACAAAAAACGTTTCAAATGTACTGTTTGAAACCGTTAAGATATATACTATTTCAAAGTATGTCTGTGTAAATTTGTAATTGGGCTATAAATAAAATTAATACTTTGGATTTTTTCTGCAAGATCTATTTTAACTTTTTCCCGCCTTTTTTCATGGGCAGCTGCATCGTTTTTACCAGTTCTAAGTCAGCTTTACTTTTAACTTTTTATGACAGTCTTGTAGTCCTTTTAATTAACTTTCTTTTATATCATAACTATAAATTTGCACTGTTTTTAACAGCTATTCCCAGACAACGCGCCTGCTTAGTGTAATCGTTAACGATTTTGAAGCAACTTGTATAATGTACATGTAGATGTTTAGCAGAATTTGCGAATACATGTAGCAGCTGAAACCTTATGTTTATTAAATAACTTATATTAAGGTTCATGAAAAAAAAACAGTTACAATCTTCTCGTAATACTCCGGATAAAAACATTAATCAAATTTACATAAAAGAGGCCCTTAATTGCTCACCAGAGGATATATGGTCTAAATGGATAATATTTAATTACCTGGACACTCGTATTAATTAACTTTTAACAAAATCATCCAAGTGGTAGAGCTTTGATATAAAAATGAACTGTTGTTCCAGCTAGGGTAGTGGGGATGTCTTAATGTCTTATTTCTGTATTAAGCATGAAACCATTTTAGCAAATATTGTTAATGTTCACCTAGAGATCACCAAATCATTTAGAAGTTCATTTATATTTGAATCAATGTTGAAGAAGAGTTGTCACTACAAGCTTATTTCTATTTTAATATAATAATAATAATACACTCTTTATTTAACGAAGGTAACTTATTAAGACAATACATCAAAGCATTAGATACAACACATATAATGCAAAATCTTATTTTCAACAAGGCCTTCAATAAAACAAACATAACAACGGACATATTCAAGCAATTGTAAAGATTACAACATTCAGTAAATCTTAATCAACAAAGAAGACAGACATAATATTATCTTGCCGCCATCTTGTCCAACAAACCAGAAATATTTGAACAATTTCTATAATGACCTCAAAATAACTTTTTTGAAGAGTTTAATCAAAATCTACAAACAGTTTATTAATTTGTTTGCAATGTATTTACTTAAGTAATTGAATGGCTATTTCGGCCCGGCTATTTGTGTGTTAAAAATCGATGACGTAAATGGAAAATCGTGTTCAGTTACATCACTTTAATTTCAAAATAAATTCTCATTACTTTTACATAATCTTGGTTTTATAACAAAAACTTGTAAAACACGTTAAATAACACAATACAAAAGATAGTTTGATGTATAAACAGTAAATATTTACACACGAGGGCCAGAACCATTTGAACATTTTTTGTAAAAGACTAGTAATGATGGTCATTACTGTAGAGTTTCATTAAAATCTATGAAGCAGCTAAATGGAGATGTCATTTAGAGGTTATTTCATTGCTTGCTCTGGATGCCATCTTGTGGATGGAAATCAGTTGAGCAATTTAAGTTAAGGACTACTTCAGGATTATTTCTGTAGAATTTCATAGAAATCTATCGGGCGACCGAGGAGGAGGTGTCATTTGAAGCTTAATCCTATTCTCAGTAAAGATTTTTTGGGCAAAAGTCAATCAAACATGAATTAAAAAGAACTGAATATCTATTCCTCCTATAATAGCATAACATTTATGCTAGAATCCTAAAAATCTTTAACAAAGTTCAAACCAAGCTCTTACATGTATGTATTAAATTAAAAATTATGGAACAAATATTGTCTTCAAACATAAGCTAGGGGGCATCTTGACAAGAAAAAGACCCTTTATTCAGTTTCAGTACATGGTTTTGTGCAAAATATTAGTTTAAAACAATATTTATTTCCAGAATTTACAAACATAAATATACATTACAAACAGAATACATTGTATAATAAGAAACATGAAAGACTGATGATAAAAGTTAAAGATATACAATGCTTAAGAATTTTTAACTTATAATTAATTCGGAAGAGGATTTGAAAACAAGTCCAAGACTTATGTAAATTCATTTCCTCAGTGGGTTGGAAAGGATGGCGGCTGACTGGTCAAAATCATATGTAATGTTTTGAGATTTGATATTGTAATAAAAGTGAAAAAAAGAGTTCCAGTGTGGAACTGAGTTGTTTGCTACCGATAAAACAGTTAACTTAGTATAATGTATAAATTCTGCTTATGAAGTCGTTTTGTAACATGCGCAAGCACTATGATGTGGAACGTTTGGTAGCGACAATGTATTTTGGACGCAACTAAAGATATTTGTGTTATGTTCAAAGTTGAGATGTTCAGAGCCATATAGTAAATTTTGAACAGTTAAAGGACACTGCATGAAGGTTGTGCAAAATATTAGCTGTTATATAATCCCAATAATTATATCATTTACACAAGCAAAATTGATAAATTCAAAACTGACTTCTTCGTAATAGACTTTAGTATTTAGCATTTGATAAGGTTTAACTTCTTCTTTACAAACTCTTAACAGAAGCACGGATTTAAATTACAATAATATAAATCCGTGACAGAAGCTACCATTTAGCATAAAGATTTCATGTTGTCTCTCAGAATCCCGTAATTTTAAGAGGGTAGGAGGATAGTTTGGTTATTTCAAACCTGAGCACCCCAAGTCTAAAATTTCTGGATCCTTGTCTGCAATTAGAAATTATTCTGGATTTAACTACTTACGTCAAGGCAAGTGCAAGGTTTGAAAACTTTATACATAGTATAATAAAATGCAAAATGAGCCTACTAATTGACGCTATCCGGTCAACGGTATCAAGTCTACAGTATGGTTAAGTATTAAGTTTAATAATCTGTGTGAAAGAAGTGATTGCTTTTCAACAGTATTATCAAGCGCCTGCATAACTAATTAGGAAGATGGCAGGAGCTCTGTCACTGCCGGACACAGATATTGTCAAATATCTCTGTGCCTGTAAGAAATGGAATACAATTTACAGGCTTTACCTATGCCGACATTGTTTCAAGTTAAGATGCGGTGACTGTGTTCTTCACGAGGTATCAGTTTTAATTTTTGCATTATCGATAAATATTTTTTTTTATAATATGAGTAAGATAATCTATCTATCTTCCATTAATGTCACTTAACCACTCGCGGGGACGTAGACATGACCCTAAACTCTAGCCACTTCAGAGAAAGCTATAAGATACAAGGGAATCCGGGAACCAGTCTCTACGACTCTAGCTCTTACTGAAAAGTCCCCTTGGTTCTTTTGTAGATGCCTGGAGTGTATAGCACTGATAGTGATACATGTATGCAAGCCTTGCAAGGTTTACATGGATTCCTTACCAGTACACCTCTAGTTAGGTGGGAAACACTGAAAGTTTCTCTGAAAAATCCCATGGGTGTTACCAAGGATCGAACCCGGACCTCAGGAGTGACAGCCAGTGGTCTAACCAACTGAGCTATCGTGCCACCTAATTATAACCTGTATTTATTAATGTCACCTATTTGGAAACTTAGTGAATACTTTATTATTGGTTTAGTTCTCAATGCTGAAATATTGCTGAATTTCACAAATGATGATAATTGCTTAAATTTCCTCTAGCGTAAATATCAACCAACCTGTCATTCAATTCTACCCTTGCACAATTTGCTAATATTTCCTCATGCGAAAGGTTAAAATTTAAATTTGTTAACTTTTCGACATGTGGAAATATCCACTTTTACATAAATTTAGAAACTCATCATTTTAAAGTAAGTCCTGACATGTTAAGCGTTTCACAATATGTAATGTATTATTTTCAGGTGGATTCTCCATATTGTCCAAACTGCCTGGAGAATATGCCTTCAGCTGAAGCAAAATTGAAGAAAAATAGGTGAGAGATCAACAAATATTTGTATTAATAACTTTTTCTGACAGAGTAATCATTTGGAGCTCTGTCCTAGGCATTAAAATAACTTAAATGTAAACTAAAGTAAATTATGTTGGGATCATTGATGTCTATCAATCTATCAGTTAAATACTAAGTTCATTCTAGTCTTTGACAGACATTTTGATTTCTGATAAACTTTGAAATTTTACTTCTCGATTGGTGCTAATTAATGTAAATTTCATCAATTGCTTGATATATAATTAAAAGTTTACTTATAAAATTTATGTAACCTGTCCTCTTCTGCTTCAGATGTACCAACTGTTTCGACTGTCCAAGCTGTGGTCATACTTTGACTACTAGAGCTACTAGTCAGATGGTGAAAAACCCAGATGACCCGGGAAAATCAACTCCTAAGAAGATGTATTACCTTGCATGTGGTGTGTGTAGATGGACAACCAGAGACGTAGCAATCCCTGATAAGCCTGTTGGTAAGTCTTGATGTATGTTTATGGAATTTTAATGACACATGGCTTAGCTAATTCTTTTCTAAAGACATGATTTTACATAATAGTATTAATACATTTCATGTGCACATCAAGTACATGAAATTCATGATTTTCACTGCAGTGCATTTTCACCCAATCATCAAAAGGTGATATTTATTATAAGGCCCCATTCCTAATCCAAAATAGTCTGTTTTTCCCTATTTCAAAAAAAACAAAACAGAAACAAACAACCTCCTCCTCCCCCGCCCCACCCCCAAAAAAACAAAACAAAAAAAAACAACAACCCAAAGCAGCCCAAAAATGAAATTGATTCTGAGAAATATTGAACTGTCTTGACTTGTTTCTTTTCTTAAAAGAGGTGACAGGTTATATGATCATGCACATGTTAAAAACCATAAAAGTCTTGTATAAGGTAGTTTTTCAAGTTATAAAATGTTTTCCAATTTCCCAAAATGCTGAAATATATTTTTCAATTTATTCCCTTTCGAGGGCATTGACCCAAAATTGCTACAAAAGGCCTTGTAAGGTCACATGATATACATAATGTTGATCACATTTATAACATACATGATTGCTGATTTATATTTCAGCTAGTGGAGCCTGGGAAGACATAGCAAATCCTGATGCTGCAAAAGTATGTATTATACTTCTTTTTTAATTTTTTTTATCTTGTTTGTACTTTCAGAAAAAAACTATAATTAGATTAAGTTTTTAAAAATTTAGCAAAGTTCATTTGAAACAAAATGACATTATAGAAAAGTTGAATACAAATTTGGCTTAGTTTATTAGTTAATGAGTATGTTTCTTTTCTGTTGTATTATATCTCTGCAGTGTTGATATTTCATAATCATTTACTGAGTCTTTGAACCATTTCTGGAGGTTGTTCAAGACATATTTATTTGGTTTTGTATTGGTTATTTTTCTTTACTCTGTTATCATTACCAGACATCACTTATAAAATACTGCTTACAAATGTATATATGTTTTTACAAACAACTATAAAAATAGCTTTTTTTCTATTGCAGATTACATCATTGATGGAATATTACCAACAACTTGCCCAGAAGGAGAAAGTTGAAAAGGAGAGAAAGAAGTACACACGTAGGCGAAGTCATCTTATGTATGCTGTAAGTTGATGCCTTTACAAGTTGTATGAAGGTTCAGAATAAAGCTTACAGGCTTGCAAAAGTTTGCCAAAAATGCTGCTGACTTGTCCCATTTTATGATTTTTATTGTCAGGCTAATAGCTGAGCTTAATATAAAAATATACTGTTAAAACCAATGATAATGTCCTTGGGTAATTAATGCCCTGTACAGTGCAAAGATTTGATGTATGTCATGGACAGATTTAAAGCATATCATGGACAGATTTAAAGCATATCATGGACAGATTTAAAGCATGTAATATGTACAGATTAAAAGCATATCATCAGTTAATATTGAATAAAGTGACTTTAGGCAAGAAAAAAAGTATTCAAAGACTGACAAATTTGTTTTCAAAGCTTCAAAATATCTAGAAACTTTTGTCCAATATCTTTGTGTTGAATTGTGATTATTATGTGTTTTATAATGAAAATGTTTTATATTTAGGCAAGCATTGACAAATATGGCCTGGTGTCAGTGGCGGCCAAACGTAAAGGTCTTATGTCACCTGGACCAAATACAACGTAAGTGATACATTTACATGGATCAATGATAATCATCTGCCTGTCAAGGCATTCTTCAAATAACAGACACATGGTGTAGATATCAGAGCTGCATCAGTACTAAGGGTGTAGTACTTAACTACCAGTACCAGTACTTGCCAAGTTTTGCAGTACCATTACCAGTACTATATTTTAGCTTGGTACTGCAGTACCAGTACTTTTTTGGGAGAAGTAATTAAGTACCAGTACCATTACTTTTATATATTCATCAAAGTTTGAATAAATACACAGTGTCAAACAAAATAATTGCAAACATTTATTAAGCAAAGAAATAAAATTATTTACTTTAAAGTTAACATTACATTTTTACAACTTAAATGATTGAACATACTTTTTACAAACAATAATGACAACATATATTCATGTCATATATTACTGTTTAGTAAGCAGTCAACTGTAATACAATGCAATCATCTTTCATTTAAAACACAGCAGTCTTTTGTTGCCTTTCACACCTGTTTTAATTTATACCAAAGTAAATAACATATTTTTATGGTGCTAATAAGATCACTTGAAATAGGATTATTTAGAATAGAACCAATTAATAAGTGTTTATATATTTTGCTCTTTTGTACTAGTAAATTTATACATTGTACTAAGGATATTTTAAGGTAAAGAGTAATTGAGTCAGTTTATCTCAATTCAATTTTTACTTCTAGTCTTTGTTGCTTCTTTTTTATGATAATAACTATGTTAACATTTGAAGGAATATTGCAGCAAATTATCTACAGATTAAATAACTTACTTTTTTACAAAAATTAATTAATACATGGTATTTACAGCTTTACTTTATGAAAAATGACATTTTTATCAAAACCAAAGTACTGCCTGTTAATGCAGTAGCAGTACCACTTTTAAAGACAGTAATGCAGTACCAGTACCAGTAGTAGCAAAATTTTGTAAGAGTTATTCAGTATCAGTACCAGTACTTGCAAAATCGCTGCCGTACGTACTGCAGTACCAGTACCAGTAATGCAGCTCTGGTAGATATTGATCGCACCAACTATTGTAAGTGACATGTACTGTAAAATTTATAACAGAAAGAATGTTTTTACCACATTTAATAAAAGGTAACTATAGAGATCCATTTTGGTTCAAATACCGATAGTGACCATAACTATCTTTCATTTTAAGAAGTAATCCATCTAGCGTATAGAAGGTTTATGTTTCTACATTGGTAAAACTTGACAGTTGCCATAGTTACAATTTTAACAAATTTGGAGTGATTTAAAAACTAACAAAAAGAAAGATACAGAGAGGGAAAGGCAAAAACGTATACAAATTTTAATATAAATGGTAGAAACTTAAAAATCTCTAAACTCTGAAAGATCCAACACAAGTGTTTGATACCAACTTTTTTCTAGTATCCTGCTCAGACCTTTCTTTTCATGCTCTCCTCAGTAACGAGTGTAGGACAAAAGCCCCCCCGGACGAAAGCCCCCCGTCCAAAAATGACAAGGTGGACAAAAGCCCCCCCATGAAATTTTCACATAGGACAAAAGCCCCCCCAATCAAAAATACAGGTAGGACAAAAGCCCCCCCCCCATCTTTTTTCACACGAGCAGGTGCTCAAATTCATCAAATTTCACACAAACTTTTAAATAAAAATGAAAATAATTTGTTTTAATGTTTATTTATAATGTATATATTGAAGTGATAACAAAGTTTATGATAAAAAATTAAATAATGCATGCATGCGATACCGAATTAAAAGCTTTTCAAATACACAACAAGGGTCAGAAGAGTAGTAATGTTTAATCACTTTTGTAAAGGGATCAAATTAATATCCTAAGCACTATGTCACCTACATGTGATGTCCATACATACCTTTTAAACACATAAAAAACACAACTTTAATACACTATATGTAAATTTGATTGACAATGGGGGGGGGGGGGCTTTTGTCCTACCTTTACTTTTTTATGGGGGGGCTTTTGTCCTATGTGAAAATTTCATGGGGGGGCTTTTGTCCACCTTGTCATTTTTAGATGGGGGGGCTTTCGTCCGGGGGGGCTTTTGTCCGTATCCCCTCAGGAACAACAGCTCCATGGGTACAAGTTTTCAGGCATTTGCCTTAAGTTCAGGAGACATTTTCACAAAAAATTTTACGATTTAGCTTAAGTTTTTGACTTACGATAATCGTAAGTAAAATCTTAAGTCATTTTCTCAAAGCCACTCGTAAGTTAAAATTTTATTTTAAGATAAAAAATTCACTTATGATAAATCTTAGGATAAAAACATCCCTAGCAACATTCATTTGATATTGATGTGCATGCTGTATATTTAATTTCGGTTTTAAAATCAAGTAATAAAGAGCTTAAAATATCTATTGAACAAAGAAAATGATTCAAACTGATACAGACTAATTTATATCTTGATTGAAGATAATTATAAATATCTAAAAGAAGGTCTACTACATGTATGTTATTAATAAATAAAAAGGTACCACTAGTACATGCTGGCAATGAAATCAAACTCACCAAATGTACAATTTATTAGTTTTCAGTAATACTACAGTATAGTTCACATTTAAACTATTCATAACCCTCTCCATCGTGACGTCATCAAGTCATGACGTCACAAATGTTTATGTTGAAAAATAATTATATCTCAATTTGTGTAATTTATAGCATACTGTTTGCTTAATATATATATATGTACTCCAACTTTTTGTTTGTTTTTATTCAGTTTAGGTAAGAGATACTTGATATTTTACCCTTAAGAGAGAAATAATTACACTTACGAACGGGGAAGACCTATTGTAAAGTTACGACAGATTTTGCACTTAAGATTTTCTTAAGATTTTTTGTGAAAAGGAGATTTATCATAAGATTTCTTTTTACGATAAAAAATTTTTGTAAGATTTTTTGTGGAAATGTCTGCAGGTTTTTTTTTACTCTTTAAAGCTCTCTTTTTCCATACAACACCTATTGAAATAATGCTAAATAGGTTTTATGATATTTTGAACTTTTGCTCATGCAGCTCTTATTTCTTATTCATTTGCAGTTAAATTTTCATGACCTGTTATTCATACAAGATTTCATTTACAATTGAATTCTGTTATTTTATCGATACAGAATAAAGGAAAATGAAGAGGCCACTATTAAAGCTGTTAAAGCAGTTCAAGAAGCGGAGACTGTGAGTGAGTTCCCTCCCTTGTCGGAAGATTTCTTCACACAACCAGTCCAACTTTCAAAAAGTAAGTTTACATAAGAAAACAGTTGAATCAATGGTTAACAGCAGCAGATAATAGCATTAACACTGAACCTGCTTGAACTTAAAGTGATTTCCTTTTGACAAATGTCTAGACCAAGGCTAGCCTGCACTTCCTTGTATTCTGACCAGGCCCTATTGTTTCTGTTGGTAACTCAAATTTTAGCTTGCTTGTTTCGATGAAAAAAATGAAGATTTTATGCTTGCTGCGTTATTGTCATTGTTGTCTTTGAAATATTTGTTTATCATGACAAGGTGCAATTGCATAATTCTGAAAACTATATTTTTGAAGTTGTACCCCTTTTAGAATTAGAATTTTTGACAGAATTGGTTACATGTAACAGACAAGCATTAAAACTGCATGTTGTATTTTGATATAGAAATCCCATAAAATTTGATAGGAGTAGTCCAAATTCAAGAGGACAAGTTCAGCAAACAAAGGGTGAAAGCTTCTGGCTTGCAGACTCATATGTGCAATTTTTATATGAATCTTGTCGTCTTGATTTTTTAATCGCAACAAAATTTTGTAAAATGCTTCATAAGAATTGACTCTGTAGATCTGTTTTGATAAATAATTCTGGTAGATTCTTCTAAAATGTTTCTATGACTTTAACGTCCAGTTACCTTTCAAGAAAAATACAGTATAGTAAAATGAACTGAGTAAATCAGTTTATTCTTGCAAGCTAAAGGATTACATGTAATTAACGCTTGCAGAAGAATAGTCAGTGTTGAATAAATTTAATTGTGATATTTCAGAGACAACAATTGGTCAGAGGCTAGGTTCTCCCGAGTTTCAGCCATCAGAGAGTGTAGACTTGTACCCTAGACATAAACATCTACTGATTCGAAGATCCTTGAGGTGTAAAGTAAGTCCAGTTTTCATCATAGATATTATTTTACAGAATTTACAAGCAATGTGAATAATAAAAAGATACATGTCACAACCTGGTTGTTATTAATGACAAAATATCATGAATTGAAAGCTCACTACTACTGCATGCTTAAAGGCCCATTATGCCTGAGAAATACATTTATTTTTACTTTTTCAAAAGTTGTTTTTTAGCTCGACTATTCGAAGAATATGAGAGCTATTGTAGTCGCCCCGGCGTCGGCGTCAGCGTTGGTTAAAGTTTTTTGTAAAGTCAAATATCTCAATTATTACTTGAGATATTCAATTGAAACTTACAATACTTATTTATAGTAACAAGGTACATCAGATTGACAAGTTGGATAACTCTGCCTACAATATTGACAGAATTATGCCCCTTTTTAACTTAGAAATTCTGGTTAAAGTTTTTTGTAAAGTCAATTATCTCAATTATTGCTTGACATATTCAACTGAAACTTACAATACTTATTTATAGTAACAAGGTACATCAGATTGACAAGTTGGATAACTCTGCCTACAATATTGACAGAATTATGCCCCTTTGGAACTTTGAAATTTTGTTTAAAGTTTTTTTGTAAAGTCAAATATCTCAATTATTGTTTGAGATATTCAATTGAAATTTAAAATACTTTTTAGCTCGACTATTCGATAAGAATAAGTAGAGCTATTGTAGTCACCCGAGCGTCGGCGTCGGCGTTGGTGTCCGCGTCGGCGTAACCACTTATGTTAAAGTTTTTGTAATTGTTCAAATATTTTCAAAGTCCATTGACATATGGCTTTGAAACTTGGCACACTTGTTCACCATCATGACCCCAACCTGTAGACAGGAGGAGGTAACTGTATCAAGCATTTTGACATAATTATGCCCCTTTTTCGACTTAGAATTTACGTTAAAGTTTTTGTAATAGTTCAAATATTTTCAAAGTCCATTGACATATGGCTTTGAAACTTTGCACACTTGTTCACCATCATGACCCCAACCTGTAGACAGGAGGAGACAGGAGGAGGTAACTGTATCAAGCATTTTGACAGAATTATGCCCCTTTTTCGACTTAGAATTTACGTTAAAGTTTTTGTAATAGTTCAAATATTTTCAAAGTCCATTGACATATGGCTTTGAAACTTGGCACACTTGTTCACCATCATGACCCCAACCTGTAGACAGGAGGAGGTAACTGTATCAAGCATTTTGACAGAATTATGCCCCTTTTTCGACTTAGAATTTACGTTAAAGTTTTTGTAATAGTTCAAATATTTTCAAAGTCCATTGACATATGGCTTTGAAACTTTGCACACTTGTTCACCATCATGACCCCAACCTGTAAACAGGAGGAGGTAACTGTATCAAGCATTTTGACAGAATTATGCTCCTTTTTCGACTTAGAATTTACGTTAAAGTTTTTGTAATAGTTCAAATATTTTCAAAGTCCATTGACATATGGCTTTGAAACTTTGCACACTTGTTCACCATCATTACCCCAACCTGTAAACAGGAGGAGGTAATTGTATCAAGCATTTTTTCTTACTATCAAGCACTAAGAATAGTCGAGCGTTGCTGTCCTACCGACAGCTCTTGTTTATAGTAACAATGTACATCAGTTTGCAAAATTGCATAACTCTACCTGCAATATTTGCAGAATTATTTGCCCCTTTGAAACTTAGAAATTTTGGTTAAAGGTTAAAGGTCTTCAAAGATATTTACTTGAAACTTTACACATGCACTTAGGGTCATAATTGGAGGGTCATAATTGTATGTCACTGACCAAGTTCCATAACTCTATCTTGCATTAAGGCTGATTCATATCCCCTTTTCTACTTAGTCTCTTGGTTAATGTTTACATGCAAGTTTTACATATCTCAATAACTATTAAAGATATTTATTTAAAACTTCACATATGCATTTAGGGTCATAATTGTAGGTCACTGACAAAGATCCATAATTCTATCTTGCATTTAGGCTGATTTTTCTCCCCTTTTTAGCTCGACTATTCGATAAGAATAAGTAGAGCTATTGCAGTCACCCGAGCGTCGGCGTCGGCGTAACCACTTATGTTAAAGTTTTTGTAATAGTTCAAATATTTTCAAAGTCCATAGACATATGGCTTTGAAACTTTGCACACTTGTTCACCATCATGACCCCAACCTGTAAACAGGAGGAGGTAACTCTATCAAGCATTTTGACAGAATTATGCCCCTTTTTCGACTTAGAATTTACGTTAAAGTTTTTGTAATAGTTCAAATATTTTCAAAGTCCATAGACATATGGCTTTGAAACTTTGCACACTTGTTCACCATCATGACCCCAACCTGTAGACAGGAGGAGGTAACTCTATCAAGCATTTTGACAGAATTATGCCCCTTTTTCGACTTAGAATTTACGTTAAAGTTTTTGTAATAGTTCAAATATTTTCAAAGTCCATTGACATATGGCTTTGAAACTTTGCACACTTGTTCAACATCATGACCCCAACCTGTAAACAAGAGGAGGTAACTCTATCAAGCATTTTGACAGAATAATGCCCCTTTTGCGACTTAGAATTTACGTTAAAGTTTTTGTAATAGTTCAAATATTTTCAAAGTCCATTGACATATGGCTTTGAAACTTTGTACACTTGTTCAACATCATGACCCCAACCTGTAAACAGGAGGAGGTAACTCTATCAAGCATTTTGACAGAATTATGTCCCTTTTTCGACTTAGAATTTACGTTAAAGTTTTTGTAATAGTTCAAATATTTTCAAAGTCCATTGACATATGGCTTTGAAACTTTGCACACTTGTTCACCATCATGACCCCAACCTGTAAACAGGAGGAGGTAACTCTATCAAGCATTTTGACAGAATTATGCCCCTTTTTCGACATAGAATTTATGTTAAAGTTTTTGTAATAGTTCAAATATTTTCAAAGTCCATTGACATATGGCTTTGAAACTTTGCACACTTGTTCAACATCATGACCCCAACCTGTAAACAGGAGGAGGTAACTCTATCAAGCATTTTGACAGAATTATGCCCCTTTTTTGACTTAGAATTTATGTTAAAGTTTTTGTAATAGTTCAAATATTTTCAAAGTCCATTGACATATGGCTTTGAAACTTTGCACACTTGTTCACCATCATGACCCCAACCTGTAAACAGGAGGAGGTAACTGTATCAAGCATTTTTTTTACTATCAAGCACTAAGAATAGTCGAGCGTTGCTGTCCTACTGACAGCTCTTGTTCAACTTAAAATTCATGGTAAAGTTTTGCTTGTAAGCTGTTATCTAAATAACTACTGAAGGGTTTGTGCCTTTTTTGGGACAATTTTATGCATTCATAATAATAAAGTAGTGATTTACTTGATAAAACATCTTAATAACAAGCCTTTGTACCTTTTCTGTCAAATTTATGTATTCATAGGTAATTAGTATTATTAAACTCAATAAAACACCCTTGTGACATTACCTTCCGAATAGTCGAGCCAATACTGTATAATTAGACTCTCTTTAAGACCTATAACATGAATTTATAAAAAAAAAATTAGCCCTTTTGTGAACTTAAAGAAAGCACTTAGAATAGTCGAGCGTGCTGTCCTACCAACAGCTCTTGTTTTGTGTCCTGTTATTGTTTTCAAAAGGTTCCTCATTGGCCAATTAACCAAATTATTGTTTTTTCTTTTGCTCCTGGGGAAAGTAGTACAGCTATAGTGATTGAATATTTTGTATGGGAGCTGAAATGTCACTTTGTTTACATTTTGCTACTTTTATAACAAATAATTTCATAGTGCATCACTGCTATTTTTCTCAGGCTGTAAATATCTGACATGCTCTAAAACAATTGTTTTCATGTTATATAGTCAAGTTTGCTCGTTTTAAATAATGATTGATAAATAATGAAACTATATTATTTTTTTATGTAGGAGTGTGAACATAATCTGAGTAAACCAGAGTTCAACCCACTGTCAATCAAGTTCAAGATTCAACTTATTGCTCTGTAAGTGTTGAATACATAACAATTTTACAAAGGTTGCATGGGCTTGAAAATATTAAAATATTCTTATCAGTTTATGTTTGAAAGTAAGAAAACTTAAAATGTAATTGGTAAAATATCCTTTAAGAGTCACATAAAAGATTTTTTGAGGTAGTGTACTAATATTGTACGAAATTACTGTAGCGGAATTTGCCAGTGTCATCATAGTGTTTATGTTAGATATTAAAGGCTTGAGTTCTTTTATAATAGATTGATCGTTTTATAAAAATGTTTGCCAGATTTGAAATACATATAATGCTTGGAAAATCACTGTGATTCTTTTCCAACTAGTACAACTGACGGTTATGTATATAATATAAGAATGTGAATGTCACGGCTGATCTTTGCCTGCACTGACCGCATGGATAGATTAAGTCACTGTTAGCAGGCTGAGGGTTAACAATAAGAAGGACAAAATTCATGATCTGAAAAAAAAGATATATAAGAATTTCAGTTGTGGTTAAAAAAAAGACAAAAAACGGAATCCTGAAAAATTGTTTTCAAAATGTAGCAGCCTTGGTTTGATTGAGCCTGTTCATGAACCGTACTGTAAAATGCAAGTTACCATTCACACCCCCACCTCTCAAGAGAAGTTGTGTTGCAATAATATGAATGTTATACATGTCAGGCTGCTAAACATGTTTCTTATTTTAGATAATTTATTTTCTTTAACCCTTACCTTGCTATGTGTAATTGGCATGACTTGCTTTGATGGGATTTGGCTATTATGGGTTTAAGGGATTGCAATATCTAAACACAATAAAATTGTGATAGCCTTGTATTGCAATATATAAAAGTTATTGAATTGAGATGACAACTGTATAAAGTCTTGTTACATTGCATGGATGTGCAGACTGGCCTGGCTCTATACTGATGGGCATGTTTAACTCATTATTGTGAGAAGTGTTCGGATATTAAAGATTTGATATAGTATTGTGAATTCCCTTTATTTTGTGGGCATGAAATTTCATGGTTTTGTAACATTCTTGCGGGTACTTGAATTTGTAGATTGTTTATTTTTAAAAGGTCAAATGTAAATAATATGATGCAAAATAATCTTACAGCAGATGAAATATAATTTCGTTGGATCTTAAATTCGTGGATTGACCTACCCATGAAAACTATGAAAATTAGTGCCACACGAAAAGTAATTAGTTTGCAGTATTATCTTTTTATTTCATACAGGCTTCATATACTAGTGTCACTGAAAAAGACCATCACGCTTTTACGAGTGAAGTGTAGTGATATTTTATAAGTTGGTGTGAATATATAATGAAAATACTTGTTGTCTCACTTATTATTTGATGATCCTCGTATGTACAATTTTCATCTTTCCTTTACATATAGGCTTCACATCCCAGAGATAAGGGTCATGCAGCCTGGGGAACTTAAATTTAAGAAGGACACAAAAGTTGTGCTGACCTTTTCGAACCCAGCCAATACTAACACCAAGATACAGTTCCTGCAAGCTGAGCCAAGAGAGGGAGAATCTGGAACAGCCAAGGTAAGTCTGATTTCTATGTTGCTCTCATGTGAAATAAATCAATTTGTATATAGTGTTTAGTTCAAGGTCAAGTGTGCAGGGATATAAGCACGACCGCTGATTAGCTTGAGTGATTAATTATAAAGCATTTGAATAATACCTTGCATTTTTTTTACTACAACATAAGAAATGTGAATGTCTATTTCCATTCTTACATGCTTTAAAAAAGAGAATTGATAAAAGTATGCTGCAGATGATTTCATTTGGTTACAAGACGTCATATGCTGTGCATATACCATGTTTTAATTCACTTGACAGTCCTATCTGTTTGAATGGATGGGGAATAATGTGAAGCGTTTTAGAATTGTAAACTGAACAGCAAACAGTGTAGACATAATCAGATAACACGGATTTACTAGCTGATGATGGTTTGAACTGTTACATAGGTAGATTTAAATGCCACCAGCAGGCTCAGAGTTAAAGAAATGAGCCGCGTCACAACAAAACCAACATAGTGCGTTTGCGACCAGCATGGATCCAGACCAGCCTGCGCATCTGCGCAGTCTGATCAGGATCCATGCTGTTCGCTTATAAACCCTATTAGAAGTACAGAAACTGATAGCAAACAGCATGGATCCTGATATGTTTTGTTATGGCCCGGCTCAAATGTTTTTGTTACAGATTGAGCTACCGAAGAAAGAGTTAGTACTTGCTGGGCGTGATGACACGTCCATGTACGATGATCTACATACACAACAGGACTTCAAAGATGATTCTAGGTATTTCATACGCTAAATCTGTTTACTTATGCAGGTCATACAGGAAGGCCATTAACATTAGTAAATATAGTGAGCTCAGTTTGCATTCTTGCATTATTTTGTATGTGATAACAGTTTCTTTATAGTTGCAACAGAAAACTCAAATAGATAACACACTCGAGAAGACCAATGGCCCTCAAGGCACCATTTCCTCTTTAAACAATGTTTATATTTTGCCTCAATATTTTGTCCCCACTGTCTAAGGCCCATAACTCTAACATGGATTTTGACAGAATTATGACCCTTTTTGAACTTAGAAAAATTCAAGATTACTTTACTATCAAACTCTGAGAAAAGTTAAGCATGCTGTCCTATCAAAAGCTTTCGTTTTAAAGAAATCCCTATTTTAAAAAAAAATAACCTTCTGTAAGAGATCCCTACCAAAACCTTGTTTTTTAAAGACTCATTTTAAGAAAAATTAAGTGCAACTTCAAAGCAAAATTCCGAGCTATTGCTGCAGTAAGGTTGTCGTTGCCATCCAGAAAGATGAACGTTGGCAATTATTTTTGTGCTTCTGAATAGATTGTCTTCATACTTGGACACAACAATCCTTTGGATAAGCCCTTCAATTAGACCAGACTAAACTTGTCCTTGACTCGTAAATGACCTTGGTCTTTAAAGTCAAATGTCTGAATATGTTTGAAACTATTGAAATTTGCTTAAATTGTCACACTTTTATTATTTGTCGATGGATTTGATTCATTCTTGGACAAAAAAAACACTTATGGCAAATTCACAGGATGATTAATTCAAATAAGACCTATACCTTTGAATGACCTCTTATTAAGGTCAATTGTAAAAATTGAGTTTTATTTGTTACAAGAAAATTATGTTTTGTACTTTTTACTGTAATATTTTTCCTCAAAACTTTCGAAATAAGAGAAATAAGAAAAAGCCAGGTGTGGTCCCCACAAGCAGGTGGCTTTTTTTAGTAATTTTAGTTGCAGGGATCAAACTCACCACCCCTAGATTTGTTGTTAGACATTGTACAACCTGGCCACTGACACATCTTTCTTAAACCACTTGTATAAATTATTCACTGTGAAAAAAAAATATTTTTAACATATCAGTGCATAATGTGCTCATGTTGAACTGTTCGAGTCACTCGCCAAAAGTTCGTTTTTCAGTCTTATGATTTTCTTTATTGCTAAAATCAAGGTCAATTTATGTCAATGAAACACCAGAAGGAAGCTCCATTATAAGTGTGTTCAAGAAGTGTTCGATAAATCTAGTTTTAAATCTTCACTTATTCAATATCCTCTATATACATGTATTGTACAATATTTTACATTGGATATTCATCACTAACACATGGTAAAGTTTTCATGTTTTTATGTTAATCTTTACCCAAAAAGAGTGTTCATTTAAAGGTAGATTGGCCATATTTCTGAAGATCTATCAGTGTCCACAAAAAAGAATTCATTGAGTGCATTGATCTATATTAATTTTGTATGTTACACATTAAGTAAAGAATGATTTATATTAATTTTGTATGTTACACATTAAGTAAAGAATGATCTATATTAATTTTGTATGTTACACATTAAGTAAAGAATGATTTATATTAATTTTGTATGTTACACATTAAGTAAAGAATGATTTATATTAATTTTGTATGTTTTACACATTAAGTAAAGAATGATTTATATTAATTTTGTATGTTACACATTAAGTAAAGAATGATTTATATGAATGAGTGATTATTTTATGCATTGTAAATCTATAAGGAGAAAGCTTTTATGAGCTCAGCTTTCAAACCCAATCCCTTTTCAATTAAAGCACAGAAGGCGCTGAATATGTTTTGGTCTCAGAATGTCAGAAAGGTGGAGATAATGAGATTATAAACCAATTTGTTTTTATATAGTGCCACCAATGCTGTTTTCAGTGTTATAACTGCAGTAAATTGGCTATCAGGCTACTTGCAACACTGATATTCAATTCAATGTTTATTAGGCTTAAAAAAAGAAAGAAAAAAAGTTGCAATAACAAAAAAAAGTTGCAATAACTGTTAACTGGGATTTGAACTCCAGACCTAAGAGTGTAACCCCTGGACCACGGGGAAGTAATAAGATAACAGCCTGAAGAAAACCAGATAATTCTATCTAAATGAGGGTTTGTAACGACCCAAACAAATAATAATTTATGCCTGTAATGTGTACATGAATTATTGGCATTATTTCTATATTATATACTGTGAAGTTGTTTGAAATAAACTATGTTTGAACTAAGGAAATTTCATTAGCTCACCATAAATGTAACAGAATACCTTTATAAAACATGAAAAGAAAGATCTAAAGGGAGAGAAACATTTACTACATGCAGTCCACAACAGCACCCAGTTTAAACTTTTCATTATAAAAGCTGTTTTACAGACTTAGCACCATTTGATGAAGGCCTGAACCAAATAAGTTGTGTGCAAATTTTCAGGTCATTCCATCATCTACCCATTCTTACTGTACAAATTAACCCAAAAATGAAAAGCATCACTTTTCTCTCAATCTGATTTAGAATTGCACAAAAAATTGATTTTTCAATTTAATTCTTATTATGTTTATTAATTAACCTTGGCAAAGTTTTCCATTCTAATTGCTTCATTTATGTAAGAATTTCAAATTTTAAACATGTCAAGGAACTTTCTAAACAATGTACAAAACATGCAGATGTAGTCAGGGGTAGCAATTATGAGATTGTTCATGTCTGTTGAATGGATAAGACATAGGAATATAAGATATCCCTAAATGTGTTGTGTATGCATGGTAGACAACTCTTGAATATACAATGTACATTTTAATTTTCTGAGTTTTCTCCCTTGATGATGACATTATTTGCTATTTATAGTTGGGATTTCCACTGTAGTTTTCAATGTTTATATAGGTTGCCTTATTGTATTAGATCTTAACCTCGTACATAAAAGATTAAAATATTGTACTTGAGATATTCAGATAATAAATCAAATATTGAATGTAAAGAAATTTTATGTGAACATTTCAATATTATAATTCAGTTATTTATCTGACATTGTGAAATGTAATGTACACAAATTCACTCACTGAGTTAAATTAAATCATGAAAGAGTTTCAATCATACCCATTATCCTGTTAGTCATAATATGACATGTTCTAAAATACCCAGTAGAAAATGCATGAGTCAGGCCATTAGTTTAATTCCAGTTCTCATGAATTATTCATTTCCTAACATATTAAAGGAAAAGTTTTTCTTTTACCATTCAATACAAGGAACTAGAAATGAATACAAATTGTTGAGTAGCTGCTATGTATATTAAGTTTTAGAAATAAGTCATTTTTCCTCCTTTTGATTTTTTTCTTGCACAGGTTTATAAAAATGACTTTTCAGGTTTCAGGTGTTTTTCCATATAAAGATATTTTTTATTTTAAAAGATATCTGGACTGGAAGATGTCTTCCCTTATATTGACTTATACTTTTGTTCCAATAACCAGTTAACCTGGAAATATAGATCTTTAGGTTAATTATAAGTACAATGTACAAGCTATGACTGTATTATTGTAGAGCACTTTCTTATTCGTTTTAGGTAAAGGCTTAGTGTTTGTTTGTCATCATTATTGAATTAACATCTGTTCACAGATTTAAGATAATGGTATTAATGCTGACTCTTAGGAGTTATTTATTTATCGTTCATAAAAAAAATGTCAGACAAAAAATAAATTTATATTTATTGGCCTCTATGAATAAAATACAGTCAATGTAAAGTCATTAGAACTATTTTCTTTGCATAAGTTCTAAATTTCATCATTTATTCCTTCATTTCCATGAAATAAAACCATCTAATGATATCACTTGAAGTCTGAGTTGTGGTATACAATAGAAATTGTGTGTCATTAATACAGGTCATGCTGTAATGTGTGGTTTTTTTAATTAGTGCTTAGAATAAAGAGTGTTATTTCCAGTTTTCGTTAATTAAGTGCAGTAACGGGTTAACTCTTATAAAATTATATAAGGAGTTAACTCGGTGACTTCCAACTTCCTCGCCTCGAGGTTATACCGTGTAAGTACTTTTTTCTGAGGGAACTTTATTTCTGCGGTTCATAACGACACCGCAGATTTAAAAACCGCAGAAATAAAATACGCAGAAATTTAATAGCCCTTATTTTAACAAAAATCACAGAATATTAAGCCCACAGAAATTAGTACTTATACGTTAATACTTTATCTGAGTTCTGTCTTGAAACTCAGGATTTTCATTTGTCAGTACCAGTATGCATTCTGTGCTGGCTTCCGAGCAATCAGATACCTTAGATCTAAGTTTGAGTCTAGGAAAAATTCTTTATAACCATGAACCCTGGATTTACTGGTACTGATGTTGTTTAAAGAAGCATGGTTGAAACTTCAGTTTGGCTCGCCCTATGATCACCAGGCTTACTCATAGAGGCAGATACTTTAGACAAGCACATACTCCACTTAGGAAAATATTGTCTCCTTACAAAGTGTGTATATATGATCTAAAAGGAGTATATGAGTACTATATTTAGATCACATGCAATTAATGTATACTTCACATGTTTATCTACTGAATATGATGACACAGATTTGGTTAATTGTGCAGTATGATGGCATACATTCATACATACTAGTTTATATTAATTTTGTTATACATGTACATTTGTGAATATATAGAGGATATTGAATGAGTGTAAGTTCAATACCTAATTTATTGCACAAGTTAAATAAAATTATATTATGTGAGCCCATGGCGAGCATAATATTATTTATTCAACAAGTTCAATAAATTCAGTAATAAGCTTACACGAATTTAATATTCTATTTATCACATACCCAAAATAAAGACCTGTTTAAATTGAAATGAGAGTCATTTTTCATTGACGCGCCTATAGTATAATGCTAACATTTAGTGCGTCTTTACACTATGTTTGTATAACGCTAATGAAGTCATGTCAAAATATACGCATGGCCGTGCACGATATAATTTTTAAGGAGTCGCAATCGGCACAGTTGTGTGATATAATTATATATTGTATTGTATTATCTATTTTCAGTGTTGTATCATTTCGTAAAGCTAACAGGCTTGGGGTGATCTTCAAGGTAACACCTCAAGCACAGGATGGAGATGTGAAGGTGAATATTTTTTAACCCTTAAACCTACTGAAAGTTAAAATGATTAGCCTTTGCAACCAGTATTGAGCCTGGCAAGCCTTCACTTTCATGCATTCTGACCAGGCTGTTCCAAATTCAAGGCAGGTCAAATCAATTAAAGTCAGTTCAAGGCATTTCGAATCAATTAAACAAAGTCAGTTCAAGTTAACATGACAAGTTAAAGTCAGTTCAAGGCATGGCAAATCAATTAAACAAAGTCAGTTCAAGGCATGGCAAATCAATTAAACAAAGTCAGTTCAGGGCATGGCAAATTAATTAAATACAGTTCAGGGCATGGCAAATCTATTAAACAGTTCAGGGTATGGCAAATCAATTAAACAAAGACAGTTCACGGCATGGCAAATCAATTAAACAAAGTCAGTTTAAGGCATGGCAAATAAATTAAAGTGAATTCAAGACATGGCAAATCAATTAAACAAAGTCAGTTCAAGGCATTGCAAATAAATGAAATAAAGTTAGTTTTAGCCACTGCAAATAAATTAAACAAAGTCAAGGCATGACAAATCAGTTAAACAAAGTAAGTTTAAGGCATGGCAAATCAATTAAACAAAGTCAGTTTAATTCATGGCAAATCAATTAAAGTCAGTTCAAGGCATTGCAAATCAATTAAACAAAGTCAGTTCAATGCATTGCAAATAAATGAAATAGTCAGTTTAAGGCATTGCAAATCGATTAAACAAAGTCAAGGCATGACAAATCAGTTAAACAAAGTAAGTTTAAGGCATGGCAAATCAATTAAAGTCAGTTCAATGCATTGCAAATAAATGAAACAGTCAGTTTAAGTAATGGCAAATTGATTTAACAAAATCAGTTTAATGCATGGCAAATCAATTAAACAAAGACAGTTTAAGGCATGGCAAATCAATTAAAGTCAATTCAAGACATGGCAAATCAATTAAACAAAGTCAGTTCAAGGCATGAAAAATCAATTAACAAAGTCAGTAAGCTCAATTTATCAAAGTCAGTAAGCTTGATAGTGAAACATGTTCTTTCTTCTTGTATTGATCACTATTTAGTCTGCTTTCTGGAACGATTAAACTACAGTCATATTACAAAACATGTTAAGGGATTAGTGGGGCTGAAACCTATTTCCCTCTCATATGTAACAGTGACAGTTAAACCTTTAAGCTATAGCAGTTGTTTTTAAAGATGGCATTCATTTTATCATTCTTATTACTTTGTACATTACACAAGAAGTACATCTCTAGTTAAATAACTCTCCGCTCCTTTTTCAATGGAATGTAATTTGAGCCACGTCACGACAAACCAACATAATGCGTTTGCGACCAGCATGGATCCAGACCAGCCTGCGCATCTGCGCAGTCTGATCCATGCTGTTCGCTATCAGTTTTGCTACTTGTAATAGGGTTTGAAAGCGAACAGCGTGGATCCTGGTCAGACTTTGCGGATGTGCAGGCTGGTCTGGATCCATGCTGGTCGCAAACGCACTACATTGGTTTTGTTGTGACGCGGCTCATTTGGTTTTTTATAAACAAGTGACAAGTTGTCCTAAACAAGTGACATTTTAAGCAAAACATCCCAATAAAACTGAAACATGACCTTTGAAGCTTAATATTGCGGTAAGCCTAGATAATAACAGGTAATTATCTTTTCATGGATGATAACATTCATAATTATCATTTTATAAAGAATGATATACTGATAAAGTATAATAATACATGTGATTTCAGTGAAAAATACCATTGGAAATTCCTTGTTTCTAAATATAGCTATAAATATCAAATAAGGCTTGATTGCTTTTATCATGTTTATTCTCTTGTTACATTGACAATAATTTATTCATACACTTATTTACTGATAGTTATCATAACCAGCCTATATAGAACTTTGACTGGTACTAACTTGTCATCACTGGTCACATGGTTAGATATGTAATCGCAACTGTATTATTATTATTTATCTATAAATGAACATATGAGCCCATATTGTCAGTCAGAAACTGTGTCCCACAGCAAGCACGTCTTTAATATCTCAATAGTTTGATATCACAATAATTTAATGTCATGATGATCTGATTTTATTTCAGGTGTGCTTCATACTCAAGCACAACTATGTGAACACGTCGGCGGCATTGCCAAGCGAGAACCAAGAGCCTCAAATCACATGGCTCGAGCACCACGTGGTTGTTAACCTAGGACCAGCTCTTCCTTCGAAATGATGAATTTGACATTGTTACAATAGCAACATGATGTGTTCTTTATTTAAATTATTTGTATTCTTGTTTTCAATGGGCTTTGGAAATATACTTAATATTATATTAAAATGGTTGCTTACAAAAAAATGCTCATGTGACTTTATTACCATGGCTGTATGAGGTGTCCTTAATTTAAACTCTTGTACTTGTATACAATGGGCTTTGGAAATTATTATCATATTATTATTTCTATTTTACGTGAACTGTGTGAGAAAGTTTGAAATTTTCATTGATAATTAAACATACCCATTTATATTTATTATTTAACATGTGTGTTCATGTATGACATTGATTCGGTTATTCTTACTTGGTTCTCTGTCCTTAAATGAGCTATATAGTTACTCCAGTTTACATGAATTATAAGTAATCAATAAATATAAATGCTAGTTAAAGAGAGAGCATGGTTCTTCAAAAAGGATTACTTGAATTTCATATTTCTTGCTTGACTTGAAGGATTCAATATTTAATCATGAATAAAAATGCAAAAATTAAAATTCTTTTCTCAAATAAGATTAATGTGTTAAAGTGACTTTATGCTTATTTTTCCACTGTCAAGAGGTGTTAAGTAATTTATTTCAAGATTCAAGGATAAGATATAAAAATTACCTAACTTATAAAAAAAATTGCCCCACTTTTTTTGTTAAAATTTGAACACGACCAATACATTGTAAATGATATTTTTTATTGATATTTCATTGGGTCAAATAGATTATTGATTATTTTTTAGTAGTAAAATATTAAATTGAACACAATTATGGCAAGATGTAAAATTATTTTGAATGTTACCTGCACGCTTAGGTGGGCATAATGTCACTAAGTAATCAACTTTGTCTTTTTTATGAAATTGTTATGAAGTTGTTCGTTACTTGAAAAATATTTATACTTTATAAACAGTATTTAAGGTATTCAGGAAGGTTTGATATTTTGTTGTTATGTGTCAACAATGATCACTGCCTCTTAAAGACCAGGCTATGTTTACTTAACATTTAGATCTAAAATACCTATGCAACTGATGCTAACCAAATCACTGTCTGCACTCACTGATAGCTTTTCAGTCAGTACTATTATCAAAATTATCCCTAAAAACTTACCAGTATAAATGTTTTTGGCCATATTTAAAGATGCATAAGTCCATATCAGATATTAAGCATTGTAATGGTTAAATCTGCTCAGTAGCGTCATTCTGTGCTCTCTTTTTTGAAGTTTGCTAATATAATGCTCATTGGCTGATGAAGGGACCAACAAAGCTAAAAATAGAAAAAAACTTTAAAACCTAAAACTTGCCATGCAAAATCAATTGTGTCTTTACCAAGTTGTATGTAGCATCATTATGTTATCAAACAAAAAAGTAAAAAGGAGGGAAGAGAAAAACACATGTTAAACATCAGAATGGTTTGTAAACTGGTTTATTCAAGGATCTACTGATTACTTTCTTCTATGCCCTTTTGTCAAATAAGTTGAATATGCTCTTTATAGAGCAAAAAGATAAAAAAAAATATCCTGAAATATTTAAATCAATAACCAATTAAATTATCAAAGGCAACCATTATCTGTTCATTCCCCAGATAGTGCTATCAAATTTAGTTAAGCTGTCACAGTTTGAACAGACATTTTATCTTTTGATGAAATGAATGCATGGTCATCACACAAAAATAACTTTTAAGGAAATAAATAAAACATTCATTCTAGTGAATAAAGCAGTGACTTCATGCTTTGTTTACCACAATTTATCTTCCTGTAACATATTTGTATGAAGCCTGTAGTCTTGTCATTTAAATACAACAAGAGATAACAATTTGCTTGTTTATTTTTTAACATTCTTATAAAGATTGTACCCATGATCTGGCATTCCTGTGTAACTATTTATTATATTTAGTTAACTACACACTATGATAAAGGTGAATGGTGGATAGAGAGTGTAATTCTACATTTCAATGGCTAATTCTACATTATGTTATTAACCAATTCATCATTCTACATTTTATGGGTTAATTCTACATTTTCATGTGCTCATTCAGAATTTATTGGCTAATTATAATTGTCATCAATTAATTTAACATAACATTGTACAATTCAACATTTCAGTGGCTAATTCAACATTTCATTGGCTAATTATACATTTAATTGTGTAATTAAACATTTAATTGGCTAATTCTACATTTCATTGGCTAATTCTACATTTAATTGTGTAATTAAACATTTCTTTGGCTTATTCTACATTTCATTGGCTAATTATACATTTAATTGTGTTATTAAACATTTCTTTGGCTTATTCTACATTTCATTGGCTAATTATACATTTAATTGGCTAATTCTACATTTCATTGTGTAATTCAATATTTTTTCATTGGCAAATTCTACATTTAATTGGCTAATTTAACAGAACAGAACAGATATTTTATTTCTGATTTGTACATAGTACATCATCATATACATTACATAATAATATTTGAGTAACATGTAATTTTCAGTGCAATCAGTATAAAGAAATTAATAAAATAAATGATATAAAGAGATTACTAATTGTAATTGTAACAATTGTCATTGTTCAGATATTTGTTATTAAGCCTCAGTTAAACATTTCATTGGCAATAATGGCTCATTTTATGTAGTTTGGACAAACTTAAGTGGAGTGTTTTTGTATGTGATTTTGTATCGAAGAAAAGGATAGGATAGGAATATAAAAAGTCAAATTTTAGTGTCAATTTTTAATGCTTCAAAGCAGCGTACCTCTTGATAACTTGAAAATTTAAAAGGAAAATCTTACAATAATAAAATCTGTTGTTAAAGTTAGTAGCACTAAATCGTGCATATGTCAATCGTTTTGTATTGGAATATGCAGTAATAGATATCTGTTTAACTTCCCAGATACCCCTTTTTACCTACCCCTTGTACTTCCTGAGTACCTCTTTTTACCTTGAACAGCTAACCAGTCAAGGTTTTGTCATGTGTCACATTTACCTGGAGGACAATTTGACCTTAGTATTGCTTTATAGAGAAAAAGCCTTTTCAATATTTTGGGGGATTTTTTGAAAACTTTGAAGGTAATCCTAATCATACTAATCTATGCAATTAAGATATAATACCTATTCTAATATTCTTATAGCATAAACAGATAGTTGTTAACAGGTGTAATCCACAGTAATGTAGTACCTGTGTCTGTCTTTAATTAGTTAAAAAAAAATAGGAAATCACATTTGAACAAAGTATACCTAATTGTGTTAATGTTTAAATGGTCTTTACAAATATTTCAATGAAGAAGATTAGTTTACCAAAATATTAACATGCTTGGCATATCTGTATCTCAAGATCATCAGAAACAATTGCTTGAAATAAGATAATGTATAATTTTCATAATTTTTGCCTTTACCCAATCCAATACTATTGTTGTATACAATTTTGCACATTTTTGGAAAATAATACTTCACTGGTATTAAGTTTGTACCTGTTTTGGAAATTATATAATTTGTTTTACCAGTTTTGTTTGATTTAAGGTTTCCCATCCAGCAATGAGTTATGATAGATTGTCCATAGCACCAGAATGGAGCCAGAATTCCCTTGCAGTCTGACCAGGCTCTATATAGTTTGCTTACTTTTTTCACCTAGATAAAAATAATATTTTTTTGAAAAACAGTCTTTTCCTAGAAAGGCAAGTCCATATAAAAAGATTAGTTTTGGTAATGGTTGGCATATGAAATAAGATGACCTGGGAAATGTTGATATTTATGGATGGTTCACCGTGATAAAGAACATGTCATGATGTAACCTTATACATACATCTAGTGTTAAAACAATTGTTTTGTGAAACTGAAGCTGGAAGGAAAAAATTTAAAAAAACCTGTAATACAGGAAATTATTAGGTAGTAACACATTACTGCATAAAACTTTAGTGCATATATGAACTTGAGTGTTTAAGAAAGTAAAACTTGATGATCATTTTCTTAAGAGTGCAGAGTATTTTTAAGATACAAGATTACAAGAAACAAAACAAACTAGATAATTAAAATGATAAAAATTGATAATTGTTTTATTCTTTCTTCGTAATGGATATTGTAAACTAAACCTTTATTTATGATGTTCCACAGGCACTTAAGCTACATGCCTCCAGATGAGTCATAATATTTCAATAAAATCAAACTTGAGAAAAATGTAACAAGATGTAAGGAAGAGTAAAAAGTTTCAAGATTCAAGTACTATTTAACATATTATGTGCAATTAATGACTGATTTTTCAGTACTTACAATTAAATTTCTACTTTGTTACTAAAACAGTAAAGGCTATTTATGCATATTTTGACCACTTTTTGGTAATTTACCTGGTTTGTAAGTGCAATTGATAATGTGTTTATTGCTTCCCTTGGTTAATTCACAATATTACACATTCAAATACATTTTCAAAATTTTCATGAAAATTAACATGAATCTGGAGGCTGCTGCTTTAAAAGATTAAGGTATAAATATAACAATAGCATGTGTGGGGCTTTTATTAAGTATCAAAATGTTGTGTATTGTTTTTATCAGGTAAAGGCTATTGTTAATAAAAACATGGGTTGGTCATAAAATTTATTTTTTGCTTGACAAGATTGTTACACTGCAAAGTTTACAGTTCTCATTGATAGATAAGTTATTTCTGTGCTTATGATTTGGACACAGAATTAACGATGCATACAGTATGGTTGTGGTTTTTAAACTCGAGTAGTTTGCTTTAAGCAGTAACAACAAAAGTACATGTCTGTTTTGAAGTGTTTTTTGTTGTTGTTCAAATGTCACACACATTTTTTTCATATCTTTACTCCCACATCCGATGACATTTTAATGGGTAGAAATAAAAAGGTATGAGGTAATGATATGCTTTTTTTGGGATTCCCTATGTTTAATGCTTATCAATATATTGAGGTATAAAGTTTTCCTGTTGATATATTGTTATATTGTTATTGGCTATACGCTTTGAGAACGAATTGGTAAATGTAAGCACAAATGATTTATTGCCAATAAAGATTTATGAAATGTATACATTTTCTTGTCGTTTGTATATCAGTTCATTTGCTCTGTAGGTAATCATTGGAATTGACACAATATTTGCTAATTTTAGAATATGCAAAACCCCACTAACTGAACACAATAAAATGCGTTGTAGTATTTTACTAGTTAATAAATTGTTGGTGTTAAAATCTTGTCCGATAGATGTACACTGGATAGATGTACATTGGGACGTTCATGGCCCAGTGGTAATGACGTTCACTTCAAACCACTTGCCTCTCACCGCTGTAGGTTCGAATCCCGATAAGGACTTTAGACTTTCTTTCATGATAGAAAGCTATCCAGCTAGCTTACGTTGGTGGTTCTACTCACATGCCCGCTCGTGCCTGATATAATGCACGGAAAAGCACACGAGGTCTTCCTCCACCACTAAATCTGGAAAGTCGCCATATGACCTATCGTATGTAACCAAACCAGAAAAAAAGCTCTGAACTGGAGGCTTACTACTTTCGGTTCCACTAGGGTCAACTTAAACAGGGGCAACAAAAATAACCTACACCAAATATTTCCTCTAAACAGAAACCTGCCATCTGATACTTGTTCTAACTTCCCTCTTTGATATGTTACCATATACAGTATTACTTCATCGGAAGGAAATTTGATATTACTGTACATTTGATAGTACCATGTGGTTAAATGATAAAACATGTATATGATATGTCAAAACAATGACACATTTTGCTGTTTTCACCTGCTTTATAAGAGATAACACTAGTAACGGGAAAGTACATTTGGTAATCTCGATATAAAGCTTAAAGCACACATCCAGATGAGCCAAAATATTTCAAGAAAATCAATATTGAGATTAATGCACTAAATTTTTAAGAAAGGTAAAAACATTCATGATCCAAGTTATATTTGGCATGGTATGTTCAGTTTAACACTGATTTTGCAGTATTTTGTAACCATATTTATACTGCGTTACTAACGCAGTAACGGCTGTTTTTACATATGTTAACAACTTTTTGGTAATTTTTATGGATTGTAAGTGCCGATTGCAATATGAAAATTACTTTATTTCTTCACCTCACATTATTTTACTTTTAAATACATTTACAAAATTTCTATGAAAATTAACATGAATTTGGAGAATTAAATTCTGCACAGCCTAGTATAATCTAAATACAAGTGCCGTAACTGTGAATGCATTGCATTTTGTAAGAGTTAAATATGACCTCTTCTTTCAATGCAAACAAAATACAGTTATGATTATGAAGATTTAAATTGTTGAAAATAAAAAAGGAAACAGATGGTTTATAGTGAAGTACATTTATATACCGATACGTCGAAATTTGCCATTTTTTTAAAAAATGGAGGAGTTACGGTCATGACCCACTCGTCGGCGTTGGTTAACCTTTTTGGTTAAATTACCGTTTATGAGCAAAACATTGACACTTCATATGTGGATGCACCTGGATGATCTCTACATGAAATACCAATTTTAAGGTCAAAGGTCAAGGTCACAATGGTCCATAATAGGTGATAACTTAAGGTCTATTTTCTGAGAAATGACAAAAGCTATTGACTTCAAATTGGTGTAATGCCATATCACAGGGGCAGATGATATCCAAATTATTTATTCTTCTTTGGTTATTTACTAAAACAAATATCAAAGATATTCACTTTAAACTCAATACCTGTTCACTACAAAAAATTGAATGTATTTCTCAAGGTTATTTTGACTTAATTTATCCCTTCAGCTTTTCAGAATTATGCTACCCTTTATGCTTTGCTTTTATTAAGTACTGAGAAAAGTGGAGCGTACTGCTCTTCGGACAGCTCTTGTTTGACATAGACAATGTATTGACAGAATAAAGACATGAAATATAAACCTTGTATTTGCACGCATTCAGTCCTTTAATAATGTCATTTAAAGTTTACTTAATCATGTTAATGACAGTATCAAAATTAGACTCTGAACTCTAGTTGTAAAATACATTTGTATGAGATTAAAACGGCATATCTGATTGACGTACAGATAAAAAAAAGGGATGATAAATAAATGCATTTCAATACCATGATTCTAAAATGCGTGATTCTTCTATAGCAACTTTTATAAATTAGCTTTTATACAACTTTTCATGCATCGCAAACTTATTTGCATCGTAACAATTGGGTAGTTTACATGTTCTGAAAAGGCAGAGCAATGAATGGTGTATGAAAGATGTACATTTTAACCAACCCCATATATTTTAATCCAGGAAGTTTAAAATTTTACATTGACACTAGAAGAAGTAAACACAAAGCGGTTAAATTTTGAAGAAAAATTAAGTTTTTGAAGCATTTTACTGCGTGGAATTTATTGTAACAAATAATATTAAAGGTAAAATATACTTCTTAAACAGTTGTTTTATAACATAACGTATCAAATGTCATTTAATAATCAGACAGTCTATTTTTAAAATACAAGTAATGTCCTGGTTTCCTGCGCCATATTGATTTTTTTAACATTATCGAGGCTATTCAATTACGTTTTACATTTTGATTAACACTGGAAATTTTCTGTTGCTAAAGGTTTGTTTTGTTTCTATGACTACGCATAGTTACCGGACTCTTAATTGGAGATTTACATTTAACCATTGTCATTTTTGTCTTACGAGTGGTCATTTTAATATGTGTGTTTTGTTTTCATTGTACTGCTAATTAATTGGGATTTAAGACAATATAGGATATATCGACATGGATTACAAAATAGTTTGTTGTAGAAATGACATTAGATTTTTTGGAATAAACTGTAATAGGGTACGTGTCAACACTTTTCGCATAAAATGTCACATTTTCAATGGAATATATTGAATTTTGTGACATACAGTTTTCTTTTTCAATTATTCATTTAAGGCATCAAGGCAACTGTGATTGTTTGATCAGGTTTACTCATTTTCGAGTCAATATTTTCTTATACAAATAAAGGATTCGTGCCTTGGTAACAGTTTACCTAGAGTTTGAAAACTTTTGTATGAAAACAGAATTTGTACATTCACACAAACATTATTTTCAGACATCTGTCTGTATAGCAGTGTAAATCCAACAACGGTTGTTCAGTCTAAAAAACGTCATTGGCTAAATGGATTGCTTCAAGATAAGCGGACGAACATTACCTTTAATCATATTTGATTATATATTCAAAAATCGATATATTGGATACTATGATGTCATATTTTAAATAAGAAGATACGTTATTGCATAAATATATATCTGATATATATTCACACACGAATCTTACGATATGACACAATTTTACATACTTAGTAAGGCTGTAAATACAAATGGGTCGGGCCAAAACTTATGACGAATTCGAGTCCATCCTTAAAATGCGTGATAAAAATATGCCCTTATTTGGATATTCTTTTACATCCCCAAAGCCGTGATTGGTGGTTTAGTTTATATCCTTACAATCTACGAAATCACCATGTACGAAATAGATTTACCACTGCGAATATCACTTTATCTATATCAATAGTAAGTATACATGTAAACAAGTTTAGGTATTTAATATGTATAAAATAAGGTTTCCAGTCAGCGATGTATTATTAAGTAAGCTGCGGAAATTTATGTTATGGGCAAATTCAAATTATTTTAACAACGGACATTGAAAGTTGAAATCCAATTTAAACAGTATCTTACATATTCTCAAAACGTTTTCTTTGCTTAAATTAAATTACGTGGTTTTATTTATGAATGAAACGTAGTAGATTTCTGAATTACGTACGTCACTCACTTCCGGTTGCTTAAATCATACTATTTACATTCATTAACAATCAAGTATTCATAAAATGTTATACCTATTTATTTACACAGTCGTAACAATTCATCTATTAACAGTGGTACACAGTGGTGCTGTGGTATTTAAAGGAAAGTTTTAACAAAACGTACGCGTGCGTAAAAAAACCTAGTACGGGAAATAAAACAAAAATCCCATTTTTTAACCGGAAGCAATTTTGAAATATTGTGTTTATTATAATTCAAAGTCTCCGTGCTATTTGGCAGCTTTTATACAGTTGTTGATTCAGACCGTGATTAATCAGTTATTCACCCGTGATTAAACGCATATTGATTAAGAAAAGATAAAAGAAGAAAACCCCGAAAAGTTTAAATAAACTATGACATTCATTTTGTATGTAATAAAGGAACGTAAATTACAATTCAATACGTTGTGATAAATTAAAATAAATAAGAACAATTACAGTAGCAGCAGCAGCAACAACATATTATTATTAATAGAAAAAAAGAAGATAAAAATTGTATATTCAGAACTATTAACCATCCAATACAAGTGATATTCCATCATGCAATAAACACACAGAAAAAACTACGCATATTTTATTCTATAAATAGCACTGATATATGAAGTTTCTATTTTCGATTTCTGATATCATAACTGCAATGTCATTTATGTGCTTACAGGATAATTTTACACTTCAGGTCTGTAATAATTTTATTTCATTCATATTTTTTATTTTACACTTAATCAAAACTACATAACGATTTTTATTTGTGATACATTATTCTTGTTCACATACATTAAAAAATAACAGTTATGTCAGTCGTTTTTTGTTGTTGTTTTTTTCGGGATATATATAATCTTTATTTCATTTATGACAAATCACGCAGTGAGTTCATGAAGATATAAAATTGCACCAGGAAACACGGTTTAAGGTAATATTTGTGTAGTGAACGTTTGGTATACTTATGTACATTTGTACATTAATTAAAACATATACCAATCGAGCGCAATTAACTGAATATTGATGATCCAAAGAATATCATATATCAGGACATACATGTATATACTATGTCACGGATCGATACAGCTTGACTCACATTCATAACATTAACTACTCATTGAAAATCAAAAGTAGTTATATGGTTCATATGTTACCCATGTTCACGTGACAATTTGTTCATGTGCTACAAATAATATAATAGTTATACAAAATATTCTACTTTCATTTTAGTACCTTACGCCATAGTTAACTTTCTTTTCAAAAGGAAAACAAGACAAGTTCTATCTGCATAATATCGGGAAACCCGTGCATTAACAATTCTGACTTTGATACTTTCAGAAAGCAATACACATATCTGTAGAGGAAAGGATGAGTCAAAATGATCGAGGTAAGTAGGTTTTAATTAATTTATCATTTCCCATGCATATTGGACCTACCAACACTAAGAGGCTAATACATGCACAGGAGTTTAACATTCTATCAATAACTGAAAAATATTAGCGAATCCTCTATAAAGTTGTATAACAATTCTAAAATAAAATGTAAAGGATAGTTCTTCTCATTCTAAGATAATTCTTAACTAAAATGTAAAAGATAGTTCTTGCCATTATGGATACAATGTAGTTCTAAAATAAACTGTACAGGATAGTCCTTTAACTTTCGAGTTAAATTGCTCATGTTTAACATTCAGATCTCATAACATTTTCTAGCAAACAGTTTATTTTACCTTACATATGCAAGTTAACCAGTTTTGCTTCGGGCGAGTATCTTGTTTTAAAGATACTTGGTTCGTATGTTTTGAGCGTTTAAAACGTTTAATGTTTAAAATAAATGTTTCAAACGATTTGAATGTTAATACGGCGTCACACTCGCCATATATTTCACATTTAACAATACATGCAAGATTATTACCAAAGAGGAAGTTGTCAAATTTATTACAGATCTACACACACTCACACTGGTACTTAACCAGGCAGGCATATTCAACTTCCGTGTAATTTTATATCAGTAACGTTCTCATTAAAATCAATCCTTATTTCGCGGAAAGATTATGACGAAATTGTAAAATACATTTAAGTAAAAACTAATTCATATATTTTTCACATTTTGGATGTCGTGGACAACGTGGCTTTATGTAGAGTTTCCAAAGCCAAAAGTCGCACTTTTCATTGTACATTTTAACAATCAAATCTTGACTGTTAATTTTTTGAATTCGCCATTAAATTTTACTTATCATACAAAAAATTTAGAAAATTCTATGAAAGGAATAAAATTTCATAAAACTGTAGAAAATGCCTTTAACGATATCAAACTACATATACAGTCACAGTACACATGTATTAATGTTAAATATATATTTCAGAATGCTAAGAACTAAGAAATTACAAGAACACTATTGCTGCAACTGCTCTATAAAAGAGAGGATAGCAATGGAGTAAATGCAGGTAGGTTTATCAATTAAGACTATATTCACAGCTCTGAGGACATTATATTGCATTACGGTGACCGATTAATCAGCTATCAAACTTTTAATGGACCGAAGCCGAATGGTTAGGTCCGTTCAAAGTTTCGGGCTGGGAGAGAGGTCACATTGGAATTTAATGCCCGCATAGGCGCTGTTTTGAGTAGACCTAATATATTATTTTAAAGACCTCTGGCACTTATATTGATAAAGAATGAACATATTTATGTAATGTATAATATGCAATACTTTATTTTTATAGTTCATTTACTTAGAACACGTTATAAATTCATTTTATTTATGACCTCTTTAGAAGCATAAGATATTAAATCCATCCATTATATAATAAACATGTAAGATAGGCTTGGTTTGATAAATATTTGACAAATATCGTACTGTTCCATATCTGTTTTTGCTCTTGGTTATACAAAAACGCTTATTTGGTTCTATATAAGTCACGGAAAGTGACTGGAAATTGTCGCATTATCAACTTGAAGGAGTCTACATTCCACCGTAAAAGCCGAATGAGATGCTGACAAAGTAAGTGAATACTAATTGCTGTTTTATAATCTGAATTAAGATACCTTACGTTCAATAATGTAGAAATCTAATTACGTCATAAAAAACCGTACTGTTTAGATTAATTTCACCACAAAAAATGCAGGGCGGTAATTGTTGAATAACTTTGCTCTTTCAAAACGAGCATGGAGGATCAAACATGAAAACACAATTTGTACAAACATTGTACTGTATTTTCATATTTGTCTATTAAACATGACAAAATAAACCAGAAAGATCTAAAGTGACGCACGACACATTTCATCATAAGGTCATTTTCTTTCATCATAAATTTACACGTGTCCTCAAGGTGTCATTTAACCTAACCATGCTTAATATCTTAAATGGCTTTTATCCAAAAAAAGTATTTACAGAATACATGACTGTGTAGACCATGATCATAAGGCACTGATTGCACGGAGAGATGGCTAATTAAGCTAGGTGACCAAAATATCATTAAAGTATTGCGCGTTAATTTCACAGTCAATTTAATTATGTTCGTCGCTAAAGATTTAAATTGATGCTCTTTTTTGTAATCATTCTTTCCAGGACATTCTTCTATGATGACCTGTAAATCCGTTGCTTTGTTTTTAAGTGATTGGGAGCGAAAACCCATCAGCCAGTAGCAACAAGGAAAGTCCTAAAGTTTACATGCTTTTAATTAATTGTTTGCCAGCTTCTGATGCATGGTGTTGATAACCGGCTGAAATTGATCCTACCTCACTTTGCGAAACTGTTTTTCCATTGGTACCTTTCTTGGAGTGGTTGATCTAAGTACAGTTCTTCTGAACGATATCTGAATTTGGATAAATATTTCTCTAGAAACGAGCATTGCACAGCTTTTTTGTCTAGTATAGCAATCCATGCAGGGTCTTTCAAATAGAGATTGAAATACACTGGGCAATCATTTGGCAATCATACTGATACGTTTTGACGCTCTGCCAAAGGATTCACAACACACAACTTTGTTATCATTAATTTAACCTTTATTTCCTCCATCACCGACAACTTATAGTTCCCAGTATTTGTCTTGTCTTGTTGCCTTTACTTTCACATTTTTCTTCTGTATTCAGTAATACTTTTTTGATAAACCACACTGTCCCCATTTCGCATCTTCTAATTTTGTCATCACATGATTCTGGGATCTTTAGGATCATGTTTTCTACCGCAGACAACATTCGTCTGCCTGCATTGTTGTATACTGTTTTATTTATCATGAAAGGAATCGATGAGTCTGCAACATGTTCTTGTTGTCCTTAAATACTAGTACGTTGCTTAGTCTTTCTTTGATGATATTCCTATTCTGGAGCAAGTACTTTGTATAAAGCCGCTTATGACTTAGGGCTTGCCTTTACTAAAGTTTTTAAATGAGGCATCCGCATTGCAGCCACCGTTTAATCTGCGTGATAGTAAGAGGTGACTAAATTTGGGTCCGAATTACTGTAGTATGTGCATCCCTTAGCGCCAGCAGGTGAGGTGGTTTTGACCACTTGTTGTTGCTTTAAGTTTATAACACCCGAGGGAAGCAAAACTCATGTTTCCTGTCTCGGCGCTAAAATCTAAACAGTGTTGGTGCACATTGTATAAATAATATGATTGTCCAATTTCAAGTTCATATATTATCAAAAGTTATGTGTATATAATTATGTGGCTTAGATGTGATTATAAAATGATAAAAATAAGGTCATTTACCAGTATTCTGCTTGAGTGTGGCTTGGTGACACTTTAGAAACCTTGATTCTCCTTTTGGACCTACATGTATTTGCAAACAAGTTCATTTCCATGCCTTAACCGAGTATCACTGAGATATTGTTGTTCCTTAAATTTCTCAAATTTCTCCAATGACAAACATCTTCAACAGAAAAGACACAATAGATTAAACTTTAAAAAGATTGTTCCAAATTAAAAGCAAGGTTAATCTATTGAATTGATTCAGCACGTTAGGTTAAAGGTTAACATTATGAGATTGTTACGGTGGACTATCTCGATTGGGTCATTATTTTTGTGTGCGTCCTATGACGGTGAGTTTAATTGAGCTTCCTTGCTGTATTGAAAAAAAAACAAGCTATACTTGCTTGAAAACAAAGGCAGTTTATATCAAAGGTTTACGAAAAGTATTGTGAAAACAATTTTAGTGAATGCGCAAACATAAGCTGGTGACGAGCTATTCAAAGTTATTTATTTAATTTTTATCTCATGTGAATTTCCATATGCTGAAGTATACATATAGAAGGTTATCTCTGTATGCTACTGTTTAAACAAATGTTCAGTGGTAGAAAATGTTAGATTATGTCATTAAATTCTTGATAATACCATATTTAAGTTTGCTTAAGCCGGTTCTTGATGACGTGGACGGTAGCATGCTTTAACCAATGCTGCCAATGAACAATTAATAGGCTCAATAAATTCGATTGGCGATACTGCAACATTGTCACTTTTAATGTGTTGGAACACAATAAATGCTACTGTTTTATGATGTTTAATGTCTATAAGTCCTCTTTCGATTCCACTTTAGTCTATGAGATAGCAAACATTTGAGGCAGAACAATCCAAGAATGCTTTTTTCAAATTAAGCAAATAATTTCTGTATATAAACAAGAAGAAAATTCCTATCTTTAGTTTAGTTGGTCCCTAAAAAGACTAAACAAATTTGAAAGGCAACATTTAATAGTCTATATAGTATTTCATGAAGAGTCATATATTGGTTTAAACTTTAAAGGAGATGTATTTAAATGACTTTGATGTATTTATTTATGACGATGACACCTATGTGGCGTTCTAAGCATGTACATTGGAACAATCTATAAGAATCTTTATCTAAAAAATGCCTTGGTAATAAACTCCAAGTTTGTTTTGAATTCACCCATAGGTTCATTGAAATAAAGTATTTCCACTTTTCTATTTAAATATGTGATGCGTATACAGAGAATGTTATATAACAGCTGCTTATTTACATAGACCATTTTGACTGATTATTAAAGATCTTGTATGTTATAATTATAGTTGTTACCACACTGAAGTAAAATTCTATATATGTATATAATTATGTTCATAAAACAATTGAAAAATTTGACTTAGACTTTAAAGAAAGTAAATTTCTAATTACTTCCCATTATTTTCATGAAATGTTAAATTCGGTAATATCATTATGAAAATGCTTTTTGGAACTTACATTATTGATAAATCTTAATTTGAGCATCATATTTATGATATAAAACTATAAAAAAAATGTGTTACAGGATCTTTAAAAGTATAAAAGAACAATGCTGCAGCCATGCCACGGTCCAAATGGTTGTTGTTCTGAACCGCCCGGACCATTGATTCAAACACTTGGTTTAAACATATTTATTTAATCTCGATTGCGAAACAAGTTCTTGCAACTTCTATTAATCACTTTTGAGCCTGCTTCCTGAAACCAAACAGTACTGGTGTCATATGAAGAAACATAGTCGTGACCCGATTAGGGCGCGAACCCATGATCCCTGATTTGAGCGTTAGACACCTTAACCACTAAGCCACCGCTTCCTCCATATAAAACCGAGTGTCCATTTTATATCTCATAATAGTTTGATTTCAAATGCCCTCGAATGTTTCTTTTACATTTTTGTTTGAATTGCTCTCTTTTTGGTGTTTTTCTTCCGTTGTCTATAAAAGTTTCACTTCTCCAAGAAGTTACTCTAGTTTTTACGACCTGATTGTTTTGAGTAGCCTCAAAACACAGTTCACCCAAGTACATCTAGTCACTCAATATATAGATAAACTTTCAACGAGTTTTTTCGGACTTGCTAGGCAGTTCCTAGATCTTACATTTCCCGCTTTCATGTATTATTAGCAATATACTCTATCATCTTGGATCTTCATATTTTAAATTACCTGATGTGATGTTGCTGGTCTTCTTGCCAGTGTTCCTGTGTTTCTGGGTCGTGAGGGGTATGCGTTCATTGAACACCACCTTTCTTTGTTGATCTTGTTTTTCATATTTTTTGTTACAGTTCAGAAAACCCTTATAAATCTCTTATTGGCAGTGATCCAATGTTCGTCTTTGTTCGAGTTGTTAGAGGTTTGTTTATGCCTTTTGTTCCGTCATGCAATGTGCAAGATCAAAGCATACGGTCTAGAAAGAGTATCTCCAAACACTTTTCATTCATCTTTTGGTCAGACAATTATTTAATTATTTACCGCCTTTCGAATTATCTTGCCTTTTTGTCTTGTTCAACGAGGGTTGTCTTTGGTCTATTCTAACTTGAGGTAGCATCGCTCGAATACGCAAGGCTTATCAAATTTCTGACACAATATCACTCAAAAGGTTTCCTAGTTCTTTTCTTCAAAGATGCTCACATATATGAATATCATAAAGCTTTGTGATTAAAAATTTCGCTTTAGTTCGTTTTGGATGTATTGTATTGATATATTGTAAAAGTTTGT